TCTTGTACTAAAAGCCTTAGTCAGCATCCTACGCAGCATGTTTGTGAGTGCAGCTGGAACTTACTAGTGAATGCACAGCTTTGGCAACATTATCAATTGAAACAGGAAGACAAGGTGTAAGTAGATGAAAAGTTATTTTTCCCTGCATTTATATGGAATCACAGCAATCAGAGATAGAACACAACATATAGCCTATCTCCATGCAAGTGAAGGATTGTTCCCTACTGCAATTTTAAATCGCTGGTAATAAGGCTTCCACCACTTCCACTGGGAGACTATTTCACAGTCTAATATATCTCCTCATTGGACAGTTTTTCCCACCTGAAACTATTTCTTTTCCTCCTTGGTGTTAACACCTGAAATTTCTTGAAAGCTTTTATAGGAGACCCTTCCCTTAACAGTCACACAAGCATATGAATTATTTGTGCTTGTTTTTTTAAAGTCAAGCTATAAGTTCAATTACAAAAGTTACAGTATACCTGTAAGGCTAAAGCTTTGCATTTGTTTAGCTACTGACATTTAAACACCCTCACTTCACCCTTATCTCCTACTGGCCTTCAAAATAAATATGCATGACAGCCCTTTCTTCCCACAGTATAACAGCCTGTTATTAGGTGGGAAGTCAGACATGGGCTGCAAAGTAACGTTCTGGCACAGACTGTTAGCAAGACAAGGAAGAGCTGTATGCAGCTCAGAAGCTTGTCTCTCTCATTACCAGAAGTTGGTCCAATAAAAGATATTTCACCCACCATGTTTCTCTAATATCATATACTCCTGGGGGAATTCTGCGCCAAAAAATTAAAAATTCTGCGCACAATATTTTCAAATTCTGCAAAAATCTGCGTATTTTATTTGTCAAAATAACACAATATAATCAAACCAGTTTCAATTATTTTGGGTCATTTATTTCAAAATACCTGTCAGCAAGTATGTCTGTAACAATACACACAACAAAAAAGATTCAGGAAATGTTTTTTGACAAATAGATTCCTTACTAGGCATATTAATACAGAACTCTGAGTAATAATTAATTTAAACTACAATACAGAACCATATTTCCCACTCCCCACAGAAGCAATGCAAAGGCTTGAGGGAGTCAGGGGTACCAGAGGAGGAGCTGAGGCAGAGGGAAGTAAATTGCTGGGAAGGAGGTTGGGTGTGAACTTGGAGGGTTGTTGGGTACGGGTGGGAAAAGTATGGAACAGGGGGTTTTTTTGTTTGTTTGTTTTTGGGGTGGGGGGTGGATTGTTAGGGAGCTTCCCCCATGCAGACCCTGGCTGACCCCTAGCCTCTCCCATTCAGTCAGGCACATCTGTCCCTGTCTCCATGTGTTCCTGCACCCCATGTGCCCTTGCACCCCCTGCCCACGTGTCCCTCCACCTCCACATCCTCCATAGCCATGTGGCCCTGCACCCCTCCCCCTGTCCCCATGTGTGTCTGTGCCCTGACTCAACCACCCCCTGTCCCTATACGGCCCTTCACTTGCTCCCCCTGTCCCCATGTGGCCCTGCATGTCCACTTCCATTCAGCCCCTGTCCCAATCCATCCTCCCACACTAGACCTTATCAGCCCCTGTCTGTGACCCCTCAGCAGCTCCATGCTGTCTGTCTCCCCATAGCTCTTGTCTCCTGACCTGGCCCGACAGGCACTGTGAAGAAGGCAGGCTCTTTCTCTTCCCTAGCTGGCCAGGAGCTGCTTCTCTGTTCTATCACCACAGAGCCCTCTGGTAGGCAAAAGGCAGAACTGCAGCAATTTTCCAGCCAACGTTATTTTCTGCTGAGGCTGCACTGTTCTAGCACCATAGTGCCTTCTGGTGGGCAAAAGGCAGAACTGTAGCAACTTACCAGCAGCAGCTTTTTTCTGCATTAAAAATATGCGTCTCGTTAATTATGCATGCAGTGACACAGAATTCCCTCAGGAATAAATATCCTGGGACTGATACAGCTACAACAACACTGCACATGCAAGACAAGTGTAAATTTTAGACTTCAATTAATTTTGTAGGCACAAGTGCCTGCACCCTTCAAGCCAAGTTCATGTTGTTAAAAATAAGTTTTATTTGATTTGTCAACTTACATGCAAAACCCACCCTGATTTCATCAGTTGTCCTCCGCCCTCTCCCCACCCCACCCAAACACCCCTTGATATTTCATAGTAAGTTATGGTGGCAGTGACAGCAATATGAGTCAAATATGGGATGCTCTTCCATATATAACAAGTAATAGTTAAAATAGTCACAACATGAGCTTCATTAATTCCTCTATATACATTGTGGCAAATTGCCGGCACTACTATAATGGGTCTCGTGCTTTCTCTTCTTGGGTGGGGGTTCAGGGCACCGTTTCTTGCCCCTGAACTGGGGTATTAACTGCCCCACTAGTGTCCTAGAGGAGGGGAGTGGAGAGGGAGGGACCCGGGCCTGCCCTCTACTCCGGGTCCCAACCCAGGGGCCCTAGGGATAGCAATAAACCACTAGAACTAGCAGTTCCTTCCCCTGGGCTACTTCCCTCTCCTGCCCTTCAGCTTGTGGGGCTTCCTGTCCTCCCTCTACACAAACCAGGTGTCCCTTTACCTAGGGTCTTGGTCTTCTTAGCCCACCGCAGCACTTCTCCAAACTCTCCTCTGCTTCCCTACAAACCGCTCTCTGCTCCAACAGCAATCCACTCTGTTTCAACTCCTCCTCTTGTCTGATTGAAGCAGGGGTTTTTTTTATCATGTGACTGGCTTCAGGTGCTTTAATTGGCTTCAGGTGCTTTAATTAATTTATAGCAAACTTTCTTCCCTCTACAGGGAATAAGGCTCCCTTCTAACACTCTCCTGCTGCCCTCTGGCCATACTGTATCACAACATACACAAATCTAAAATCAGAGATAACAGCCACCACAAGATGATGTTTTCATAGTAATTCAATTTATGGCTTTCACTACAGAAGTGCACACAAAAGTATAGGGGAAAAACAATGTTTAACATACAAGACATGATTATAGGAAAAGAGAAGACCATGAAAAATCCCTAAGCATTAAGCAAACCATATACAGCATATAGGAAGCACTTCACCCCGCAATGAAATGCAGTAATCTCTGAGGCTAAACATCACAACAATTTAAGAGCGCATAGTAAAATTGCATAACAGCTTAAGACAGGGAATGAGGGACACTGTATCCAGGTGAAGGTAGAGGAAGCTGCTTTTAGGCAAGTATGTTCAAGCTGGAATTTGAACAGGACACCAGGACTAACACTCATAACTCTTGCCATGGGATTTTTTTTTTTTTTAAACCACAAGCGATCAGGACTTTTGTTTTACATCTTATCTAAGACATCTAGTAAAACAGAGCCCCTGACTGAACACCACGTTCAGGCATTAGTTCGAAAAGGGACCCTGGTGGATCCGGCCAGCACAGCTGACTGAGCCAATAAAAATCCGGTTGGCCGCAGCACCAACGGGGCAAACAGGCTCCGTGCTGGGCTCTGCACAGCTCTCAGGATGTGGCTGACATGTCCCACTGGCTCCTAGGCGGAGGGGCAGCCAGGGGGGCTCTGCACCCTGCCCCCGCCCGCAGGCACTGTCCCAAGCACCGGCTCTGCAGCTCCCATTGGCTAGGAACCGTGGCCAATGGGAGCTGTGGGGGCAATGCCTGTGGGTGGGGGCAGCATTAGCATGCAGCCCCCTGGCTGCCCCTCTGCTTAGGAGCCAGAGGGACATGATTCTGCTTCTCGGGAGCTGCCTGAGGTCAGCGCCACCTGGAGCCCGCACCCCAAACCCCCTCTTGTGTCCCAACCCCAGCTCGGAACCCCCTCCCACACCCAAACTCCCTCCCAGAGCCCACACCCTGGACCCCCTCCTGCACCCCAACCCCCTACCCCATCCCAGAGCCCCATACTGCACCCCAAATTCCTCATCCCTGGCCCCACCCCAGAGCCCACACCCCCAGCTGGAGCTCTCACCCCCCCGTACCCTCTCCCCCCAGCCCGTACCCTCTCCCATACCCCAACTCCCCCCAGTCTGGAGCTCCCTCCCGCCTCTCCCACTCCCCGTACCCTCGCCCCAGCCCATACCCTCTCCCACACCCCAACCCCTGCCCCAGTCTGGAGCTCCCTCCCACATGCCAAACCCCTCAGCCTCAATCCCAGCCCAGAGTCCCCTCCTGTACCCCAAACTCCTCATCCCCGACCCCACCCCAGAACCTGCACTCCCAGCCAGAGCCATCCCCCCGTCCTGCACCCCAACCCCCTGCCCCAGCCCAGTGAAAATGAGCATTGAGTGAGGATAGAGGAGAGCAAATGACAGAGGGAGGAGGGATGGAGTGAGCGGGGCGAGACCTCGGAGAAGGGGCAGGGTATGGGCAAGACAAGGGCGTTTGGTTTTCTGCATTTAGAAAATTGACAACCCCACAGTCAACACTAGTTTCCCTGGAACACATGACATTTTTATTAGCAAAGTATTTTTTTCATGGCATATTCCTTCTGTGCTTTGACATCTATCTTCCAGTAGCACTACAAAATGCAGCACCACAATCAATATTATGGCAACCTGACTGAAGCACTTAGACCTTTAATTCTTTCCCAACAGTTTTTACAGGAATATCAATCTCCATGCATAATCATTTAGCTGGTCTAAGTTTCCTCCTCTCCTCAAGAATTTATTTAAAGCACATTGTTTGCACACAAGTTCAAGTCCCTTATTTAAAACAGCAATGCTTTCTCTGAAGATATGCTCTTTAAAAAATCATAGATGGAGGCTAAAATAAGGAATAATTGAATAAATATCTGAATATCAGACCTCTCTCTTCTACAATAATTCCTATATTTTAAATATGCTATAATTTAGAAAAATACATTTTAGAATTATTTTACTTTGTGACTACAGAAACGTGTGCAAGAATAAGGAGTGAAAGAGTTAACTTCAGTTTCAAACTGAATCAATATTATCCACAACTAGTAATATTCTGTTTTCTGGCAAGAAAGAATTATTATTCAATTGAAACAAACACCTGTCTTACCTTGTGAAAGGCACTGATTTGCCAGGGCAACCTGTCCAGAGTTCAGGTACAAATTAAGACGGGCAAAGATACTAGTCAGAGATGGAATTGTAATGAAGCAGAAGGCAACACAAGCCTAAGTAAAGAAGAAAAGATACGAAACATAACTCAAATAATTTCTTAAATTAGAGGTATAGCAATTTTAGGGCTTTTTAATTAACTACTGTTGTATATGCTCAAGCAAAAGCTTAAAAATAGAACACAAGTAGGTATCTTTCCCACTTTCATCTACAAAACACGGCCCGCAAAGTTTGTGAAATTCAAACTGACCCAACTCTTGGGGTTTCCCTTTATTAACAGTGAAAACAATAAAATAAAGATGAGCTCAGAACTTCTTTGAAGGCTTTCTTGCTTCTAGGGTTCCTCCCTCAGGAGTGACTAACCCACACCCTAGAGCCTCTCTCTCTCCAGAAAGTCAATTCCACTTCCTATATATCCAGGTGCCATGAGTCGCTTGACTGTGAGTGAACACAAACCACTTAATCCTTCCCCAGAAAGATCTACACTTTCTAAGAGCGTGGGATGCTTCAGGGGAAAACTGGCACGCTGATACATATGAATCATATAGTTCTGGTGTAAAGACACACCTGCACTATGAGAATATATTAGTTAATTTAAGTATCCACTTTAGATTTAAGTATCCACTTTGACTTTTTGATTATGATACACATTGTCATGCCATTTATCTTGCAGCAGCTCTTTTCTCCCCTCTATATAACTGGCTTGTATACAATGACAATTAATTTGGAAAAATGAAATTTCCTTAAAGGAGGGCTTAAAAAAACCTCACTTAGAGACCGAATCCTATCACCCTTACTTAGGCAAACTCATGGGACTCTGCAGGAGTTTTGTCTAATGAGGATAGCAGCAGTTGGTTGTTAGTGAGTAAATATCAGTGCCCATAAGGGAAAGTGAATTGATAAGCAATATGGAAACCACAAATGTATTTCTTCTGTATAAATGACAACCTTAGGCTCCAGCCTATCGTAACATCTGTGCACATGGGATGAAGAATCTAGAAATATATTTGACTTTTTCACTTACCCTGACAAATGCGGCTGTCTTTCTGGAATGATTTCCTTTCATCACTTTTCTCGTTTCCATTGCCAGCTGGTTCACAGACTATGCATAAAAAAGAAAAGTAAGGCACTAATAGAAATGAATAGATTTACCAGGTCTGCAAATAAACACCCAACTCTTATCATTCTGTCAAGTTAAACATATGGGAAACAAAAGTAGCCAAAGGGATAATGTGTTCACCACAACTATGTTTGGAGGGTCCTTGTCTGGCTGGCCAGAATGAAAGGAGTTGTGGTCCCTTTATGGGCTCCCCTCTGCAACTGGGGCAGAAGGGGAAAGTTGACATGGACAGACAGAACAGGGAAGAGCAGGAAGCAGCTAGGTCAGATCTGGAGGGGATACTGCCCTTCCTACTGACTGGTATTTAAACCCCTTGCAATCCAGGAGAAGCCCTCTTTTACCTGGATCAGGCTGGCAGCACCACCCTCCCACCCATGAAATCCGAGAAAGAACCAGCTTCCTTCATGATCTGCTGTTGCCCGTTTTTTCTTGGGGACTGGGAAAGAATTTTTCCCTCACTGCAAGACTCGGCGAGATGGGGTGGATTTTTTCATCTTTCCCAAAGTAAATCTAGGACCCTCTAGGATTGAGGAGGGGTGTTCAGTTATAATGCCACAACTTAGTAGGTAAAACTCATGGCAGATGTCCAGTGCAGATACTTGTTATGGAAGGGTATGGAAAAGGATGAGAGAGAAAACATCTTGAGAAAACTGAGGAGGGGGAGGTTTGGGGCTCCTACATCTGGAACAGTAAGCAGCTGACCCCCTCCTCCTTTTCTAGCCCCCCTTTTACCTCATACAAGAGGAGAGGATATACGGTCCCAGCAACTGGATGGTCAGGACTAGTTGGGGATTATATGGAAATGATTAGGAAACTATGACGACCCACAGTGTACAATTTATTGCCATGTACTTCCAGATATTTTAAGTGATTTTGTTTTTATTGTAGCTTAACTAAACCACATCCATTGCCTCCTGTCTTTCTTCTGATTTGGCTGGACAACGTGTGCTATTACAAAAGATACTGATATGCCTTAGGTGCAGTATTTAGCCTAGGTCTAACCTCCAAGAAGTGAAGTATTTATCATACCTGCACTTTAAGTGTATTAGTGCTTTTGTAAAATTATTCGTTACATAAAAACAACAACAAAAATAAAAAAAGACAACTGGTTGAATTTCCACCCAAGGCTCTATCGGAGATAGATTCAGTAAGTGAGTCAATCAGTATCTGTTTGTAACTCCCACTTTATAAACCAATCTAATTAGTAGCAATGGATTAATTCTCCCCATCCTATTACCACCAAACACCAAAACAGTCATGCGGATTATTATATTGCTATTATTTTTCAGTTACCCAACAGTTTTAAATTTAAAAATATGAAATTATGCTTCCACAGTTTGTTTTGGGGATGCATTCAAAGGCTAACCAGCACTTGTAAACTATACAGTGAATTGCTGACCTGGCATTTCAACCTTTTCCATTTCTATTTTTTCTTGTTTGCTTGAACTAAGCAAGAATGGAAAAATTCTTATTTAATTATGAAAAAAATTCCTACACTGATCTAGTCATATGAACTCGGCTTATCTCGATATCATTCTGTCAAACTGATTTCTGATCCTGGGCAGTCAGAACTAATACATAAGCCTGAAATGCAGACTCTTTTCACATACCTTACAGGGTGGGTTCTTATTTGTGCTCCTGGATTCCATAACTCCACCAAAGTCTTTGACTTTTAATTATTTATTTTTGTGAAATACTGTTTCTATCTTGTGTATAATAATCATTTAAAAATTAACACAAAAGAAAATAAACTTAACTATGAAAGATGTCCCATTTCTTCTAATACTCAATTCATAATCCAATTAGAACACCACTACATTTTTCAGAAAAAATGTGCAGAAGGTAGCTATGGAAGAAGTTTATACTGCCATCAATCACCGTGGTATTTCAGGTTTCAGAGTAACAGCCGTGTTAGTCTGTATTCGCAAAAAGAAAAGGAGTACTTGTGGCACCTTAGAGACTAACCAATTTATTTGAGCATGAGCTTTCGTGAGCTACAGCTCACTTCATCTGATGCATACGCATCCGTGGTTAGTCTCTAAGGTGCCACAAGTACTCCTTTTCTTTTCGTGGTATTTCAGCACCTTTCATCTGCAAACAGCCAAGTCCCAGTGGAATTTATTAAGTCTCTGGTTCTTACCCTTTACACAGCTATAGAAAGCTCTGCTTTTGAGGGAGGTTCAGGGGGAAGGTTGATGTTATGCATGTCCTTCTGCTTCCAGTGCAAAAACTTGATCAAATAGGAAAATTTTGCAGAGTTTGCCAAAGGTGGTCTGACTTTGGAATTTGTTTAATTTCATCTGGAAGTTTGTTCCAGAGACAGACTCTCTCCTGGAGAGCACTCACATGCTTCCTCCTGTGACTATCAGCCCCCAATTTCTGAATATATAGGAAGACCTTGTAGTATTGTTTGTTCCATAAGCTAATGAATGTAATGAAACAGCTAATTTGCATCATTAAATGGTACTGAGTATGGGGGTAAAGTACACAATTGAAGAAAAATTTAGTGAGAAAAGAAAGGCAAAAACAAAGTCTACTCCTGAATACCTAGCGAAATAAACCTTAACACAGTAAATATAAGGAATGGCAATCTGGGGGGTGGGGGAAGGCGGAGGGAGGGGGAGGAACCCACTGATTAAGACAACAACATCTGCAGTAAAATTTTTGCTTACATGAACCAGCTGGACAAGAACAGGCTCCAGATTGCAAAACATTGACCTAGCTTCAACATAAAAACTCAGCTGCTGCTCAAAGTCCCGGCCAAACGATACCTGGGATTAGGAAGATACAAAAAGCCACACTTATGACATGTCCGCAGCACACAGCTATTTGATCTTTCTATAATGTGTGTTGAATTAAGGTGCTCTCTCTCTCTCTTTTTTGTTTGTTCCAAAAGGGTTGGAATGAAGATCCTCAACTGCAATTAAGTTCAATAATTTCAAAGTAACTTGCTCACAGCTATATTAGGGATAGAAGAGATTCTCCTTCAACTATTCACCTTCCATAATTTAGCTTCTAGGGAAATCTGCAAGTGTTTTTATTATTATTATTAAAACAATATATAGTTTCTGATTTATGGTGTGAATATTTCTCAAGCATACAACACTTATCAGCTTCCAGACTTCTGGAAAGGGATCTGGTATCTCACAGAATTCCTAAAGTGAGGTTTATAGGAAGTGGGGGTTTGGTGTGGTTTGCATTTTAACAAAACAAAAACACAAAACAAAACAAAGCAGCTTAACAGAAAACCCACATAATCACTCTACAAACAGATTAATGAATCAACCTTTTTACTGACACTAGTTTATTACGCAGCCAATAAAAACTGTCTTTTGAAGAGTGGGCATTTGGGGGTTTTTTAAGTTATTTTTAAAGTCTGTCTCAATTTTCGAATACTGGAGGGCTCAGAAAACTGATTTTTTAAAAAACGTTTTTTGTTTTTAATTTTGTGTTGATCCCTCTCAGGTGTGGGTGGTGGAATTACACCTGCTAATGTTACTTTTCACTTGCTAGTGACTTGTGAACTTTCAGACTGTCACGACACGCAAGACATTCATTAAATATTCAACTTTAAAACACGTATAGGTTTTACAGGATATTTAAAGACATTTAACAGAAGATTTTGATGCATGCTGTGATACACTTTAAACTAGGCCTGTGATACCAAGTAAGGATCAACAGTTGTATGACATTTCTTCAAAACATCTGCATATTTCCTTCACTAAATATACTGGGTGGGATTTTTAACATCTCCTGAGCAAGTTGGATGCTCAAGTCCCTTTGAATTTCAGTGGTATTTAGGTGCCTACTTCCCACTCGGTAACTCTGCCACAAAAAGTTTTCCCAGGCAATCATGAATACTAAGTACTCACCATTTTTATAAATCCATTTATCAAAGATGCTAACATTCTCTTTTCATCTTCAAGTGTTAGTGCACTACAACAGTAAGTTTATATAGTCAATACAATATAAGCCATCTTAAAAAAAAAAAAGACGTTTCAACTATATACGTATTTTACAAATTCTTTAAAAAAAATTATGCTCACAGTATCTAATTCACTCATTTTAAGGACACATATTAATCTAATACTCATTTTATACTCATAATTTTTAAACTAACTTAAAATCACACTGTATTTGTGATTGTCAGCTATTTTTAATAATACTCTTAAAGGGTTATTACCAGGACAAGTTTGGCCTAATATGTAAATTCTGTAAAATAAGATTTTATTAAATGTAGAGACCAACAGAAACATTTCTATGAAATACTCTGAATCCCAGTGAAAAAAGATATAGCTTTTATCCAGACTAATATTCTCATAACAACAATTCAGTGGGTGCAGCACTGAACTACAGCATGAAAACATGAATGAGAAATTGACTATAAACTAATTATAAACAAGTTAGATTAGCTCATCAACAAGTTAGATTAGCTCATTTAGCTCTCATGTTCCTACTTGAGAGAAATACAAACAATTTAAATAAAACCTTAAATGTGACATTTAATGTTCTTTCAGTTTTAATTCTCTAAGGTGTTATTTATAAGAAGGTTTTTGTTTTAAACTATGATTACTCAACTGTGTCCTTTTAACTCTGTTACCATTACCACTGTGTCTCATTATAGTGTTCTCTAGAAGTTTTGCTGTCACAAATGGTACTAAAATGATACATTTACTTCCAACATTACCACAAATATATCTGATCTTTCAGAAGGCATAACCCAAATTCAGTATGAGACAAATTTACATCACATGGACAGCCAATAAGCTAGATCTGTTTGGATGAAAATGGATAAATAGAATTTAAATTACAATTAAGTAATCCCATTTAATCCTTTTACTATTACGTACTTGTCTCCAGCTTTGACCTCCTGTGTATCATTTTACCATTTTCCTAGAGCAGACACCAGATGGAAATAGTTTTATCCAGTAGAGAAGGAAGGAAAACCTCAGCATGATTCGCTCATTAGTACATTACCAGTCAAAAGAAAGAACTGAGGGTGAGCTGTTGTTACCAGTCAACAGCTGTTCAAGTGGCCTAAGATCTAGACTGTGGGTTGAAACTTTGCTGAATCAAAGTTTGTAAAAAGTGGAAAGAGGTAGTTTTAAACTTATTAGAATGCTATGTAAAATGGCCATTGTAAGAGCTGACAGAACAGAATCAAAAGAATGATGTAAATTAATTTTGCCTGAAATAAAAGTATTGCTAATTAGGGGTTTACCAAGGTTCCCAGTGAAGGCTCAGAGCTGTTTTGGCAACAAGATGTGAAGAAGCGTCAACTATAGGCCACTGGCAACTGTTTTGATTCTTTAATAATTAATTTTATTTTTAATAAATATTACTGTTTAAAGGTTGAAAAGACATTAAAGTACGTATGTAAGCCAAAAAGACCACATAACCTAGAATAAAGCATTTGGACTTGTCTTCATTTGAATTACATGCCAAAGCTGATTTCCTCTATTGCTAGTGTGTCTTGCATTCACTGACACTCTATGATCTGAGGAAACTTACAATAATATACTATAAACATTGAAAGTGTTGTAAATTACGTTTACAATATTGGCACTAAATTATAAATGGCTCTTGATTAGGAGCACCACAAAAATGTGCCCTTACAATTCTATTCAACCCACATAGAAAGAAGGAAGGAGAGTTTTGTGATTTACACACAAAAGTAGGCGCTTGGAAATCTTGGTTCTATTCCCAACTCTGCCAAAGATTTTCTGTGTGATTTTGGGTGTCACTTAATCACTGTGTCTCAGTTTCCTCACCCTCAGAATTGGGATAATAATATTTCCCTACCTCACAAAGGGTGTTAAATATTAGTACAGTATCATTTGTATCAGTACAGTTTAATTATTAATCTGTCCAGCGCTTTGAAACACTTGGATGGAAACTGCTACAGTAGTCCAGAGTACTATATCAAAGCAAAGTTGTTGGCACGCATGCAGCTCTTTTCTTCTATTTCTAAAAATAAATTGGCCTCTAATAACTGCTAAAAATTATGGGCCAGGCTCTGACGCATGGTTTATGAGGACTCAGCACAGTTGAAGGGGGTGCATAGAAAAAGGAAGTCTGTTCTTGACTGTTCCAACTGCCAACAGCCCCTGAGAGCCATTATGACAGCTGGGGATTACCAGGACATCCCAGTTTTATTTCCTGCACAGCCATAGAGTGTGGGTTTGATGTAGGAGTTTCTCTACCACCCAACAATCCCCCTACTCAAGAGAGATTTTCTTGTTATTTCTGCCAGATTAGGGCTGCTTTGTGCAGGTCAAATAACTAAAAGTGGCTGGAGTGCAACTCAATTTCGGGAGCTGTGTTTTTAATGGCAAAGTATGTATTGAAAACCTCTAAATACTGTATTGTTCACTGTAGTTCCTGGAAGATTCTAGCTGCTTTTTATCCTCACAAAAACTGAAAAGGGCCCAAACTGGCATCCTCTCTTTTAACAGCATCTGCTACTTTGTTTATGCTTTTTATTCTCAAAAAGTATCCTTGCTGCTTCCCTCTACGCTAGAAAAATCTATTAAGTTATTGCCATTTTCCAGTTCGAATGCTGAAACAAAGAATCTAACAAAGCAATTATTAAAGCGTAAATAATTTGTATTGTGATTTTACTGCACAGCTTGTATTAGTGCAAAACAGAGGGCCATGCATAAATTTACCGTGAAACATTAACCCCCCCTAAAAGTAAAACTATACATCAGAACATCCACCATTTACACATATTCTGTATTATAGTACATGTAAATTTCATCTTACTTCACAGAATCATGCATGGTCTTGCACACGTGTAGAAGAGCATTAAGTATGACAGGGTCTTTAGTAGCATCTTGTTGATGTCTAAAAAACATTTTTGGAAAATACTGATAAAAATACTGCAGTTTCTCCAAGACACAAAATAGTGGAAAACTGAAAATTCATTTAATGCTGATTTTGCATAGGCAGCCTTTATATACTCTTATGAACAGAGAATTGCAATGGTGAAAACATGATCTCTGTCTGTGAAATAACCTCCAAAAAACAGCTTGCATTGTACAACATCTCAACGTATTTTTCTTTTTACAAAAATACACAGAGTATATTTATACCTTCACAGTTAATACACAGTTAAAAAAAACATGACAGTGGGACTTATATTTCATAACTATCTGGCAGTGTTATTACAAAGTCACAGACACCTTAAGTCTTATGGATGGTGAGAGTGTAGACAGATTGCCCAGGAACGTCCAGCTAAGAACTTGAAAGCAAAACCAGTAAAGAAATCTCAGATAGGAATCTAGTTCCTTGGTTAATGTCAGATAGCACAGAATGGGCAACATGCCCTGTCTAGGCATGCAAGGACTAATTAGACGACCAAGTTTATATCCTGAAGTCACATCACCTTGAGGTATTAATCATGCCACAGATAAATACTGAAGCCAAAAAACAGAATTCCTGAGTTACCAGGGGAATGAGAAATGCCACTCTATTTCCTAGATAATATCTCCAATGCCATTTTCAACAGATAGTTTGAAAGAAACCATTTGCTCTCCCATACTCTGAGCTCTGAAGAAGGAGGAGAACAAGTGCCTCAACTCTAGCACAGCCAACCAACTGCCAAGGACAAAGAAGTGTAACACTCACTATGCAATAAAATAAGGCCACCTGAAAGAGATAAATGGCAGAGACATCTAACCCTGATGAGCAATGCATGCTCTGTACTGTATTAACTTATAACCACTGTATCTTTTACTGTAACAGAGCATTCAGAACAGCCCCTGTGAACAGACCAAACCCCACTGTATCCTCAACACAGCAAAACCACCATGATTCAATTGCATCTCCTTCCTGAGGAATGGCTTCACTGGACAACTCAAAAACACTGAAGCATAAACTTCAGCCTAAGCTTCCTCTCCAGAGCCCCCCTCTCCCTCATTTCCTAATGGCCCAAAGAGACACTCCCATTCCCTCTATATGCTGGGAGGAGCCAACTAGAACCACCTGCCAATCTGTTTAGCAGTAATTACTCTAGATATTAATACAGAGATTAAGCACCTGGGCTTAGAGTGATACAGCTGAAGAGCCCTGCATTCCAGTACAGGATCTTATAGTCTACTAGTGCCTAACTAGGAAATATTAGTAGGGCAATTAATTGTTCATTCTATTTGTACTGAATATGGTTTTTTCTGCTGTACAAATGCCTAGTGATAAACTATACATTAATTTACTATATACTATTTAAGTGTTCTTTGCCTATGTAGTATTAAAAGCTCTCCACTTAATATATTGCCTAACAAAAGGGCATTACCAAAAGCATGCTCTACATATATCAGGAGCAGGTCCATCTCACTGTAAGTGGAATAGAGCAGGCAATATTTATCACCCCAGAGCTCTGTTTTAAGTGGAAGTAAGCCTGGAAACTTCATTAATAAGTGTTCCATTCGCTTCAAGTGGCACCACTGGTAACGAAGGCAGCACACAGGAACACTTAGAAGTGGATGGAAGGGGTCAGTGACAGGCAATCTCTGTCCATATGGTAAGTACCATATCTAAAAGACAAAAGAATTTGGCGTTCTGTATTTACAACAATATTTCTAATGACTTCAAATAAAGTTTTCTGGGTTTTGGTTTGGTTTTTAAATGTATCCAAGCTGCATTTTTGTCATGGTCAAACACCATTTGCAGGCTTCTGCCAACTACAAGGGACTACATTTTTGAAAAATTTAGAACTAGTAACAAAAGACTCCAAACCTGGCACCATCAACTGCACAATCTGTTATATACAGTCCCCTTGGGATATACAATTGACATAATGCAGTACAAACACATTAGGCAGAATCTGAATGGCTATCAATGTTTCTCAACTATGCAATCAAGAAATCATAACAGTCTGCTCTTTTTAACAGACCAGTGGAAGCTGCTCTAGCCAGCCACTCACTATTTATTTTTTCATGCCTGAATTATCAACACTTAATACTTCTGATTGGAAGAAATCTAATTGAAATTCAGATATCACTTTTAAATTATGTACTACTGCTCTCCAATTTGATAATTTAAAAGAAAAAGCTAAGAAAAGAAAGTAATATTTAAAAAAAATATATTTTGTTTTAATGAAAATGACTATTCTGGACTTGGAAAGGTTTGAACATGAAATCTCATCTTCTGATACTGTTTTCCATTCAGGAAGCATTCATTTTACTGTAACAAACATGTCTATTTGTTCCCTTCCTCATTCATATGCCAAGATCATTATTGATGTCAGTCAAGGCTAGGAATACATGGCATTTATCATGTAAACCAAGTCAAGTAATGGAAATTGAAGCAAGCACAAAGAACAATTAATCAGTGGTGGAATCTGTAACAACAAATCTAACTGTTTATTATGGGGAAAGTCAAGTTATATTTCTGAGATAAGGTGGGTGAGGTAATATCTTTCTTGGACCAACTTCTGTTTATGAGAGAGACGAGCTCTTACACAAAGCTCTTCTTCAGATCTTGTCTCTCTAATATCCTAAGATCAACATGGCTACAACACTGCATGCAATTTATATTTCTAACAGACACAGAGTTGACAAGACTATTCACTGATTTTCACTGAAAAACAATTAATAAGCAACTGATGAATAAAGAAGACTAATAAAAAATTGTATATTTATATTTTCTTCTTGGCACCTGGAATATCTTATACATGCCGAATGGACTACAACAAGATTCACTCTATCTCCCCTAGCAACTTTTCAATAGATTGCCCAGATCCTCTAGTGTGCCCTTAATCACAATATTTTCTACTTACTTAATAAAAGCTTCCATAATGCACTTGCAAACCTCCACTCGCACACTTTCTTTCTGGAACATATCCAGGAATGGTAAGAATTTCTCCTAAAAATACAAATTAAAAAAAAACCAAACAAAAAAACAGGTATATTAAGGTATTTTATACACAAAAGCTTTTGATCTCTGTGCTGAAGATGAAAATCTGCTTAAAGAACCAATAAGTATAAATATTTTAGAAATATTTAAAATAATCTCAGCTATGAGTGTATGAGTATAATAGACCAGTTTTTACCTCTTTTGAAGAAAGTTATTTTTCCTGGAGGATCAGTGATTAGGTACTGAGAGATTATAGCACGGTGGTATGAATGGAGAAATCCTATTGGCTGACAAAAGAGCTAGTTTATTGGCTCGGAGTATCCAGTATAAACATGCAACAGGTCAGAGCTCATTTAGACAAGTATCACCAAAAAATAAGGAAAACATGTTATAAAAGCAATAATATGCTTGAAGCAGCACAGATACAGAAGTGATGATCACTGGGAAGTCTGAGGACTCCAGGAACAAGTCATAGGGTATTACAGTCCCAAAAAAATCTGTCAAATTCCTGCCACCATTTTGGATTTTTCCAGGGCTACTTTTGAAGCTGTAGACCGTTCGGATGTCATTTAAAGATGCTGACTTTGAGAATCTAGAGAATTAGTTTTCTGTACCATCCCCAAAATATGTGTAAGGTAAAATTTTCTAAGTGCCCAAGTGACTTAGGGACTTAAACCCTATTGACTTTCAGTGAGCATTAGGTGCCCAAGTGGCTTGAAAAAAAAAAATGGGATTTTGGCTCCTAAATCACTTAGGCATATTGGAAAAGTTTCCTCTGCGTTACAAAGTCTGATTAAACAACTGAAATTTGATTCAAACGCACCCGTTGGCCTCCCTAAACTTTCCTTTGCACCTCAAAGGAGTGGGTGGGTGAGATTCTGTGGCCTGCGTTGTACAGGCCCTTAATCAGAACTAGAGGATCATAGATGCCTTCATAGTATAGGGATCATAGATCCCTTCTGACCTTGGTATCTATGAATCTATGAATCAGTACCGGAACAGTTGACACTGAATTCTTTGCTATGACACATATGTATACATTATACTGAAACATTCATTATGTAGTTATCAGCACAGCACACAAATAGGCTGTATTAGTTTATCTGAGCTCCCTTTGCTGGCTGGCTGTTACTGCTGCTGCATTAAAACAAAGATATATTAGAGATTTAAATAGTATTAGAGAATTCTATAACCTAAGAAGAAAACAGTGTGATAGGCTGGAATGTAAATAATGGATTTTTTAAGAAGTTAACAAAAGAAAACTTCCCCTGGTGTTTTAACAGTTTTATACTTGACAAAAAGTGCTTCTCACCATGTGAGCTTTCAGATGACTTAGATAAGTAAATTAGGTTAGCTTTCCTTATAAAAAACAGTCTACACTCAAGTTCTAGAAAACAATGCAAAGATATGACTTACCGCTGAAAAAAGTACAGAAAAGTCATGGAAATAGGTGATAATTTTCTGAATAATTGACTGAAGCTAGGAAAAGAAGAAAAACAACTAAATACATTACAAATTGCATGTTAAAGTACATAATGATGACAGATCTATCTGCAAATCATCTAATTTATAGGTTATTTTTCTCCTGTTAATGCCTAGAAAACAATTTTTTATATACACACACACATATATATATACACACACACACAAATTATTTTGTTGTAAATTATTCTAGATTTAAAAATTGACCTCCATGAATAAAACTGGAACACTATACCACGGCTTCACTTTATTCTAAAGAGCTTCCTGAATTACAAAAGGCCTTTTAAAACACACTGTAAGGTAAGAGACTTTAGAAGCCTCTGTGCATTTTCTTGGAACAAAATTAGTTATTTAAAGACTTGGTAAATAAAACAGTCTCTTACCTGTGGATAGGCATCTTCAAATGCACGATCTGGAGTCATGTGTTTGATAACATCTGCCAAAACAGTATTGACCTCACGCTTCTATGTAGTGAAAATTAAATGTCACAACTCAGCATAAAAAATGGTGCAGAAATCAAATGACTAAAATACTTTGTTAGTACTAAGTTAAGGTTGAGAATTTATTGCCATTTACAAAAGAATGAATTTTCTACACAGTTGTAGTTGAAACCAGATAATTCTTATTTAAGGTTCAATCAGCCACCTACTGTAACACTGCCTGTTTCCCCAATTATGTTCCAAATACAGGTTAGAAATATATTCATGAATGATCAAAAGGACTCCTTTTGAGCCTCTAATATGTATCTATTCAGCACTCACATTAGGAGATAATCTGGTTTATAGTTTTTCACATTGTAAACTGCTACTTACTGTCTACATATAGTTAAAATTAGAAAAAAAAATCCTTGTAGAAATTCCTACATACCGTAAAGTGTCTGCAGGTATACTCCACCCACACTTCTGCACAGTTAATATAATCCTAGAAAAAATATTATATATATAAAATGGTCAAAAGAATGCATCACCTTCAAAATCCGTATCAAGTTTCAGAGTATATATTTCTCATCCCGCAGTCTGCTTAAGTAATTACTCAGGCACTTGTCTGGCACTTGGATCCAAGCAGGCACAAGGACCTACCTTCATGGTTACAAATTTCAAAACGGGGCCCTGCTGTACCCAAACCGAGTACAAAAGGGTGGGTTCATATGAAACATGTGCCCGGTATTTTATTGACAAGGCAATTATTGAGTGTCTAGGAATGATGAACTAGGCAATGCTATGCTCAATGTGTATTAAAAGCTCATATGTAATTGTGGTATTTTTTTTTTAAATAATTTTGAACAACTGGCTACCACTGTATCTGAAATAGGCAAGTCAGTTCCAACTTACCCCAGAACTCCTGTCAATTACCCACCTGTGGGTTTTTCAATTTTGTGATAACCTTCCAGGCTTCATTTAATATCTGAAGGCGATCACATTCAGGAGGATCAGCCATGGCCAAGTTTAACCCCAAAGAGCGAAAGAGAAGATGCTGAGGAAAGATCAGACCATCCTATCAGTTAGAGATTCTCTATGAAACAGATCATACTTCAAAATACTACTGGTTACAAAATTATAAAGTTGGGTAAGTCACTCAAAGATCATATACTTTCTAGCCCAAAGACTGAACTGTAATGAACTTTTGTTGGAGAACTATAAGCAGTTACATTTAATTAGCAACTCATCAGAGCATATACATTGAAATGATATACAGCATTAAGACCATTTGCTTTTGATGGACCAACATGAAAGTACTATATTGTGTTCTGCTGTTTAACATGCATACAAAGGGTATGTCTACACAATGAAATTAGGTCGAATTTATAGAAGTCGGTTTTGTAGAAAGCGTTTTTATACAGCCGATTGTGTGTGTCCCCACACAAATGCTCTCAGTGCATGTAGTCGGCAGAGTGTGTCCACAGTACCGAGGCAACCGTCGACTTCTGGAGCATTGCACTGTGGGTAGCTATCCCACAGTTCCTGCAGTCTCCGCCGCCCATTTGAATTCTGGGTAGAAATCCCAGTGCCTGATGGGGCTAAAACATTGTCGTGGGTGGTTCTGGGTACATATCATCAGGCCCCCCCCTTCCCTCCCTCCTTCCGTGAAAGCAAGGGCAGACAATCGTTTTGCGCTTTTTTCTTGAGCTACCTGTGCAGACGCCATACCATGGCAAGCATGGAGCCCGCTCCTCTCACCGTCACCGTACGTCTCCTGGGTGCTGGCAGACATGGTACTTTACTGCTACACAGCAGCAGTTTATTGCCTTTTGGCAGCAGACAGTACAGTATGACTGGTAGTCGTCGATGTAGTCCTGGGTGCTCTTTTAACCGACCTCGATGAGGTCAGGGGCACCTGGGCAAACATGGGAGTGACTTAGCCAGGTCATTTCCCTTTTAAGTTTCGTCTCGTGGCGATTGAGTCCTACCGGCAGTGCACTGTCTTTTAATCAGCAGCCAGCAGAAGATGATGGCCAGTAGCCATACTGCACCGTCTTCTGCTGAGCACCCAGGAGAAGACGATGGCTAGCGCTCGTACTAGATGAAGTGGCTCAAAACAAGAAATAGACCAGATTTGTTCTGTATTCAATTTTCTCCTCCCTCCCTCCGTGAAATCAACGGCCTGCTAAACCCAGTTTTGAGTTCTATCCTTGAGGTTTTGAGTTCTATCCTTGAGGGGGCCATTCAGTTTCTCGCAAAGCCACCCCCATTGTTGATTTTAATTCCCTATAAGCCAACCCTGTAAGCCATGTCGTCAGTCGCCCCTCCCTCCACCAGGACAAAGGCAGAAAATCGTTCCACGCCCTTTTTTCTGTGCAGACGCCATACCATGGCAAGTATGGAGCCCGCTCAGATCACTTTGGCAAGTAGGAGCACATTAAACACCACACACATTATTCAGCAGTATATGCAGCACAAGAACCTGCCAAAGTGAAACCGGGCGAGTAGGCGACGTCAGCGCGGTGACGAGAATGATGAGGACATGGACACAGACTTCTCTCAAAGCACGGGCCCTGGCAATGTGGGCATCATAGTGCTAATGGGGCAGGTTCATGTGGTGGAACGCCGATTCTGGGCTCGGGAAACAAGCACAGACTGGTGGGACCGCATAGTGTTGCGGGTCTGGGACGATTCCCAACGGCTGCAAAATTTTCGCATGCGTAAGGGCACTTTCATGGAACTTTGTGACTTGATTTCCCCTGCCCTGAGGCACAAGAATACCAAGATGAGAGCAGCCCTCACAGTTGAGAAGCGAGTGGCAATAGCCCTGTGGAAGCCTGCAATGCCAGACAGCTACCAGTCAGTCTGGAATCAATTTGGAGTGGGCAAATCTACTGTGGGGGCTGCTGTGATGCAAGTAGCCAACGCAATCAAAGATCTGCTGATATCAAGGGTAGTGACCCTGGGAAATGTGCAGGTCAAAGTGGATGGCTTTGCTGCAATGGGATTCCCTAACTGTGATGGGGCCATAGATGGAACCCATATCCCTATCTTGGCACCAGAGCACCAAGTCGGCGAGTACATAAACCGCAAGGGGTACTTTTCAATAGTGCTGTAAGCACTGGTGGATCACAAGGGACGTTTCACCAACATCAACGTGGGATGGCCGGGAAAGGTACATGACGCTCGCATCTTCAGGAACTCTCGTCTGTTTCAAAAGCTGCAGGAAGGGACTTTATTCCCAGACCAGAAAATAACCGTTGGGGATGTTGAAATGTCTATAGTTATTCTTGGGAACCCAGCCTACCCCTTAATGCCATGGCTCATGAAGCCATACACAGGCAGCCTGGACAGTAGTCAGGAGCTGTTCAGCTACAGGCTGAGCAAGTGCAGAATGGTGGTAGAATGTGCATTTGGATGTTTAAAGGTGTACTGGTGCAGTTTACTGACTCGGTTAGACCTCAGCAAAACCAATATTCCCAGTTATTACTGCTTGCTGTGCGCTCCACAATATCTGTGAGAGGAAGGGGGAGATGTTTATGGCGGGGTGGGAGGTTGAGGCAAATCGCCTGGCTGCTGGTTATGCACAGTCAGACACGAGGGCAGTTAGAAGAGCACAGGAGGGCGCAGTGCACATCAGAGAAGCTTTGAAAACCAGTTTCATGACTGGCCAGGCTACGGTGTGAAAGTTCTGTTTGTTTCTCCTTGATGAAACCCCCCACCCCTTGGTTCACTCTACTTCCTGGAAAGTGATCCACCCTCCCCTCCTCCCTTCGATCACTGCTTGCAGAGGCAATAAAGTCATTGTTGCTTCACATTCATGCATTCTTTATTAATTCATCACACAAATAAGGGGATAACTACCAAGGTAGCGCAGAAGGGGTGCTGGAGGAGAGAAGGATAATGCCACACAGCACTTTAAAAGTTTAAAACTTATTGAATGCCAGCCTTCTGTTGCTTGGGCAATCCTCTGGGGTGGAGTGGCTGGAGGCCCCCCACCGTGTTCTTGGGTGTCTGGGTGAGGAGGCTATGGAACTTGGGGAGGAGGGCGGTTGGTTACACAGGGGCTGTAGCGGCGGTCTGTGCTCCTGCTGCCTTTCCTGCAGTTCAACCATACACTGGAGCATATTACTTTGATCCTCCAGCAGCCTCAGCATAGAGTCCTGCCTCCTCTCATCACGCTGCCGCCAACTTTCAGCTTCAGCCCTGTCTTCAGCCCACCACCACTCCTCCCGGTCATTTTGTGCTTTCCTGTACTCTGACATTGTCTGCCTCCATGCATTCGTCTGTGCTCTGTCAGTGTGGGAGGACAGCATGAGCTCAGAGAACATTTCATCGCAAGTGTGTTTTTTTCGCCTTCTGATCTTCGCTAGCCTCTGGGAGGGAGAAGATCCTGTGATCCTTGAAACACATGCAGCTGATGGAGAAAAAAAAGGGACAGTGGTATTTAAAAAGACACATTTTATAGAAGAATGGGTACACTCTTTCACGGTAAACCTTGCTGTTAACATTACATACATAGCATATGTGCTTTCGTTACAAGGTCGTATTTTGCCTCCCCCCAGCATGTGGCTAGCCCTTCCCTTCTCCCCGTGGCTAACAGTGAGGAACATTTCTGTTCAGCCACAGGCAAACAGCCCAGCAGAAATGGGCACCTCTGAATGTCCCCTTAAGAAAAGCACCCTATTTCAACCAGGTGACCATGAATGATATCACTCTCCTGAGGATAACACAGAGAGATAAAGAACGGATGTTGTTTGAACGCCAGCAAACATACACTGCAATGCTTTGTTCTACAATGATTCCCGAGTACGTGCTACTGGCCTGGAGTGGTAAAGTGTCCTACCATGGTGGATGGAATAAGGTTGCCCTCCCCAGAAACCTTTTGCAAAGGCTTTGGGAGTACATCCAGGAGAGCCGCGAATGCCAGGGCAAATTAATCATTAAACACGCTTGCTTTTAAACCATGTATACTATTTAAAAAGATACACTCACCAGAGGTCCCTTCTCCACCTGGCGGATCTGGGAGGCAGCCTTGGGTGGGTTCAGGGAGTACTGGTTCCAGGTCCAGGGTGAGAAACAGTTCCTGGCTGTCGGGAAAACCGGTTTCTCCGCTTGCTTGCTGTGAGCTATTTACAACCTCATCATCATCATCATCTTCCTCGTCCCCAAAACCTGCTTCCGTGTTGCCTCCATCTCCATTGAAGGAGTCAAACAACACGGCTGGAGTACTGGTGGCTGAACCCCCTAAAATGGAATGCAACTCATCATAGAAGCGGCATGTTTGGGGCTCTGACCCGGAGCGGCCGTTTGCCTCTCTGGTTTTCCGGTAGGCTTGCCTCAGCTCCTTAAGTTTCAGGCGGCACTGCTTCGGGTCCCTGTTATGGCCTCTGTCCTTCATGCCCTGGGAGACTGACAAATGTTTTGGCATTTCGAAAACTGGAACGGAGTTCTGATAGCACGGATTCCTCTCCCCATACAGCGATCAGATCCCGTACCTCCCGTTCGGTCCATGCTGGAGCTCTTTTGCGATTCTTGGACTCCATCATGGTCACCTCTGCTGATGAGCTCTGCATGGTCACCTGCAGCTTGCCACGCTGGCCAAACAGGAAATTGAAATTCAAAAGTTCGCGGCCTTTTCCTGTCTACGTGGCCAGTGCATCTGAGTTGAGAGTGCTGTCCAGAGCAGTCACAATGGAGCACTCTGGGATAGCTCCCGGAGGCCAATACCGTCTAATTGTGTCCACAGTACCCCAAATTCAACCCAGCAAGGCCAATTTCAGCGCTAATCCCCTTGTCGGGGGTGGAGTAAGGAAATTGATTTTAAGAGCCCTTTAAGTCGAAAAAAAGGGCTTCATCGTGTAAATGGGTGCAGTGTGAAATCGATTTAACGCTGCTAAATTCAACCTCAACTCCTAGGGTAGACCAGGGCTTATTTGGCAGATTCCTGAAGAAAGGCTCTAAACTAGCACACCCAGAAGTCAGATTTTGCTCCCATTGAAGTCAACAGCAAAACTCCCATTGGCTTCAATGGAGCAGGATTAAGCCCCTTAAAACAGTACAAATAAGTGCTGGGAGTAGAGTCACATGCTGTGTGAAGGAAGCCACAATTAGTTAATTCCCAGCACTTCTTTCCAGCACTGGGATTGACTGGCTAATAATAGCCCCTTCCTTATAACAAATAAACTGCAACAGGCCTCTTTTTGATCCATTCACTGCTACTGCAGAAGACATAGTTCCTGTCTCTATTCTCAGTCGACCCCTCCCACTCGTAAAGGATTCAGGACCCAAGAATGAAACAGGAATAGAAATCACTTTATGTTCTAGATCTTAAATCACCTTATTCTACACAGCAGAGAGTTCCCATTTTTTAATCCTGTGTGAACTATCTAGACAACTAGCTAAAAGTATAAAGCACTCAGCAAGATAATGAATAAGGATTGCTTTAAATTGCAAAAACTTACCTTGGGGAAACCAGATTCATCGCACTCTTTAATCATGCCAATAAAATCCATAGACCTTGCAGCAATAAACTCCGCTCTGAATGCTGACATCACTGAATTCAACAGCAGGGCACTAGAAGGAACAGGACACAAATCAGCACAGCTCACCATAAATTAAGCCCATTTTCATTGTCTAGTTTACATTAATCTGAACTTCAACGAATAATTAAATACCACTCAGTTTCTACCTGTTTGGGTGATGGGTTGATCAAGGCTGCAATTTGTTGGGAAAACAAGAAAACATGAAGTTTGGCAATGTTGCACAGGATATGTAGAAAACCTCAACCTGTACTTTCTTTGCTTAACTCCAAGGAAAACATCATTTAATTGTCTTTAAAATAAATTTTACATTCGATTTCTTACACTAGGATCAACTTTCTTTCAAGCTATCACTAGCTGAGAGCAGATTTCCTTATAATACTGGCACATCACTCACCAAGCTGGAGACCATTGGCTATTCAGTAAAAAGAAACAGTAATATTGGGAGAGTCTTTGCACATTTGCTGAACTATTCTATTTTCTTCTTCTGTCTGAAGTCCCTGCAATTGAAAGTATCTTTTGGTATGGCAACAGCCTCCATTGAAGCTTTGTTGCATTAACTAAAGCTGTTGCTGCGAGGCTGATTTCTACTAAATGAGCTGGTAGAACGGAAATAAATCCATATGATTATAGTAAAGGTGATTATTATTGTCTACAGATATAATAATTGAAACCTGAAATTTATATTTTAAGTTAGCTGTTGAAGAGGCAATCCAATGTACTACACTTCAGAAAAAGTAACTCAATTTGACAGCATTTTAAAACAAATATTCAGGGCCAAATTCTGCCCAGAGATACATCTGCACAACTTCCATTTTGACTTGTAACCCCAGCAGAGTCGACACTCAGTCCTTCATTCTTTTGAAGTCAATAAAGTGAATGCTGTGCAATTTACTGTTTGTGGAGGTCTTTTGCAGAACAGAAGTGAATGGGATTACAGTGATCACATAGCACTTAGTAGGAATTTGCCCTTGTCCACACATTTCCATGCCACCAACTGTTGTCCACAGCATGTTGCACAAGTTGGCTGCTACCTTTCACCTAGAGATGGCTGAATTATAGTGATATTGCATGTATGTAGTTAGTGAAGGGCTTGGGATTTAAAATTTAGCAATGAAAATCACCATATAAATCTAAAATATCATTCAATGAGGTGCACGTAAGAGGGCAGAAATTTGCCTCTTGTTGTTAACCTACAAAACAATGGTCAGAGCTGGGTTATTCAATTTCCAATTAGCTACATTGTGTAAGCATTTAAAAGGTCAAAAATAGACTGAAATTAACACTCCATTAAAACACATAGGAAATTTCTCAGCTCTCTTGGTGCTACATTGTGAAATTTGCCTTGCTGCAAAGCAAACAAGAGAGCTGTGCACAGACTAAGCAGAAAATCTGTCTTCACAACCCAAAAGACTAGAAACTATTTAATTTAAAGACAAATGCTGTAGAATAAACCAAAAATCTATAGACAGAACCTAATACAGTGAGTCTAAAAGCATGACTTTTGCCTCCTCACCCCTGATTTTGAGTCAAAACTTCTCCACTCCTTAACTCAGTCACATGTTTGGTGTTACAATATCTTTCTTTTGGATAAAAGGGTAATGCATTTCCGGCTCTTCACTCAAAGCAGATTACACTAGCTCACTGTTTAGTAAAAAAATTAATCATGTTTGCAAACAATTTTCAAAGACCTCCTCCCTGCCCACTTAATAAACCAAACTGAAACTAGCCAATATAACTTGGGCTAAAACATGCTCACACAATTCAGAAAGAGGATTCAAGACTAGCAATTAACCTTTCTGAATCAGTCACGAAATACAGGTAAACCTGTGCAGACCAGGCCAAACCACATTCCAGTTCAGGTTAATGTACGGAGATGGGATGAACTGTATTTGAAAACCATTTTCTGCTCATTTTTCTAGTTCAGACAGGGACTAAGTTAACTAGGAATGAATGCACATCCTTCCTGAGACAGGCTTGGAAGGCTATTCTTAGCCTTAAAATGGCACTGTTCAGTCACCTGCTTGCAACCTCCCTCACAGTATACACATACTGGCCAATTGGCAAAAGTAAAAAAGGGGAACAGAAGAAAATGTAGCATGTGTAGTTCTCAAAGGAAATGACTGGGAGCACAAAGTATCATGTGGTTTAATCCTAGCTGAACTCTAGCTCATCTGACAATTGGGTCAATTAACCTTTTTACCACAGCCAAATCCACTGGAATTTTGGGTGAAAAAAAAATTCAGGGAACACAGATACTACATCTCAGTTTTAGTAGTTTAATAAAGTACTCCTGCAACAAAATAAAATGAGAGACATTATACAAAGAACTGGATTACAAAAGTGTAACATAAGATTTAGATTTCTGACTCATGGTCTGTTGACCATGCAGTACTTACTTGTTCCCCAGTTTCTTGCATCTCTCCATCATCTCGGTAAGCAGAATCTAGAACAGTGATTTCATTCAAATCAAAAAGTGTGGACCACCCAAATAAAACATTCTCACAGCTTTTGGAAAACTTTACATTAGCTAGAGGTGAATTTCATTACATAGCGACTACATTCCAAACACTACATCCAGTCAAAAGAAAATATTGTGGGTGGTGCAATATAAAACAAATATATGACATGGATATAGTGACATTTTAATCTGACTTGCTACTTCATTTTATAAAAGTCAAGTTTTCAGATCTTTAGTAATGTCTGGAAAAGGTTCTCTCTCTGAAAAATGACATGGTCAATTACCTCTGGTAAGAGAGGGGAATACTAGTAGCTCTTTACTGCAGAATGCAGAAACTCTGATTGAAGTTTTAAGTAGCTTGTTGGCTATGTTAAGCAATTACAAAGCCCAGAGCTTACCAATTTTTTCCTCACTAGTTTATATCAGTATGACAGAAGAAACTGAATAGAATCAGAAGATCAAGAAAGCAAGATGATACCAGCGATTGGGACAGTAAGTAAGAAAATGCAGTATTGACTATAGATGTAAATGTTCTCATTTGTGCTTTAATATAATTGCTTATTATTATTATTTCCAATATACATATATTTTTCCTGTGTACAAGAGTTTTAAAATGTATGCTCATACCTATTGGGGTTTAGTCTATTCCTCTCTAAATATGAGAAAGAGCTGATTTCTAAGATTTTTAAACAAGCCTTTAAACCAGGCAAACTTTTTGGCCTGATGGCCACATGTGGGTATGGAAATTGTATGGCAGGCCATAAATGCTCATGAAATTGAGGGTTGGGGTGCAGGAGGGGGTCAGGGGTGAAGGCTCCGGGTGGCACTTACCTCAAGCACCTCCCAGAAGCAGTGGCATGTCCCCGCTCCGGCTCCTACACGAAGGTGCGGCCAGGCATGGCCAATGGGAGCTGCGGGGTCAGTGGCAGCGTGCAGAACCCCTTGGCTGCCCCTATGCGTAGGAGCCGGAGGGGGAACATGCCACTGCTTCTGACAGTTGCACAGAGCGGGGCAAGCTCCCAACCCCACTTCCTGGCTGGAGCACCGGAGCAGGGCAAGCCCCAAACCCCACTCCCTGGTCAAGGGTCGGATTAAAGTGTCTGGAGGGCCGCATGCGGCCCTCAGGCCATAGTTTACCCACCCCTGCTTTAAACAAGGAGGCAAGCACAGCAGATTTAAATTCTCCTCATGACTCGACTTCCTCCAGCTTTCCTCTCAAATAATGAAGTGTTGTAATGTCTCCTTAGAAATTAATTTCTGTTTCAGACTATTTTTAGGCTGGTTATAATATTATGTTGATCATGTTTATAAATACAAAAAGGTGCAATTTGCATCGCTAAGTTGATAAAGCTGTGCGAAGAACAGCATCATGGGGTTCTGATGCAGAATCAAAGATTTCTAGTTTGGCCCCAGGAGACATGTTATGCAGAGTCCTGTACAAAGCAATCAGATGTGCATTTTCGTGTGGGTGAGGTTTCACCTTTAAAATGTCTTTAGCATCTTCATTATTTAAAAGCATTTACATTATTTAGATTCTACATAATCTGTAAACATGAACTACAACAAGAATGGCTTTATATTGGCACTGCTCATTTGATTACTGTTAAGGCTTGTTAGCACTTCTTTCATACATACACCTATTACCCGTATGCTGCCCTTGATCTGCATTACTTGTACTTTGCCCATTGCTGGTGTCAAGCTTAGAATGCAACATTTTTCTGGATCCCCTTCTTTACCCAAAGGGGAACTACTAGCTTCCTATATTTTCAGAAAGTCAACTTTTATTATTTCCACTTTCTTCAGAATTCTGCATCAGATTGTGATGGTCTCAGATGCATTTCACGTTTTGTTGGGAATTTAAAGATCTGATAGGCTCACCTTTAGAAAATACGGTTTATTATTATTATTGTGGTTGAGATAAAATTTCCCAATCACTTGTTCTGGTGCAAATTTTGATTACCACTAGTACTATATTTTTATCCCAAGAGTCATATCAGACAGAGAAGAAGTTGCCTGCTTTTTATTTACTTATACCCACAGTTCTGTTTCTGCATCTCCTTTTATATTAAAACTATGAAAGGGAAATAAGCTTTGTGGAATAAGGAAGCTGACTTATTTTAGTCCATTGTGTAATATTACAGTTATTCTTCAACTTTGCCGTATCATTTTAAACTTAATATCTACAACTAAAAATAATTATGAATCCACTTATGCCTCCTTCACTATGGTTTTGTTTTTACACTTAATAGTCCTTTCACATTGGCCTTTTTGTCTTTTCAAGCACTCTCACTGGAAACTATTTATGGTTACTTAGAATGTAGGCACTTCAGAGCATTGCATGTATCTTAGCTAGCTATGTAAAGTCCAATGTATATTTACAGCACTATATCTGTTAATAATATCACTCACATAAGCTTTGGTCATTTTTCAATTCAAGTTTGAATATAGCATCCTAGGTCCTACATCAATATGTACTAAATGGTCTAGCAATGAACAATTACCATAGGAATCTATAACATCTTTTAAAAATCAGATATTGTATATGTTCTTTGTTCCAGTTAACTATCAAGCATTTATTTACACGGTGACTATGTCATTTACCTCGGGAGCACGGTACGCGATACACTGTAAAATCCAATCTATAGCAGGAGAGTAGAGAGTCAAATACAATGGAATCTCCACACACTGCACTACCAGCTGATTCTGAACAGTATCCCCATGCATCTGTAAAGGAAGTAAAAGATGAAAGAGCTGCCTGGGGGGGGGGGGGAGAAAGGCATCTGGCTGGGGCTATGAGAAACTGGAAACAAAACTTCAAGTTATAGGTTAATTGAAAGCTTTGAGAGACCAGGGTAACTGAATTACACAGCATGCTCAATAAGTATTCTGCATATTTTCCTGTATTCGGAAGAAATACACAGTGGGCACTATTTAAAATTTGGGCATATAGCATGTACAGTAGTTAAATTTACCACAATATGTGCAGTATTTCCCATTCTAAATATAGGTAATACCACAGTAAAGGTAAATAGTGCAGTCTAGTAAACATCAATTTTGCTGGTGACATCTATTGGCTGGTGACATCATATTTTTTTTCAGATTCACAGTTTCAAAAATATTTACAACTCTAGATTCTAGAACTTTTAAAGGGATTCGTAAAAAGCATTTTCATCATCGGTTGCTCAAGGAACATCCTTATTTCATCACTCAGGCAATACAAACGTATTTGCTTACTTGCTTAAATGTTAGAAGGAAGTCAAAAAAATTCTTGTTAAGGCTTTCTTTACGATGAGGAGCTACTTCCATTCCGACCTACATTCGAAGAAAGAGAAAAATTGTATCTTTACCACTTACCATCCTCTTTCAGCTATGAAATAGAGTTATTCACCAGGGAATAAGTATATTCACACGCATATCAATAAGATGAAGATATTATAGCAGAGTACTGAACAGAATGCTTTTTGCCCATCATTATCCCTGACTCACTAGGAAGTGATATTATGGCCCCATCCACTGAGACCAGAACTGTGCTAGCTACTACTGTGTTTAAACGAGGTTGTTGAGAACAGGTCCTAGTATGGTGTTCATGACCAGTAAGAGAAAAAACTAGCATTCAAATGTTAGGAAAAGCCATATTTAAGGCTGCCCTTTGGTTCTTAAAAGCTTAAACTTGTTCTTCACAATAATTTTAAAACAATACTAGCTGCCTATTTAATTTTAAAAACAGCAAAAAATATCCACCTCCCTTTCCATTTCTTATAAGGAGTCTTGAAGTTTAAATCTCCTCAGTGTGATAGATATGCTTGCTTTGATCTGCTTACCTCTTGGAAGTCCAGGGGCTGTGCTGCCTGGGATCCCTAGGGACAGCTCTGTTTGCCATTAGGGAATTTTTTCCTCCCCAGAGAACTCCCTGTAACATTTTGCAAACCCCAGTTTGGGAACCACTGACATCGGGGAAAGAATGGGGATCCTGGAATGGGGGAACACAGAACTCCCTTATGGGGAAAATTGGAAGGACCTTATATGAGGGAAGGAGGGGCACACAGCTTACCTAGCAAGGAGGGAGGAATGGGGGACCATGGCATGGGAGGAGAGGGATTTAGGGTGCACACAGAAGCCCTGGCAGGGAGCAATTGGAGAGAGTTGCAGCAAATCCCTGAAATAGAGGGGGAAGGGAGGGTGGCAGACATCGCGCTTATAGGGGAAACCAAGGAGCCTCTAGTGCATGTAATAAGCTCAGCTGACGCAAGATACAAAGTGTGCAACCTCCTAGTTTTTAAAACACGACATCAAATTAACTCTTTTTCATCATGAAGCTCATCAAGCCATCCTCCAAAAGCAGATACTCTCATGGTATGAACAGGGAGACAATAAATTCAAGTAGAAGGAAAGCTTGTACAGTACCTCGGAAAAGCCATGCTTAGCACTCAGACAGCAGTCTGTAATACCACAAAGCTACAAGCTTTCTTTATGACTCAGTCCCCAATTTTCCCCTTCCCTCAGGAGGAAGTACTGGCAGGACAAGCTTGGAAAATTAGTTTTTAATTACTATGATTATTATAGGCAATTATGCAGCAGGTTTTCAAACTGTGACTATAATGGAAAAGTTATCCTGCCTTGCAATTTTCTAAGAGGAGGAACAGGCCGCTTTTTGGGCCAGAGAAAACCTGCCACTAATTAAAATCTTCCTTTTTTGGCAGGTGAGGCTGCAGGAAGACAGATTATACCATTGATATAAGCTCACTTTAAATAATGTTAAATTATAGCCTACCCTGCACAGGTACGCTCTTGCATAGACTGCAACCAGTGGATCTCCAATTCCTCTAATCATAGCCGTTAGTCGCGGGAGACATTCTGAAATTCCCCTGTTAAGATTTTTGAAAAATTAAATTTTGAAGTTTATGAATTGATCAGAGCACCACAACGCATACTGATAACTTGAAAGGCTGCTTTATTAAATGTACATGTGAACAAGAATTAAAAGAATCAAGGAAAGTCATATTAGCACAAAGTCTAATTTAGAAGTAAAATTTAACTAGTTCTCTAAGTAACATCTTAGACATGAATTATACTACTTACCCTTGTGAGCAGCCAGGCTATGTACTGGAGATTTGCAAAGAGCTGGGGGACTGATGGAAGGAAAGAAGCCTTTCCTCTAGACTGGAGAAGCTGGAGCTTCTCTCTGGTTGCAATGTAGTCTCAGGGATGTAGCAGCCCAAAAGCCTCAGAGGCAGTGGATCTATGATGGCCAAGGAATCTCCTAGTCAGTCACAGATCCACTGGTCCCACTTCACTCCCAGTTTCACCTGCTATGGCTATAAGGAGGGACTCACCACAGAGCTGTTGCATGCAGGTGGTGTGGGCTGTTTATACTCCCCCTGCCCCTCCAGCACACACCTGCACTGGCACAAGTGTGACCAGGCCCATCCTGGGAGGCCCAAAAATAATCAAGCTGTCATTGTAGAGCCATTGAGATTATGGCATTCATTTTAGCAATTAACTGCAAAGGCCCGTTAGTCCTGAAGGGCTATTTTTAAAACAATATTGATTCCGGTCGGCTTGGAGCCTATTCCCCAGCTGCTTTCCAGGCTCACTGCCTCTGCCTTGTTTCCTCACCTTGCCTTTAGCCTGGTTACTGACCTACCTATTTCTCTTTCTATGTTACCCTCTCCTTTACCTTCAGCCACCTCCCATCAATTTTGCTTTCCTTTCAGTTTTGTAAACCCCTCCTCCTTGCCCCCCCCCCCAAAAATGCTTCACTTTCCGTTCATACTACAGTTATGCAAGTGCTCTGAAGTGGATGCATCAGTACGTCAGCAGCTGTGCTAATATTGTGCCTTGATGGGATTTGTATCAGGAGCCCAAAGCAATCAATATTGCCCCCTCCAAAAGCACAGAAGTTTCCTGCCATTATTGATAGTGGAACTTTCATACTTAATTCTCTGCATACTACTTTAACATGTACCCATTCGTTGGCTGTCCATATTTATTAACTGCATGTTAGCCTTACGTTTTGGACAGAAACTTGTTGCATTTCAGTATTGCTGCTTCCACATAGCTATAACAAAACCAAATTAAGGAAAAATACTCCGAGATGTATTCCTTGTAAGAAAAACAAAATTACTCCTCTGACAGATTGAAAATATCCTGTAATATACTGAGCAAATCTTATGGAATTAAGATAGCCCTAATTCAATAAGGTTTATTTTAACCCCATTTCGGGTGTACTGTATGTACATTAATGTGTTGTTGTGGCAGTAGGGTTGCCAAGTGTCCAGTTTTCAGCCAGAATGCCCAGTCGAAAAGGGACCCTGGCAGCTCCGGGCAGCACTGATGACCAGGCTGTTAAAAGTCAGGTCAGCGGCACAGTGGGGCTAAAGCAGGCTCCACGCAGCTTCCAGAAGCGGCGGCATGTCTCCCCTCCAGCACCTACACTTCCGTATGCTGCCCCTGCCCCAAGCGCCAGCTCTGCAGCCTCCATTGGCCAGGAACTGTGGGAAATGGGAGCTACAGGGGCAGCGCTTGAGGACGGGGCAGCATGTAGAGCCACCAGGCCGTACCTCTGCGTAAGAGCTGGAGGGAGGACATGCCACTGCTTCCGGGAGCTGCTTGAGGTAAGCGCTGCCCAGAGCCTGCACCCCTGATCTCCTCCTGCACCCCAACCCCCTGCCTCAGCCCTGATCCCCCTCCTGCCCTCCGAACCCCTTGCTCCCAGCCTGAAGCACCCTCCTACACCCCAAATCCCTCAAGCCCAATCCCACGCCAGAGCCCGCACCCCCAGCCAGATCCCTCACCCCCTCACACCCCAACGCCCCCTGAGCCAGCCCAGTGAAAATGAGCAAGCAAGTGAAGGTGGGAAGAGCGAGCAACATAGGGAGGGAGGGATGGAGAGAGTGGGGCCGGGGTCTTGGAGAAGGAGCGGGGCCTTGGAGGAGGGGCTGGGCAGGGGTGTTCGGTTTTGTGCAAGTAGAAAGTTGGCAACCCTACATGGCAGTGTATGTACCTTTTCTACATACGTAGGAAGGAGGAATGCTAATGTACTTCCTCCACTGTCAACCCTTTGAAGTCAGCCCCTGGAGAGAGATGCATATACTGGTTCGAATTGGATTCTCCAGAGACCAAGAGACAAAGGAAATACTTTTAGATAAAAACCTGGGGAGGGGCTTTCAACCTTCTTCCCGCTCCAGCAAAAGGACTCCTGGTCCACATAGGGCCTCAGTCCTTAGGGGAGGATTGGAAAGACTTGACCTATGAGACCTCATAAGACTGGGGGCTTGTTCTGAGTTGGGAAGCTCTGATGAACTTGTAACCATAAAGATGACCGTTGGGTGAGGTATTAAAAGACTGGACTTACCAGAGGCCATGTGAGAGCTAGGATGAACTCTGGTAAGCATATTAGTGTGCGTGTAAGTTCTTTTATTGTTTTTAATATGATTGCTCTGTAATGCTTCATACCTTAAGAATAAAGTAGGCTTGCTTAGAAACAGCTGCATGGTAACAACTACATTGTTATCCATTTCTGGAGAGAGCAAGCAGGTACCCCTGTGCAACCTTTCGGTGCTGGAATTACACAGTGAAGGCAGGGGAACTGTGCAACCTGAGAATATCCCGGTCAGAAGGGAGAAAGAGAGACACACAAGAGTCTCCATCCAAGAGAGGCAACAGCTGGGGAGTTGAAGGCCAAGGGTGGGTGCCCTTGCTAAACCACTGAAGGGAAATACAGTTACAGATGCCCTGAACTGTGACAACTCCCTGGCTGTGAAATTAATTTCTCTTGGGCACCACATGGTAAGGGTACTCTGAGACTTAATATCGTCAACTGCACTACTTGTTTTGTGGCTTTTATAGCTTTTCCATTTCATTTTCAAATATGTCCAGTTTATAGCATGTAAACTCAACTTAATAAACCATCATCATCATCATCACGTGCTACCGCACCCCCCAGCCACCACCATGGCACTCAAGCTACAGTACCACATTATTCAAAGAATTCAAAAATACTTCAAAGCTCAAAATCCAAACAAAATTAAAGGAGTCAATATAAAAAGGGAGAAGAAAGAGCTGGGAGGAGAAGATCAATATGGGGTTAACAGAAATTTTGGAAGTTAACAGGTCTGTGTTACCATTAAAATCCTATAGACACTTGGATTTCTGATTCAACTACTACACTATTAAGATTTAGTACAAGTTGGAATTCACTCTCAATGCAAAACCTGGGGCAAGGACTGTCTTGTTGTTCTGTGTTTCTATAGCGGCCAGCACAATGGGGTCCTGGACAGACACTATAGTAACAAAAATTATACGAATTGTAATAAAACAATTGTGAGCTCCATTTGCCTTCCTATTCTGAAGAGAAAGAATGGTCCAGCTGTTGGGGTAGTAGGCTATGTCTTGGGAGACTGAGGTTCAATTTCCTGCTCCACCACAATCTGACTGTATGACCTGGGTCAAGTCACCTAGCCACTCTGTGCCTCAGTTCCCCATCTGTTAAAAAAAATGGGAATAACAGTATTTCACTACCTTACAGGGGTCTTGTGAAGATAAATACATTAAAGATTGAGAGGTGTTCAAATACTGTTGTGATGGGAGTGGGGCATGTAAGTACACAAGATAGACAGATATTTTCAGACTAAAACCTGAGGTGATCATCATTGTTTAGATTTTCAACATAGTGAAGTTTATGTTCTCATATTACTTGAATTCCTTTTAAAACTTCACGCATAATCGTGTACCATTTTGACAGTCAAACTCATCTGAAAAGGATACAATCTGGGAATGAGCTCTCTGATTGAAGCAATCTTGAAGAACCAGTTTAAACAGGTTTCTTTGGCAGTATCATTAACACTTTCTGGAGTAAAATTATCTGTAAAAACAAAGCCAGAGCCAAGCATATTACATTTAGTTCTGAAATAAATTACTTTAGTTACATTTATTTAAAACAGTACATTGAGTATTTCCTTTTAAAAAGAAGTTAAACATATGGTAATGAACTGGACAATGTAATTCTAGGATCTCCTTTCCAGCAATACAGACAACTGCTTGACTGCAAACCCAGAGTGAGCAGCAATGCTGGGTAACCAGAGCTCCACTTCTATTTTATAGTAATATTGATTTATTTCATTTGGTCTAATTCCTGATGTCAACCCAGTAGCTCATAATATACTTTATTATTATTTTAGAGCCAGACAAGTAACTCCTATGAAATTCTCATATGGAAGAGCTGACAAATATTGCTCTTTATCTTTATCCTCTCTGCCTTTGTCCTCTTGCACCCTCCCGCTCCTTACTCTCACCTTCTCTAGGGTAGCCAACTTTGTATTCGCAGAAAACTAAAGACCCTTGCCCCACCCTCTGCCCAGCCCCCTCTCACTCTATCCCCCCTCCTCCATCACTCGCTCTACCCCACCCTCGCTCACTTTCACTGGGCTGGGAGGCAGTGGGGTGGGGTATGACAGGGGTGAGGGCTCTGAGTGCAGGCTCTGTGGTGGTGCAGGGGGATGAGAGGTTATGGGTGCAGGAGGGGGCTCTGGGCTGGGGCAGAGGGTTGGAGTCTGTGCGGGGGTGAGGGTTCTAGTTGGGGGTGCGGGCTCTGGGCTGGGGCCAGGGTTTGCGGTGCAGGAGGAGGCTTCAGGGCTAGGACAGGGGGTTGGTGCACAGGAGGGGATTTGGGATGCAGGTTCCCTGCAAGCAGTGACATCTCCCTCCAGCTCCTAAGCGGAGGTGCGACCACATGGCTCTGCCTGCGCATACAGGCATTGCCCCCTCAGCTCCCACTGGCCACGGTTCCTGGCCAATGGGAGCTGCTGAGCTGGCGCTGGGTCAAGGGCAGCACACAGAGCCCCCGTCACTGCCCCTCCACCTAGCAGCCAGAGGGAGATGCCAGCAGGAGTCTCATGGAGCCGGGTAGGGGAGTCTGCCTGTGCCTCTAACCAGACTTTTAATGGCCTGGTCAGCAGTATTGACCGGAGCCGCCAGGGTCCCTTTTCAACTGGGCTTTCTGGTAAAAAAATCAGACACCTGGTACCCTAACCTCCTCCACTGCAGAAGCCTAAAAAAAATAAATAAATCTTACTTTGAGTAGTGGGATTGTGACTAAAACAAGAAGTGTTGCCCCTGTCAACCTTCAAAGATTTTTTGTTGAAGAATTGCCACTTTTAGGTCTGTAATCGAGTGACCAAAGAGATTGAAGTGTTCTCCGACTGGTTTTTGAATGTTATAATTCTTGACGTCTGATTTGTGTCCATTTATTTTTACGTAGAGACTGTCCAGTTTGGCCAATGTACAACGCAGAGGGCCACTCCTGGCACATGATGGCATATATATCACATTGGTGGATGTGCAGGTGAACGAGCCTCTGATAGTGTGGCTGATGTGACTAGGCACTATGATGGTGTCCCCGAATAGATATGCGGACACAGTTGGCAATGGGCTTTGTTGCAAGGATAGGTTTCTGGGTTAGTGTTTTTGCTGTGTGGTTGCTGGTGAGTATTTGCTTCAGGTTCGGGGGCTGTCTGTAAGCAAGGACTGTCCTGTCTCCCAAGATCTGTGAGTGATGGGTCATCCTTCAGGATAGGCTGTAGATCCTTGATGATGCGTTGGAGAGGTTTTAGTTGGGGGCTGAAGATGATGGCTAGTGGCGTTCTGTTATTTTCTTTGTTGGGCTTGTCCTGTAGTAGGTTAACTTCTGGGTACTCTTCTGGCTCTGTCAATCTGTTTCTTCACTTCAGTAGGTGGGTATTGTAGTTGTAAGAACACTTGATAGAGATCTTGTAGGTGTTTGTCTCTGTCTGAGGGGTTGGAGCAAATGCAGTTGTATCGTAGAGCTTGGCTGTAGACAATGGATTGTGTGGTGTGGTCTGGTTTGGATGAAAGCTGGAGGCATGTAGGTAAGTATAGCGGCAATTCTTCAACAAAAAAAACTTCAAAAACAGACTCCAACGAGAGACTGCTGAATTGGAATTAATTTGCAAACTGGATACAATTAACTTAGGCTTGAATAGAGACTGGGAGCGGATGGGTCATTACACAAAGTAAAACTATTTCCCCTTGTTTATTTCCCGTCCTACTGTTCTTGTCAACTGCGGGAAATGGCCCAACTTGATTATCACTTCAAAAGGTTCTCCCCACCCCACCTCTGCTCTCCTGCTGGTAATAGCTCACCTTTCCTGATCACTCTTGTTACAGTCTGTATGGTAACACCCATTGTTTCATGTTCTCTGTGTATATAAAATCTCCCTACTATATTTTCCACTGTATTCATCCAATGAAGTGAGCTGTAGCTCACAAAAGCTTATGCTCTAACAAATTTGTTAGTCTCTAAGGTGCCACAAGCACTCCTTTTATTTCAAGGAAAGGCACTCTGACACACACTGAATAATAATGCTGACAAGGAAATGTCTATATTCCAGTGGAATGTTTAAAAATCTAGAAATGGAAGCCTCATAATACTGCCACTGTTAAATTTGAGAGCTGTAGCAAAAGTGCAAAATCCTTAATCAAATTCAGCTTCATGGGAAATGCTAACTAGTGATGGCATAATTCCAGACTCATCCTTTTGCTGATACCTATATTTGTGCTTATACAAAATGAATACCCTCTTCTTCCCTCCCAACAAATCTTGGATACTGAAAGTGGCAACAGACAAAGCTATATGGGCACTGAATGTGAGTCAACAATGCGATTCTGTTGCAAAAAAAGGCAAATAAATATTCTGGGAGGTTTTAACAGCAGTGTCACATTTAAGACATGGAAGGTAACAGTTCTGCTCTGTTCAGCATCGGTGAGGCCTCAGATGGAGCACTGTATCCAATTTTGGGTGCCACACTTTAAGAAAGATGTGAAAAAACTGGAGAGAGTTCAAGGGAGAGCAACAAAGATGATATAGGTCAGGTTTTCTAGACCTCTTGAGGAAAGGTTGAAAGAACTGGCATGTTTAGCCTACAGAACAGAAGAATGAGTGGGGATCTGATAAAAATACTCAAATCTGTTAAGGGCTGTTATATAGAGGACAGTGATCAACTGTTTTCTGTGTGCACAAAGGGTAGGACAAGAAGTAATCTGCTTAATTTGCAGCAAAGGAGATTTAGGTTAGATATTAAGAAAAATCTTTCTAACTTTAAGGATAGTTAAGCACTGGAACAGGTTAAGTGTGGAGGTTGTGGAATCTCCGTCACTGGAGGTTATTAAGAAAAAGTTAGACAAACTTCTGTCAGGGATGCTATAGGCATACTTAATCCTGCCTCGACATGGCAGGGGATGGACTAGACATCCCTTGTGGTCCCTTCCAGCCCTACATTTCTGTAATTTCTATGTTGCAGTATTATCCAGCCTCTCTCTCTGGCCTTCCTATCTCCCACCAGAATCATCCTGCTTTAAAAGTGGGAGGAGGAGGAAGGAGAATCTTCTTCACTGAGCTAGGACTTTATCAGGTAAAGGGCCCCAAACCCAGAAGTCCTCAGTGCAGATCATCCACTGGGTCCCAAGATCCTAGCAAGATTGTGACCACCCTTGAAGACTATGAGTCTGTCCCTGCTACCATTAACTCAAAACAATCTTAACAGTAATTTACAGTAAGACTGGAACCTTTATCTGCACAGCCACCCCATTTGGAGCTTGCTGTCCGTTTCATTTTTCACCCTGATGTTTCACAGTAAACCATTAAAAGAATGGCATCTTCACCAAACTAGTAATCTTAAAAAGCACAGGCACAGTCCTCTCAGAGGAGAAGACTTCATTTCTTTGTTCCGTGTCTGTTTATATTTCAATCTTTGTAACTTACACCTTTTGATGAATCAGCTTTTTGCAGTATATGTAAAGTATTTCAAAGGACTCTTCTCTATCTACACAGCTTTAGACAGATATATTTCTCACTACAAGGTATGTATTAGTCAATATTAAGCAAGCAGTGGTAGACCTTTGCTTTTTTTTCCCCCAATTTTGTCCCACTGGACTTACAATTTTAGAAACAATGATGAAGGAACAAAGTTCTATCCATAAACTATATGCCTTTCTGTCAGGAACCAGGAAATATATGTACAAACAAAAGCATTTTAATGACATTGACTGGAAGCGGAATTTTCTTTTCCATTTCTACTTATTATTCTACTGCTGTGCTTGTTGTTGTTCCTCAGAACACTAAGCCTGTGTCTAAATTTTAGAGAAAGTGCAATTCCCCACCCCCCACAGCTAGAGGTCTTTTACATAACACAGCACTTTGGGAATGTGATGTCTTTATTTCAAGTGTGCTGTAACTGCCAAGTCAGTTAAGAAAAGTGCTAACGCGAACATAGTTGATATTAACATAACCCTCAAAATGCTAATCCCTCAAACTATAGCAAAAAGTCATCACAGAATTACTGATCTTGAACATACTAGAAATACACTTTGATCATCTGCTTAAAGTAAAGGCAATGATTACCACTTAAAGGAAAATCAGTTTTGTTGACAGGTTCTTTTCTATAAGATATTGGTTTCATTAGCAAATGCTGAACAAATTAAATTAATTGCACATAAGCATTGCAATTGTTCCCTCACAGACAAACATAACTCAGGTATCCTTCAATGAGCAAGAGCCAACAGAAAAACTTCAAAAACAGACTCCAACGAGAAATTGCTGAACTTGAATTGATTTGCAAACTAGATACCATTAACTTAGGCTTGAAGTGGGAGTGGCTGGGTCATTACACAAATTGAACCTATTTCCCCATGTTAAGCATCCTCACACCTCTTGTCAACTGTCTGAAATGGGCAATCTTGATGATCACTACAAAAGTTTTTTTCTCCTGCTGATAATAGCTCATCTTAATTAATTAGCCTCTTAGAGTTGGTCTGGCAACTTCCACCTTTTCATATTTTCTGTATGTATATATATCCTCTTACTATATGTTCCATTCTATGCATCTGATGAAGTGAGCTGTAGCCCATGAAAGCTTATGCTCAAATAAATTTGTTAGTCTCTAAGGTGCCACAAGCACTCCTGTTCTTTTTGCGGATACAGACTAACACGGCTGCTACTCTGAAAACTGTAATTTGGTTTCCTGGAGGCAGAGAACTCTGGCACTAAAATCAGAAGATCTAACCTTATTGGAACAGAAAGAATGAGTACAAATACCAGTGATTTGGTTCTCATTTCATGCAGCTGCTCAAGGCAGGGTTCTGCATAGGAAATTGTGAGTGTGTGTATGTTACTGGAAAATTTCAGTCCTGATATCATTGCTGGTAGAGATTTCTTTCCAAGATATTTTGACTCTTGCTTCACCCAGAGAGAGCGGTCTGCAGGGGGTAGAGTGTTAAATAGCAAGGAGAAAAAAGAAAGCTCACCAAAGAAAATATTATTACTGACTTGTTTCTCATGATGCTACTGGTTTAGTATTGCAAGCTGTTTGTGATGAAATCAAAGGTAAATACTTTTATTTTATAATGAAATTTGCATGGGCTCGTCTACAACATGAAAATAACCATATTTAAACATGGTTGTGGCCAAACAGTGTGGTAATATGGTTTATTCTGGTCTGTGCAGACAGATAAAACCATGTTATAAGGATGCTGAAAAACTGTAGGAAGATGCTCAGGATATGAGAGTATGAGGAGAGAAGAGGACAAAGGTTTTTCTCCTTGTTTTAGAACTGGAGTGAGTGGGAATAGTAGTCCCATCCTAGCTGTCTCCCAACAGTTGTCTTCCACTTCCTCCTGCCCTAGAAGTTACACACTCTTCCCTCCCCCCGCAACAGACCGTGCTAATGTTGAGAATCATTAAAACTGGAAATGAGTACATTTTACTGTCACAAGTTTTATTTTGGGTTATTTATAGTAATGAAGTAAACTTACGTAAAGTTGTGGGAGTGATTAAAGTAACCTGTTACAGACATTTTCCCTTCTTAAAAACTAGGAACAGCAACTAAATCCAAAAACTCAGCAAACATGAGCAGACAGATTTATTTTCAGAGGACATTAACAAGGTCATATTTTTCTACTGCACCACTGGCTTGGCCCCATTTAAAAACTCTAGTTCTCCCCCATAAGAATTGAGGTATGCACTAAAGTCTTCCCATGTGTTTTTATTTTATAAAGCTTGGAAGCAAAACTGAATTTGTTTCAGGATACGTATTGTTGAAATTCCCCACAATCCCAAACCTAGCTTGGTAAACATGGTAAATTTACACATTTCTACAAGAAGAATAGCACAAGGCAGGCACAAAGTTACCTGGTAAAGAGCTGCGATTATCCAGACACATGGATAAAATTCTTTCATATACTAGTTTTCCTGCCAAGAAAATAGGTTAATCTTTAGCAAATTGTAAAATGCAAATTGTGAAATAATGATGGTTTTCTACAGGGTCCAGGAATCTCATCTGCAAAGACTTCTTTGAACTCCATTATATTATGCTGCCATCTAGTGAATCTGAGAGATTTGAAGGTCTGCACTGAGGATTTTGCATGCTGTAATTTCTCTGTCTTAGTTTCACTAAGAACAAAGGCAGTGGATAGGTCAGATTACTCCAACCATCTCCTGTTGACCAGGAAATAACTTTTGGTGCCCCCCTCTTCACTGAGCAGTGATCCTGTATTATTCTTAGCAACTGTCAATAAGTAGAAAAGGACATAAAGGGGATATAAAACAACTGCATCTGTCACAGCACATCCTGTTAAACACCAACAATACATTTCAAGTTAAAAGGCTGTAATAAATCAGTTCCACACCGTTAAAGAAATCCAAGATTGATTAAAATTATTAATAATTAGATTAAATAATTCAGCAAAACATTTTGACCATTTCATAGTCTATATCCAATTAAAGAAAGCTTTTATAGCTCAACTCTTCCACAAACAGGAAGAGATGGAATGAAATATTGTTAAGGTTTAGGAAGCTGTTAGGCGATAGAGTGATAATTTCCTGAAACATTACGTAACACATTATTTTAAGTTGAGATATAGTTTTAGATTTCAAAGTTTAGAGATCCTGACCTTTCCCATAGTTTAGTTTTAGCCTCTCATTGTTAAACACACAAAGAAAGTGCACCTTTTTCCTTTTGGAGATTTAAAGAAATGTGTTTAGATTTTTTTTTTTTTTTAAATAAAACACTTCCATTGAAGCATTGTTTGAAGAATGATGTACCTAATCTAATCTGTCTGCATTATTGTTTGCCTAAATGTTTAACTCAGTTACTTTTGGAATCCCACATACTAATTATGGCGTGGATAAACAGAGCACCTAATTTAATTAACGAAAATCTTCTTGACCTCAAGAGTCAGGTTTCTTCGTGCATTAAAAGAATATGAAAATATACTAAGGGAAAATGAAGAGCTTCCCATCTGCCCTGTGTCAAAGAAGACTCCCCCATCTACAATGGAGCTATGAACTGTGTTTGAACTTTGTCCCAGCTAAGCCAGTTTCACATAGTTTAGCCAACCAGTGAGCTGATGGAGTCAAATCATGTTCAAACTTAGAAATGTCCATCCATACTGCATTAGAAGCTGGCATAACTGGGACTGTGTTTAAATACTGAGCCCCAATTCTGTTTCCTGCCAACCAAGAACAGGGCCAAATGAGATGGCTCCAGAAGGGAGACAGGGCATAAGCCACTGAAAAGAGCAATATGCTGCTATTATCTGCAAATCCAAGCATTGGATCTGACTGGGAATATAATGATTTAAAGTTAGTGAAATTACAACTTTACATTTTCCAACTTATCCTAAATTTGCTTACTGTTATGGCCATTAAGCAAACCACCACCATCATCACCTCCTCCAGGAGGAGCTTGAAGAGAGGGTTATTATTTATACCTCAATAGAAAATCAGGAAGTTTTAAGCATAAAACATTTATATTATCGAATAAGGATTTAAAAAGCAGCTGTGTCCAGAAAACAATATTTTCCAGTTCTTTTCCTGCTTGCTTAGAATTACATGCAGAGACCAGGCTAGTGGCAATCCGTAAGGCATTTCCACAGATTTTAGTGTGGCTGATGAATGTTTCATCATGTTGGTAATTCCCAAAAACCCAATCTAAAATACCTGCCATATCAATAGATTTACTTGATTTAAAATGCTTTACTGATGGCAAGAGACTACCTAAAGATCTGATTCAGAGAGATACATCCAGTCTCCAATTATCCTTGAAATTATATTTCTTTCTTTTGTATTTGTGTAAGCATCTACCTACAAGGCAAAACAAGTATTGAAACCCCACAGAATTAATCTTGTATTTGTTGCAAATGTACTCTCCCTAGGAGAAGACAGCCAACTGAGACAATTGTTTATGTAATAATAAAACATAACCAACTATTTAATCATCTCAATTATTTTCCTCCCTAGAGTCTTTAGTTTTCTACAACTGGTAATTCATACAGCCATAACAAATGATGTTTATCTCACGACTTCACTTTAGTGGTACTCTTTGTATTACGGCATATTGTATGTATTTATGATTATTCATCTTTCAAGGTTATTCAGTGAAACAATATATTATTCTGAAACAGAATTGATTGTTGGCTTTCAGAAGTTACTTTGATAACTATTACATTTCTAGAACAGGCCACAAAGTAATGTACTTACTTATTCTTGTTAGGACTCTAAATTAAACATGTTCATTAGTAATATAGAAAAACAAAACAGAAAAATATTCTGATCCCAAACACAGCATTAAAGGGACATATCTATATATATCACTTAAATATTTGTTCTACTTAAAATTGTTATAAATAAGAGAATCATATGAAAATCTGCAGAATCAGTTAATGAAAATATAAATATCATTAACAGAATATAGCATATAGTGTTTTGCATACCCTCACAAAGAGACTTAAGGTACTGAACCAAGCAAACAAACAATACAAAGCCAAATACAACAAAAAACAACATGCCATCATTTTGGTTTCAGAACACATTGCAAGACCCAACTTTTTGCATAAGCCTTTCTTCACTAACCAAGGACTAAAGCACAGCACTCTGATGGACAGATTATAAAAATAGACCTAGTAATTTGAATGTTAGCAGATAAATAAAGGGAGGGTGAAGAGTAATGTATTTTATGGATAGAGTTAGTGCGTCCCAATTATGAGCCAGACGCTTAAATGCCATGGTGATGGGCACATTAGGGATGCCTCAAGGGAGTCTTATACAGAGGCAGAATGGAACTGAAACAAGACTGTATGGTTATTAGAGAGATAACAACCCAAATTAAGTTTTGAGGCAGTTTTCAAAATTAGGTAGGGAGGATAAAAAAAACACAATGCCCAGAGAGGAAAGAGATCCACAGGGGATACTGCCACAAAGGTTTAATCACCCACTGATCTAAGGAGACAGCCAATCCTAAAGGAGTGGACAGTGTCAGAAAGCAGAAACCTACCAGGACAAGACTAATGGAGAATCTCTCAAATACTGCCAGGCTCCTCATTAGAAGTTTTAAAACCCAAGAGGACCAGCTTAAAAATGATTTCACCAGTTCACCATGCACAATTGCTCAATCCAGTGACCAGGCATGCTTGTACATTCTGTACTATCTGTAAGTGAGAGAGAAGAACTGCTGGAAGCAATTCTAAGAAATTACTTTAGTTGACACAGCCTATGATTACAAAGGCTTATGTTACTGTTGCAAGATAAAAACAAAAATAAAACTAGAGATCTTCACCTGGTTCATTACTTTAAAACATGTTCAGTCAGTAAGTAAAGACATCAAGGAAGGGAAGAAACTCCTCATAACAATTCTTAGTACCTAGCAACACTTCCGCCTACCATGGGTTAAGGATGAGAAAGATCTGACATGTCCAGCCAGCAATGTCATCTAAGCATCTCTCCAGACCAGAAGTCAGTAAGGCCCCTGGACAAGATGTGCAGAATATCAATATACTTATAATACTTTGCTAAGAAGCTTTGTACATAAGCTAAGGAACTTACAGATAAGACAGATCCTGCAAGAACTCTGCATTATCCATCACCAGCAATTGACTCCCATCAGCTAAGGAACTAATCAAGAGCAATTCCTGACACAGAAGCTATATCCTTCAATTGCCAAACCAACCATCCATAGTCAATCACACTAAAGGCTACCGAGAAGACCAGCATGACCAAGATAGTCAACTGACCCCAACAATAGCTAGCATGAGTTTATTTGTGCCCCTAATCAATGGGTTTCAAGCCTAGAAGCAGCCTGAAACCAACCTGGAACATATCCAGGAACTCACTGGAGCGGAGGTGACCTGGAGCTGAAAAAAGTGAAAGTCTGAGATGGTCTGAGGGTGAGGGCAATTAGTAAGTGCTCCAGCATCAAAGGATGACTGAGGAGACTGGTAGACCTTTGCATATTTTGAAGATAGCTGGCTAACAGACGAGCTGTAAATCCCTCTTAATAGTATCACAACCGCACCACTATCTTCAAATAGCCAAAATAGACACAACTAGAGAGAGTGGATCTCAAGGAAGCAAAGATACAATAATCTGACCACAAATCACTTAAAGTCTAGTGAAGGGAGAGAGGACAGTCCAAAGGGACATGTCTATCCATTTCTCTCTCTCTACAGGCTGTGCTGGCTTGTCCTTAATGTCTTTGACTCATCAGACAGGGTGTTCCCTATACTATCTACATTTTTTGTAAAAGTTAAATCCTTAAAGCAGTTGATGTTAACTCCTTAAAACTCTTTATAGGTTCTATTTCTAGAATATTTTGTAATTCTACAAAAAAATTAATAAAAATGAATCCATCGTAGGTCCATTGTAAGTACTTACCAAATGTATCAAGTATATCTGTAATTAGAACAAATTTACTTGGATAAAACTGGATTACTGTTGTGTCCGAAAGAAGTTTAGAACACTAGAAAAGAAAGAAAAAAGGAACAAAGCTTTACCAGGAGGATACAAAATTCTGTTTACCCAATTTAAAGGTAGTCAGTGATGGAATTAGCAAAGGAGAGTGCCATATAAAAAGCCCTAGAGACTTTGGAATCGTTTGACAGAACACTGCAAGATACCTGCTGTGACAGATATTGCAATCACATGCAGCATCTTTGAGGATGACATTGTATTAAGTTTTTGAATGGTTTATGTATCATTGTGGGTCAGTGATTGAATGCAACTCAGCAGGGGTGAGTTACCACAGCTCCTCCAGGAACTAAACAGTTGGGGCAGAAGGGGAGATTAAGGTGAATCATTCAGGCACACCTGCAGCAGGGTACCATCCCTTGGTAAGGTTGGCATATACTGGTTCAGACTGGGTTTTCCAAAGACCGTCAGGTAATGAAAGGACATTGGTATAAAAGGAGATGAGTTTAAACTGACACAGGACCTTCTTTCTGATTCAGCAAATGGACAGGACCTTCCCTCTAAGGGAGACCCCAACCATTGCAGAAGTGTTGGAAAGACTTTGGCCTACTCTGACCCTACAAGACTGATGGGTGACTCCTGGTATGTTTAGTGTGCATTTCAATCTGTTCTGGGCTTGCTTTTTTAAAAGTGCTTTCTTTATAATGCTTTTGCCTTAAGAATAAGTTTGTTTGCTTAAAAAGAGTTGTGTGGTAACTTGTAACTGCTGGCAATACACTGGCCACAGCCCTTAGAGAGAAAGCAAAGCACAATGCTGGCCATTATGTAGACTGGCTTGCTGGTGTCACAGTGTCAGACAGTATCACAGTGTCAGACAGTGGCTGTGCAGCCTTTAGGAGTGGGTCCCTGCCCAGAGACAAGCAATGGCTTAACCTCACTGGACACTCCTGGAGTGGACCATGGAGGGGGAATACAGGTGCAGTTACCCTGAAACTGTCACACCTGGCTCTGGAGAATATCACCATGATAGTGCTGCTGCTGAAATGGAGACCATCAGTCAGTCTTCCCTCATGCTAAGAAATCCACAGCGCAGCATTTAAGTTGGCCTGGGAAAGGTTTATATATTCACTGAGGCAAGACAAATGATCTCTGATAGAGAATAGTGAGAAATACAAGGAAAATGCCGCCTTTTTTAAAAAAATATTTATTTAAAAGCATTTTTATGGTGCTAATCATAATCTGTCTTCCAAGCATCTATACGCAGCATATGCACAGCACATATCTAAACTAGGAAATAGATTATGGTTAAAAACATACTAGCTACCATATTTTTAAACACAACCTTGCATCTAGTAGAACTTAAGACCTTTTTAAGACCTTTTAAAACATGTCTGCCCGTCATGGTAACCATAAAGGGAAACCTGTGATCAACCACATCACAGACACACAAACACACAGTGGTGGACACTAAAGTGCTAAACTGAGTCAATGGTAGGTCTAAAGTCATGTTTAAAGGCATATTTGCTAATAGTTTAAACACAGCCTATTTCCTAGTTTAGATAGGGCCAAAAAATGAAATATCATTTTACTTGAGCAGCATATGAATCCAATTACATGGTGACCAACTTATAAAACATACAAGATATGGTACATATATGGTAGGACACAGCAATAAGCCCTGATGTAGCCGAAATCTTTGGGAGAAGTTTACTGATAGTCAGCACCCGCTGTAGAAGAAAAGCAGGCTTGGGGGTGGGAAGAGAGGAGTAAAGGGACAAGTCTATCTCTCCAATATACTCTCTTGATAAACACAAATAAACCCTATAGCTTCACAAGAAATCTCTTTATCCTCCATGACAGGTTTCAGAGTAACAGCCGTGTTAGTCTGTATTCGCAAAAAGAAAAGGAGTACTTGTAGCACCTTAGAGACTAACCAATTTATTTGAGCATGAGCTTTCGTGAGCTACAGCTCACGAAAGCTCATGCTCAAATAAATTGGTTAGTCTCTAAGGTGCTACAAGTACTCCTTTTCTTTATCCTCCATGTCACCAAGAGGACCAGTAAAAAACCCACCCCAGTCCCTTCTGCTGCAGGATGGCCCTTCCCCTGCAATCAGGAGACAGTCTTCAACTGAATGGAATGAATACAGTGTAAGGGGGGTGGGGGAGAACTGTCTAAAAATACAATTTCAACTCTATTCCCAACATTCAGGAAGTGACCTGCTGAAGCATCACCAGACTGGAACAATACACAGAACAAGTATAAGTGGGACAGTCCTTTCAGCCTCACTGCTTTATTCACCAAGAGGGGATCTAGAGAGTTCACAAGAAAGAAAAGCTAGACCCTTCACTTCTGTGACCCAAGAGAACTATCTCCACTGTTGCCTGTTAAGTATGTACACAGTTCTCCCCTCAGGTAACAGATACATCCAAGCACATTATGGGCAGCCACCACACAACACACCTTTGTTCACTTAAACTAAGGATGACAAAGTTAAAGTGCTATTAAAATATATGTGCTCTCTCTCTTCAATTCGTATATTTTAATATATTCATTGTGAGATGAGTTCACCTAACTGATGATGAGAGTACATCTACATTGCAATAAAAAACCTGCGGCACCGAGTCTCAGAGCCTGGGTCAATTGTCTCAGGCTCGCAGGGACAAAAATTGCAGTGTAGATTTTGGGGCTCGGGATGGGGCTGGGGCTCTGACAACCCATGAGTGGGGGGAAGGTTTCAGAGCCCAGGCCCCAGCCTGAGCCCAAACATCTACACTGTAATTTTTGGCCCTGCAGCCCAAGCCAGCTTATGCTGGGCCAGCCCAAGCCATGCCACAGGTATTTTATTGCAGTGTAGACGTACCCAAAGAGAACATTAGTTTCCATATGTTCTGACTTTCCACTATCAGACCAAGAAAACAAGATATTAAATATGTTGACACTTGTAGTGGAGTACAGAAAGCTTTTAAGACAGATGCACAACTGCCCCCAAGATTTCTGATTCTCACACTCAAAAAATAGATACCATCACAGCAGCATTTGCTCTGAATCTAAAATTATTAGTAGGATGGGGCTGGAATTTTCCACAATAATCATGTGTCTCTAAGCTCTATCAAGGTCAAACCTGAAAGTTTCCTGCAGTCTTTTAAATTTATCACATAGCTCATTTGCGCTATATTTCCAAGAGAATTTTAGTGAATAATACTTAGTTGCTTTCCCAGTAATTCTTTGTTATCTCTTCTATGTGTACCAAAAACAAAACAAAACTATCACACACACAGACTCACATGCCCAACAGTGAACCCACAAGCACAGACCTCCCTCCCTTTATGGCACTGTGCACCCCCCAGGGGCACTCAGGATACTCCCTCGAAGCAAGTACTGCAACTGTACAAGCTGTTGCATGGAGTTGTGGAAGGCAAGGCTCTGTGTGTACTTTTCCATTTCCCTAACAAGGTTCTCTCACAATCTGGCCCTAAATCAAGCTACTTCTAGTGTTGTGATGCGGCTGGGTTTTTGCCCCCTATTGACAAATGTTTAATTCTGGGAATAAAGTAAGCCCCCGCCATTTAGTATGCTCATAATGTTGTACTCGTTAGGAAACTGTTTACCTCTGCAGTAAGAGGGAGTAGTAATATGTTTAAGAGTATCTCAAATTCAGAGTGATCCAGCAATAGTGAAGCTCCAGTAAAGGTATTCCCTCATTCACACTCTTTTCTAAATATCAATTTATTGCATTTCTGTTTCCTCCATCTCTTACCACAGAAACTGGTATAATATTTCAGTAACTGAAATATAGATGTAATTAATGCCCAGGCCTAGAATCAGGTAGGGATTAGAATTTTCATGGAGAATGAGGGTTCCTATGCGTGAGAAGTAGTTATGCATATAATATTAAACTTTTCTTCTGACATTACCCAGGGACCACTGAGAGTGTTGTTTTTTGGAGGTAGGTGGGTTAAGTAAATCACAAGATGGGAACATCCTCAATTTTGGTATCATTCTAAGAAACACGGTCTGACACAGAACCATGTCTTAGGATCTTCCTTTGACTTCCTCTGAAAATCCTTTTGTGATATTATATACACAGAAATCCCACAGGTACTACATTTATATTCCGTGTTTTCCTCTCAACAAAGGCATTGTAATATGGTATTGTATTTTCTTATGATAAAATACTATTAGGTCACCACACTTTTCATGACAATTTGCTTTTTTTAATAATATTGCTAATTCCCTGGTGCTACTAAAAGGCATAATCATCCAAATTCAAAGATCATTTTCTTAACTCTATTCACTCCTGATTTATGTTTCATTTCCTTTGTAAACTTTACCAGCATTTCCAACTTAAACAGCTTTCCAAAGGGGATCCGCTGCTGGAAAAACAATCCTGACTTTATGTAACCTTTCCGGATGACTATTAACATTACATCAGTGTCTCAGTTTCTAAGGTTGTTGCAACTTCACTGCACTCTGCCTCTGGCCTCATTTAAAGACAAATTCATACAAGTTTTAACATTCAGTTGTCCTATTTCTTAACACGTGCCATCTCCCCCAAAAGAGTAATTTACAAATTAATACAGCTTGAACATCACTAGAGAATCTTTGAACTGTTTCTGTGCTTAATCAGATTATTCAATTACTTTACTAAACCAGGATATGCAGAAAACAGCAGTTTACGCTAGCCATCGTTCCATTTTTTTTGGGGGGGGGGGGGGGAATCAGTGGCCAATAAAAATTTAACAACATTGGTTTTACTGACTCTATTGTGCAGTTTAACAGCCTTTATCAGTCTTTCATCCACTTCTCCCACAAGCACCTTCACGCTTTCTCCCATGTTACCCCTTATACCTACGAATCCCCTTTTCCTCCCCAATCAAAATCCCTAAGCACACCACCTTATCGTGTATAAGACTCACTTCCAAGCCGTGATTACTACTACTGATGGTCTTATTACACGTACGAATTGTGCACTCAGCCAGCCTAATCTAAACTTGCTTGTATTAAGGGTTTCCCTGTCCTCTCTTCTCTCTCCATATCCTATCTGTCACACCAACCTGTTGCATCTTGACTGTAAGATGGCTGAGGCTTAACCTGTCTCTTGCTATATGTCTGGACAGAGCCTAGCACAATGGCAACCAGACCTGGCTGGGGCCTCTAAGTGCTACCGTAGTACAACTAACATTTTAAAACAAAATAATGGAAAAATAAGTCTAGGAGAAGTAGTACTGTTAATTTATTAGATTTTCAGTCTAGGCAGGCAGACGGCAAATTTTAACTGTGACTTGATCCAGTGAAACCTGCTGAAACAAGTTTTCCATCTAAATGTTAATTCATTTTTCCTGACTGTACTGAAGACTTGCAAAGTAAAGGTATTTTTCACTCCTTTGAATTATTAGGTATCCAAACCAAATAGATATCAACTTTAAAGGGGAAAAAAAAAATCTACCTAGAAACTGAGGACATGGCCAAAAGCAGGCTAAGTTATTGCCACAGGTGAACAGTAGTCTATATTTGGCATCAGTGAACACTTAGCATGGCAGCTTTCTACTCCACTTCACTCCAAGAGGTCCATCTCCTGCAAGACGACAACCTTTCAGGGAAACAATACTTGTGGCCAGTGATGACAAAAAAATGCTGAAGGATCTAACAAATTAGCATGGGCACCATACATTATAAGGAGATCAGCTGCCAGCAATATCAGTAGTCTCTGTTCCGTACCCAAAAATGAATCAAGATGGGCAAGGATAAAAGAAACCTGGTAATATATCGTCCCTTCAGTTGTGATGTTAGCTTCAGGCAACCTGCACGATCTCAGGAACTATTTTTATCCCAGGGTAAAGTTTCCCAGCTACTGCCCTCCAAGCCATTTATTATTTGTAGAGGATAGTATATCACATGTGTAGAATATATCCCAATATGATACTACAGTGATGAGCCCTAGATAGAGGTTTAACTTCAACTGATGTTTGACTAATAGGAGGTCCTACAAGCTTTATTTTATTTGAAGATAGATGAATCAAAAACTAAAAAATAAGTTAAAACTTTCATTGCATCAGAACAGTGTTAATGAATTAATCTAAGCAGAATTACTGCCAAAGACATATATTTAGAAGAAAACACTTGCTGTTTCAAATATTTTCCACATATGATCTACACTGCAAGCATCTCACACCACATGTATTTGGAATATGATATCAACTTCTTTGAATAATGTTTACTTTGTAAGTCAACAAACAGTCCTTGAAAGGAAGATAGCAGCAGTTTGCCACATCCGATGAAAAAAAAGAATTTTTACACTGGAAGTCTACTTGATGCAACTCTAAATATCTGTTGCAATGAATTTCAGGCTCCCTTTGCAGCTACTTTCAGAACAACAGACTGGGAAATAAGCATGTTCACTTCTACTAAATGAGCTCACAGCTTTTTTGTGCCAGAGCAGTGAAACAATCATAAATGTGTATTTTTTGTAAGCCAGAAATAAATATTTAATGTGATAAGCATCTTAAAGATACAGATCTATTGTTTCTAAATTATTAACACCAAGCATATGTATCAGAGAGAATATCTTAAGCATTCTTCGATCATCTAAGTATTTTGATTTCCTCAAGGAGCCTCATTTTATTTCAAATCAATTAGGCAATTTTTCATCTCTTTAATACTTGATCAACTTCAAAGAGGTTATCAGTTCATAGTTAAAAAAAATGGTGAGAAACTAAACTCTTAGTAACATCTTAGTCACAAAACATCAGCTTTTGCAAAAGACATAAGTGAATTTCAATGGAGACCAGTGAACTATGTACTTCCTTTACAAAACTGATTTTAAAAAAACAAAAAACAAAAACCCAAACGATAGAATGTCTAGAAATAAACATTTAAGAGATTCAGCCTATTCTGCATATATTTCTTCATCACTCCCCCACACTTAACTTTGCACCTTACCATTTACAAAAAAATACATTCACAAAGGTAAAAATGTCAAATTACCAATGGTACTAAAATGTACAACATAAAAGCATTTTCAAACTCCCAATTTTTGGTATCAATTACGTTGATTTGTGTATTATTTTCCATATCATCTAAGCACAGTATTAGGAAAAATAAAACAAAAATAAAAAGATCACGTTAGAGGAAGATGTATGTGATCACCAATAACTTTACTGCAATTTAACTATTTACAACATTATAAATCTTAGAAAGCTAAAAAACCATATAATCATAAAAATCATATAATCCATCCCCCTTTCTAATTAAGATTATTCCGTACAATACATTTTCTTGTGTTTTGTCCAGTCTAACTTTAAGTGTTCTCAGTTATGGGGCTTTCACTACTGCCTCTGAGAGACTTAAACCCTGATCCGACAAAGCATTTGAGTGCATGCTTAACTTTAAGTACAATTTCAGTGGCACTATTCAAAATGAGATCTCTCGAGCACGTTAAGTGCATGCCTGGATCAGCACCGTGGGCTAGGGAGTCATCATGACATTCATACTACTTTATTAGTAGCAGCTAGCTCTCCAACTACTTAGGGCCAGAATAAGCTGGTAATCATATAGCACAAAGAGTTTTACACACTTCATGCCTACCCTCAGAATTCTGAGCATGGTGGAGGGGTCCACAGCAATCTTATAGCTAGAGTAACATTCACTCATCTTTTTGTTTTCTAAATAAACAAAACTCATTATTTTTGTATAACACATGCATAGTTAAACTGACCTGGATAACTATTTTTAGAGCTTTTACTTTCTGATCAGAGGCCCAGGCATCCTTCAGTGACTGATTGAGGTCTTCAATCCGATTCATGTAATCTTGCTGAGTCAAATTCAACAGCTCTTTTTGTGAACCCTGACAAGAAAAAACAGCAGCATTTAATAAAGAGGCAACCAACAAAAAGAAGATACCTATTACTTAGCCAATCTATTAACCTTAAACCTAACATTTCCTAATTTGAGATTCATCAGCAAGGTTGGAACCTTAAGATCCACTGCACAGGCTCTGCCACTTGAGCTAACATGCCGTCTACGCTACAAACTTTTGCCAATGCAAGTTAAATCAGCATAGAGCTGCCGCAGTTGGTATATCACTTATACACTTGCCTACTTGGTTCCTTGCATCAGTGCTGCACATACTCACCTGGAGTGCTTGTGTCAAAGCACAGTACGATGAACCATGGATAGGTATCCCAGTGTGCAACTCACCACCGTCCAGTGCACTCTCTTAAGAAGTTTTGGCAATACATAATGGAGCAGAAACAAGTCACACAGAGGTGACTGGGAGCAAGGGATTAACTTCCCAGGATTCAACTTTCCCCATCCCCAAATTTTCATGCCTTTTAAAAAAAATCCCATGAACCCACCAAAGCCCTCCTTGCTGTCCACCATCTCTGACAGAAGCATGGAGCCTGCCTAACTGTGACCTATTGTCATGAGAGTTGCAAGCATAGGATGCACTATCCTGAGGTATCTGCAGAGCTGGAAAAAGAACCGAATCAGCAAGGAGCATGACAATTTCTTGGAGGATAGATTGCTGTGGAACAAAACAAGGACCAATTCAAGGTTGCAAATGGCATTCACAGAGCAGCTACAGGTAGCAGAGTGCCGAATCTAGGCCCAAGAAATGATTGGTGGGATTGTACTGTAATGCACGCTTGGGATGATGAGCAGTGGCTGCAGTACTTTCAGATGAGAAGGGGAGCATTCCCTGATCTGTGTGCCGCACTTACCCCAGTACTCCAGGGCAGGGACACCAAAATGAGAGCTGCACTGACACTGGAGAAGTGATGGGCGATAGTGCTCTGGCAACTTGCAATACCAGATTGCTACCAATCAGCGGGAAAGCATTTTGGAGTTGGAAAATTAACCATAGGGGCCATTGTCATGCAAGTGTGCAGTGCCATTGTCTCATGCTATGCAGGACTGTGACTCTTGGCAACGTGCAGGACATAGTGGATAGATCTGCAGCAATGAGCTTCCCCAGCTGCTGTGGAGCAATAGACAGCACTCATATACATACATATTATATATATATATATATATTCTTGTACCAGACCACCTTGCCACAAAGTAAATCAGCAGAAATGGCTAATATTCTGTGGTTATGCAAGCATTGGTGGATCATGGGAGATGCTTCACTAACATCAGCGCTGGGTGGTCAGAGAAGGTGCATGGTGCTCACATCTTTAAGAACACAGGACTATTCAAAAAGTTACCTGCAGGTACTTTCTTTCCAGACCAGCAGATTACCACTGGCAATGTTGAAATGCCAATAGTGATCCTGGGGGACCAGGCCTACCCTCTGCTCTCCAGCTCATGAAGCTGTACACCAGCCACCTCAACAGCACCAAGGAAAGATTCAACTACCAGCTCAGCAGGTTCTGAGCTTTTGGTAGATTGAATGAATATTGGCATTGTTTACTCACAGCACGGTCTTAGTGACAAAAAAACCCCAGTGGTTATAGATGCCTGCTGTGTCCTGTATAACATCTGTGAAGCAAGGGAGAAAACTTGCCAGCAGAATGAAGGGCAGAGATCCATCAGCTGTTTGTTGAGTTTGAACAGCCAGACACAAGGACTATTAGAAGAGCTCAATGTGAAGCTATACATACAGCTAAGGGAGGCTTTGAAAGAGCACTTTAACAATGAGCCACTGTAACATTATGGTGTATTGTTCTCTCCCTGATCCTGCTGTTTTGGGGCCTGTTAGGAATTATGTGGCACTTCGTGTACATCTATGAATAAACGGTGTCAATGCACCTATTCATTTTGTGGTGTTTGTTGTACATTTATGATTACTACACTGGTGGGGTTGTTTTTACTGATCCAATGAGTTGTGTCATACTATACAACAAGTGGGTGCTTTCAGTACCACCAGGCATTCTGCAGCATATGTTGAGAATTAATAAAGATAAATAATTTTCCAAACAACAGATTTTTATTGTGTAACAAAACACACTGCAAAAAAAAAATTCTGCCCAAATTAAATGCAAATACATTAAAACCTTCATACATTTATGGAACAGCACTTAAAGAAGTGGAAAGTGCATTCATGTCCATTTTACCTACACATACATCAACCATGGCTCTCAGGTCACTGTATGTGAAGTCTTTAAACTTCCCCAGGGTGGAGTGGCAAGGTAGGGATGCAGCCCCTGATGCTGCATGGAATATTGGGGCGGGAGGTGTAGGGAAGATGCTGTAATGGAATTATCTGTGGACTGCAAAGGGAGGCAAGCCCATGACTGTTGAATCTGTAGTTCCACAAGAGTCTGCAGCACCTGTGTTGGCTGCCGGAGATGCCCCATTATGTCCTGATGCATCTCCCTCTCCTTTTTCTGCACCTTTCTCCTGTCTGCTCTTTCCTTCTCCACACAGTCTGCAATATTCACCCTCCAGACCCTCTGCTAAGGATCTGAATCAGCACTGGATCTCACTGTACACATCACCATGAGTCCTCTTCCTTCTCCTCCTTGCCTGGTGCAGGTGTTCCATGGGTGTGGAGGGGTAACCCCTCAAGGTTGCAACTGCTGCAGCTACAGGTAAAACACCCAGAGGTACCATAGTCGGTACAGTCACAATGGAAAGTGAAAGTTACGATTCAGAACTCCCCTCCCTTGCTCCCCTAAAGTTTTAAACAAGACATGCTTATTGACACTTTTGCTTCAGAGTGCTTGTGGATGGCCCAACTCACAGCAGCAGCCATGATGAGTTTGACCTGGCAGGGACAAGGGAAATGAGGAGAGAATTGCTCAAGTGCATGAAATTACGAGAACCAGGCAATGTCACTGAATATTGGCACCGTCTTCCCACAGGCCACGGTGATTTTAGCTGATATCTCACTTGTGAGCATGACAAAGGCACAGAGAATACAGCTGCTGCTGGAGTCCTGAAGTCACAGAGGCCCATATGCTGCTAGCCTGTTTATTGCAATGGTGCCTGCCGAAGTTATCGCCAACTGGCATGGGAAAGTGTCCTACTGCAGAGGAAGAAATAAGGCTGCCATCCTTAGAAACTTTCTGGAGAGGATTGCAGAGTACCTCCATGAAAGTTTTGTCAAGATGGCTCAGGAGGATTCGAGGGATATCCCTGTGTACATACACAAACTGCTCCACATTTCCCCCTCCCCCCCACCTAACTCTACAGGGGAATGAAAAGCAGATAACTTACTTTTACCAGAAGAGGTAGTGGTACAACAAGGAGAAGTAAAGTTAACAAAAAGTCAATAGTAGTGTCCTGTTAAGCTGGGGGCACCATCAGTACATCATAATAATAAGAAATACAATTACATACTTACCCTGAGGTTCTTTCCCCTCCATCGGGCTCACCCGTACTCAATGGCCGGAACTCACTGGAGTGTGGTAGAGTATCAGACAGGTCCTGACTTGTGACATAGCGGGATCCCCTGATAGCATGTCCCTCCTCCTCGCTGTTCTCGCCACGGGCCTGCGACTCAGGCGCTTCAGAGGTTGCAGGCAAGGTGCTGGTGGGGTCTCCAACACATATGACCTGCAACTCTTTGTAAAATCAGCAGGTCTCTGGCTTGGCACCAGATCAACTGTTAGCCTCCCTGGCCTTCTGGTATGTCTGCTGGAATTCCTTCGCTTTCACATGGCGCTGCTTCAGATCCCTGTCATACCCCGTCTTCTGCATTCCTCACGCAATCTGCTCATAGATGTCCACATTTCTACAGCTGGTCTGTAGCTGTGCCTGCACAGCCTCTTGTTCCCACAGGCTAAGGAGATCCAGCATTGCCGGTCTACTCCAGGCCAGAGCGTGTCTTGAGCATGTATCTGGCATGTTCAGCTGGGCAGCAGCACCCAACAGTGGAGAGTGCTAGGTGTGCTCATAAGCTGGGCAATCAAGAAAAGGCACTTAAAACCCTGTGAAATTTTTGAAAGTGTGTGTTGTGGGGGGAAGGAGGAGGAAGAGTTTCTGGTCTCCATGACCCCTGGACAGCGCAGTTCGTGACCAGAGCACTCAGTGTTGGGCATTGGGGGACAGCGGCTGGAGGGTATCACAGATATTTGCTGACAAGAGAGGAAGGGTGAGACTTAGGAATCGTGGGTTCCATTCTAGGCTCTGGAGGGCTCTCTAGTGGGCATAGAACCTCACGCTACATAGTTTTAGGCTGACATTTAAAAAAAAAAAAAAATCAGCATGAGGCAGAAAAACAGCATAGGAAATATTACCCCGAATTAATTCTTAAAGTTTGGCAGTTACAAACAATGGAAAACTGCATGTTATAATGGGAAATGAGGAACCTTAATAATAGGCTGAGCTACCAGCCCCTCCCCTATAATAACTGTGTTTTTAATCCCACCATTTTAGTAGGATGCAACAAAACAACACATGCAAGTTGCTTGCTTTGTTGTAGCAACTCACTAAACAAATATAGCCCAAGCTGCAGAGATCAGAGCCAGATATGAACTTCCTCTAAATCCAGGGAGGGGAGATACTGAGTCTTGGGCTTTGGTTTAGGCCCATAGAACATTTCTTCCTGTACATATTCCCAGCATTTATGGGACTATTCCTGGTGACATCAGCAATGCTGGTGTAGAAACAAAGGTAAATAAAGCAGTTGTGCTGGCTCCGACACTGGAAACATTACTATACAATATTTGCCAAAAGGACAGAGAAAAATCAGGAGGCGAGATTCTGCTTCTACTGAAAAGGGCAAACACAATGAAAGCTGAAATAGATACATAATGTACTTGACAGTGCGCTTTTAAACCTTATACTCTTTATATTAACCAAATACCTTTAAAATATAAATCAGAGCTCAAAGAACACAAGCATCAGACTGACCCTCATGCTGTTAAGCCATTTTTTCTAATGCAGTGGTTTTCAAATTTTTTTTTTTTCCCACGGACCACTTCAAAATTGCTGATGGTCTCGGCGGACCACTTAATGACCTTGCCAAATGTTGTTTGTACCGTCAGCTAACTATTGTAAAGCATTTTGGATAAAGAGCTATATATTTAAAAAAAAACACTTAATAAACGTTTCTTTGTTCTACAAATAAAAGCACACAACTCTCATTTTAATATCAGTAGTCCTACCTTTCTAATGTGATGGATATGCCCTCTCCCCCCTACCGCGGCAGCCACCAAGCTGGGGCTGGAAAGTTGGGGGAGTCTCCTCTGCTGCAGCTGCCTCCGAGCTGGGGCTGGGAAGGAAAGGGGATATCTCCCCCGCCACAACAGCCAGAGCTGAGGCTGGGACAGAGGGCCATCTCTCCCTGGCAGCCACAGCCCTGGAGCTGGGGAAAGTCGCCTTTTTCTCTTGCCACGGCAGCCCTGCACATCCCAAATTCCCCCCCAAGACCACCACCTCACCTTACACGTGCGTCTTCTCCAGGATCCATGCACCTAATTAGTGAAGCCATGCCTGCACTGCTCCACTAATTAGGTGGGTAGCCCTTCATTCTCTCACGTGCGGCCGCCCAACTGTGCACGTTAGAGAGAACTATCTGCGGACCACCTGAATGGAGCTCCCACGGACCACAGTTTGAGAACCTCTACTCTAATGAAATTCTGTATTCCTTTAAATTTTTATGAGGTTTTGTCATTGATTGCTATTAAGTTGTAGCAGCTGCAGAAATAAAGTGTCCTTTGGTTACTTTCAGGTCAAGTACAACAACAGGCCTGAGTTCCTCTAACCCTCCAATTCCTTTTCATATGAACACCATTCTATATCGTAAGGCTGTTTATGAACAATCAAAGTGTGTTGCAGAATGGTGTGCAGACCTAGGGCAAAAAGTTATTGCAAAGCTCCCAGCTACTAATTTGTGAAAAATAAAGAGCAAGACTCAAACATAGTCATATCAGAACTACAGCAGGTCACTGTAAAGGATTATGTAGCAGAAATGACTACCAGGAAAATAAATTGACAAATGGCGTGATGAATTGCAGAAGCAACCACTATTTTGTGAGTGAATACATTATATATTATTGAGATACACTTATTCTTCCACTAATAGAATCTAATCTGCAGATATTTAAGTAGATGTTACTTTTGACACATGATCCCTTCATGCTGAATTTATAAAATGAACACAATACTGTGTTAATCATGAGATCCAAGTTGAAGTTAGCCATAAAAGACATGGAGGCACTGAAGCTGAATTGGCACCAATTCAGTAAGGTACGTAAGCATGTCAATGGCCTTTCTGATTTCAATGGGACTAAAGTAGTTAAACATATGCGTATTAAGTGCCTGGCTGAATCAGTGCCTTACTTAGGAGAGATGTCAGTCTCTGCAACAAAAGACAGAATAAAAAGATTAAAAGTTGGTAGAGCCTACCAGACACCAGGGAGCTTAAATACAGCAGCTATAGGAGATAAATGATATGGATGTCAGCCCAGTGACTCTCCTTTTGGGGTACTGGTTGTCAATGAGCTAAAAATTTAGGCCCCAATTCTACACAGACATACACACACTTTCAATGGGACTACTCAAGTGCATGAAGTTAAACACTGCATAAGAGTTTGCAGAATCAGGGCTTTTAGGGATAAGCCAGAAAGTTTCTTAAATAGCTTTCACCTCACACAACTAATCTTTTTTCTCTTAAAGTGGAAATGTTTCCTGGACAGTTTGCTCACCTCTTCAAGGTCATCCAGCTCTTCTAGCCTTGTTCGCACCTTCTCAGAAACTGCTGAGCCAGGCGTCGTAGCTTTTCCTGTAGGTAATTATATCTTTGAGTTTAACATTTTCAAATTCTTAAACTATTAAAAAAAAAAAAAAAAAAAGACTTGAGGCGAAGAGTCAGATTTAAATAAGCTAACAGTATCCAAGACCAAAACAGTGGTTCAACCACCTAAAGGCAGCTATTCAGCTGCTAGCATGAGAGACTCCGAGCCTGATTTTCAAACAAGACCTCCATTCCTGCAGGCACACAATGAATGTTGCCAAAGATTCATTCATCTTTTTCTCCAAACATTTCGTAGTGGGCACAGAATAGCAACTGCAGAAAGCGAAGCCTGATTTGAAAGAAAAAAAAAAAAACCCAAACAAAACCAGACTCTAGATTTTTTATTCAGGTTCTTTGGGTAAGATGCTGGAGCCCTGTATTTCAAGATTCCACTTGCTATGGAAGGTTCTTTACTACTTCGCCTCGCATTCTTAACAGTTTTTCCCATTAACAATACAATTAAAACATTGCGTTAAAAATTAAGATTTTGGTGTCATACTAAACAGCCAGTATAATACTGGAATCCGCTCCTTCAATGCTTCTCTCTCAGCCAGGCTGAGAGAATTGTTGGACAGCTATGCAAAGCACTTCCTTCTATTTCCCCTCTTGTTCCCTTCAAGCAAGCGGGAAAATTAATAAAGACAAGCCAAATACCAAAATAATCTTGCAATTTTGGGAGATTTGGAGGGATAGTAACAGCCCAGATGTTTTTTAAAGCTGCAATGTAAATTACAGGAGTTGTAGTTTCTTTCAATTACACATAATAATGCACCCAGCAGCCACTAGATGGAGCAAGATAAATATTATTTTTCTTGAATTTGCAAAAATCCAGTGGGACTCATGAGCAACAGCAGTGAATCAGCTCCCAGTTGGAGAAAGAAAGCTTTAATCTGAATGCATGTTTTCACCAAAGGTCTGTCATTTGCTCTCTCCTTAAAATAATAGTCCCATGGCACTTGATATAGAGAAACTACTCACCTTTTTCAGAACTCATATACAGATTCTGCAGAGAAACAACAGCATTTTAGAAAGCATGTATTTACAAACTACTTACTTATTTATAAATGATTTAAGAAAGTGTGGATTGATTATTTTCAGTGCTGCTATTTATTCTATAAATTAATGGAGATATAAAGTGTGATTGTAAGCTTTTCGTGGCATGAACCATGTCTCTATTTGTGTTCTAGGAAGTGGCTAGCACACTTTTGGGCTCTCTAAAAATAATCAAGTACTACAGGCCAAAGATCAGCCAGTCTTCTTTATGAATATTTAAAAGCTAGAGCTGCTGGGATGGTTTTCCACTTCATTGCAAATTAAATGTACTGAATTTGTTTACATAGAAAAGGAATAGTCACAAGGTACTCAATTACTGTAGCCTCACAGTACCCATAGTCTATTAAGGTTCTTGCACAAAATTATTAAGAAGCGCACTTACAATGGAGAGTTTTTCAGTCGTCGTGTATCTAGCAAGGATTTCACCACGTTTGCTTGACCATGGTTCAAAGTCACTTCCTACAGCCAAGCTGTCATCTTTATCACGTTTCTTTCTTGTACTATCCTAGGAGGAACACAAACAAGGTGTTCAGCTTCATGTATACCAGGAAGACAAAGAAAGGTGACCAGATATTTTAAGACCTACTGTGTTTCATGTGTTACTGATCCTTGCACAGATTTACAACATTAAAAAACACAAACGTTACCAGAACTGCTAAAGCAAAAGAAAACAGGTAAATGAAATTCTCTGATTAGTTAATATGGTACTTTCTATACTGAAACAGCTCTTGCAAGAGCACAAAGAATCAGTTCTATGCAGGTCTATTTTATTCAATCTACTTGAGATAATTAACCTTGAGCTTTACCGTGTTAGCTGCAGTAGTCACTGGATCTGCTGTTGCTGCGAACAATGACAAGGGATCAGTACCGTCCAACACACTGCTTAGTGGGTCTATCATTGAACTGGAAGAAGAGGAGGAGGTAGAGGAAGTACTTCCTTTCCGACCCATTTTCTTGGTCTTGGATTCAGTAACCTGAAGGAGAAGTTCAACTGTAAAATGAAATGATCTACTTCCACTTTAATAACTTACTAGAGCACAAAGAAAAGGAGTACTTGTGAAACCTTAGAGACTAACCAATTTATTTGAGCATAAGCTTTCGTGAGCTACAGCTCACTTCATTGGATGCATACTGTGGAAAGTTTAGAAGATCTTATTATATACACACGAAGCATGAACAAATACCTCCTCCTATCCCACTCTCCTGCTGGTAATAGCTTATCTAAAGCGATCACTCTCCTTACAATGTGTATGATAATCAAGTTGGGCCATTTCCAGCACAAATCCAGGTTCTCTCACCCCATCCCACCCCCCACACCACACCACACACAAACTCACTCTCCTGCTGGTAATAGCTTATCTAAAGTGACCACTCTCCTTACAGGTTTCAGAGGAACAGCCGTGTTAGTCTGTATTCGCAAAAAGAAAAGGAGTACTTGTGGCACCTTAGAGACTAACCAATTTATTTGAGCATAAGCTTTCGTGAGCTACAGCTCACTTCATCAGATGTATACCGTGGAAACTGCAGCAGACTTTATATACACACAGAGAATATGAAACAATACCTCCTCCCACCCCACTGTCCTGCTGGTAATAGCTTATCTAAAGTGATCAACAGGTGGGCCATTTCCAGCACAAATCCAGGTTTTCTCACCCTCCACCCCCCCACACAAATTCACTCTCCTGCTGGTGCTAGCCCATCCAAAGTGACAACTCTTTACATAATCAAGTCGGGCTATTTCCTGCATAGATCCAGGTTATCTCACATCCCCCCCACCCCCATACACACACAAACTCACTCTCCTGCTGGTAATAGCTCATCTAAACTGACCACTCTCCAAGTTTAAATCCAAGTTAAACCAGAACATCAAGGGGGGGGGGGTAGGAAAAAACAAGAGGAAACAGGCTACCTTGCATAATGACTTAGCAACTCCCAGTCTCTATTTAAGCCTAAATTAATAGTATCCAATTTGCAAATGAATTCCAATTCAGCAGTTTCTCGCTGGAGTCTGGATTTGAAGTTTTTTTGTTTTAAGATAGCGACCTTCATGTCTGTGATTGCGTGACCAGAGAGATTGAAGTGTTCTCCGACTGGTTTATGAATGTTATAATTCTTGACATCTGATTTGTGTCCATTTATTCTTTTACGTAGAGACTGTCCAGTTTGACCAATGTACATGGCAGAGGGGCATTGCTGGCACATGATGGCATATATCACATTGGTGGATGTGCAGGTGAACGAGCCTCTGATAGTGTGGCTGATGTTATTAGGCCCTGTGATGGTGTCCCCTGAATAGATATGTGGGCACAATTGGCAACGGGCTTTGTTGCAAGGATAAGTTCCTGGGTTAGTGGTTCTGTTGTGTGGTATGTGGTTGTTGGTGAGTATTTGCTTCAGGTTGCGGGGCTGTCTGTAGGCAAGGACTGGCCTGTCTCCCAAGACTTGTGAGAGTGTTGGGTCATCCTTTAGGATAGGTTGTAGATCCTTAATAATGCGTTGGAGGGGTTTTAGTTGGGGGCTGAAGGTGACCGCTAGTGGCGTTCTGTTATTTTCTTTGTTAGGCCTGTCCTGTAGTAGGTAACTTCTGGGAACTCTTCTGGCTCTATCAATCTGTTTCTTTACTTCTGCAGGTGGGTACTGTAGTTGTAAGAAAGCTTGACAGAGATCTTGTAGGTGTTTGTCTCTGTCTGAGGGGTTGGAGCAAATGCGGTTGTATCGCAGAGCTTGGCTGTAGACGATGGATCGTGTGGTGTGGTCAGGGTGAAAGCTGGAGGCATGCAGGTAGGAATAGCGGTCAGTAGGTTTCCGGTATAGGGTGGTGTTTATGTGGCCATTGTTTATTAGCACTGTAGTGTCCAGGAAGTGGATCTCTTGTGTGGACTGGACCAGGCTGAGGTTGATGGTGGGATGGAAATTGTTGAAATCATGGTGGAGTTCCTCAAGGGCTTCTTTTCCATGGGTCCAGATGATGAAGATGTCATCAATATAGCGCAAGTAGAGCAGGGGCTTTAGGGGACAAGAGCTGAGGAAGCGTTGTTCTAAGTCAGCCATAAAAATGTTGGCATACTGTGGGGCCATGCGGGTACCCATAGCAGTGCCGCTGATCTGAAGGTATACATTGTCCCCAAATGTGAAATAGTTATGGGTAAGGACAAAGTCACAAAGTTCAGCCACCAGGTTAGCCGTGACATTATCGGGGATAGTGTTCTTGACAGCTTGTAGTCCATCTTTGTGTGGAATGTTGGTGTAGAGGGCTTCTACATCCATAGTGGCCAGGATGGTGTTATCAGGAAGATCACCGATGGATTGAAGTTTCCTCAGGAAGTCAGTGGTGTCTCGAAGGTAGCTGGGAGCGCTAGTAGCGTAGGGCCTGAGGAGGGAGTCTACATAGCCAGACAATCCTGCTGTCAGGGTGCCAATGCCTGAGATGATGGGGCGCCCAGGATTTCCAGGTTTATGGATCTTGGGTAGTAGATAGAATATCCCAGGTCGGGGTTCCAGGGGTGTGTCTGTGCGGATTTGATCTTGTGCTTTTTCAGGAAGTTTCTTGAGCAAATGCTGTAGTTTCTTTTGGTAACTCTCAGTGGGATCATAGGGTAATGGCTTGTAGAAACTCGTGTTGGAGAGCTGCCGAGCAGCCTCTTGTTCATATTCCGACCTATTCATGATGACAACAGCACCTCCTTTGTCAGCCTTTTTGATTATGATGTCAGAGTTGTTTCTGAGGCTGTGGATGGCATTGCGTTCCGCATGGCTGAGGTTATGGGGCAAGTGATGCTGCTTTTCCACAATTTCAGCCCGTGCACGTCAGCGGAAGCACTCTATGTAGAAGTCCAGTCTGCTGTTTCGACCTTCAGGAGGAGTCCATCTAGAATCCCTCTTTCTGTAGTGTTGGCAGGGAGACCTCTGTGGATTAGTATGTTGTTCAGAGGTATTTTGGAAATATTCCTTGAGACGGAGACGTCGAAAATAGGATTCTAGGTCACCACAGAACTGTATCATGTTCGTGGGGGTGGAGGGGCAGAAGGAGATGCCCCGAGATAGAACAGCTGCTTCTGCTGGGCTGAGAGTATAGTTGGATAGGTTAACAATATTGCTAGGTGGGGTGAGGGAACCATTGCTGTGGCCCCTTGTAGCATGTAGTAGTTTAGAAAGTTTAGTGTCCTTTTTCTTTTGTAGAGAAGCAAAGTGTGCGTTGTAAATGGCTTGTCTAGTTTTAGTAAAATCCAGCCACGAGGAAGTTTGTGTGGAAGGTTGGTTCTTTATGAGAGTATCCATTTTTGAGAGCTCATTCTTAATCTTTCCCTGTTTGCTGTAGAGGATCTTGATCAGGTGATTCCGGTCACTTTAGATAAGCTATTACCAGCAGGAGAGTGAGTTTGTGTGTGGTGTGGTGTGGGGGGTGGGATGGGGTGAGAGAACCTGGATTTGTGCTGGAAATGGCCCAACTTGATTATCATACACATTGTAAGGAGAGTGATCGCTTTAGATAAGCTATTACCAGCAGGAGAGTGGGATAGGAGGAGGTATTTGTTCATGCTTCGTGTGTATATAATAAGATCTTCTAAACTTTCCACAGTATGCATCCGATGAAGTGAGCTGTAGCTCACGAAAGCTTATGCTCAAATAAATTGGTTAGTCTCTAAGGTGCCACAAGTACTCCTTTTCTTTTTGCGAATACAGACTAACACGGCTGTTACTCTGAAACCTGTCATTACTAGAGCACAGATTCTCCAAATAGCACATTTTTTCTCTCTGCTAGGAGTGCCTCAGCTATAATACTGGTACTTAGAGATTCTTTTACCATTTTTATTTCTATTTTCTGCAGCAAAAGGCTCTTTCTCCCCCACCTGTTCTTTGCTTCCTCCTCCCACTCTTGTTTTTATCCCTTCTTTCATGATACTCCTTTAGCTTCAAACAGCCTACCACTTCCTGTGCACCAAATACCCTTCCTTTTGTCTTTCAAATCCACCCTTGAAGACTGCTCCTTTCAAGAAGCTTTCCTATGCAGATCTCCCTACTGACCTTCCAGAGTCTGAACTGCTGCCCATGTATCATAGTCACCAGAGTTAAACTAACCTCTTTGAAGCAGGGACCTTGCCTCTTATGTGTTTTGTAGAGCCCCATGCATGCTTGCAATATTTCATAGAGTGTTTTTAAAACCACAGCTGGTTTAGAGGTAACCCAAAAACAACAAGTGCTACATTGAGCAGTTAGGCAGGTTACTGGTAATGTGATGAGTTGGTCCCAATCTGGTCTTTTTATATATGATGAAACATTTCATAAGTAATCAAGAAGCTGTGCGGGATTTGAGCTGTTCTGAATAGTAAGAGACGTTTTCTGGCATAACACATCAAGACTTTCAGTACTGTGTAAATAGCAACATAAACTCCTAGTACTATAGAAATGGTGGGAACTGCAAGCAGCTGGAGCATCCAAAACGTAGTTCACTGTTACTGCCAGTGACTTTAAAACCAAAACTTTTCTTCTAACAAATTCAACAGAAAATCAGAACTGCCTCTAGTTGCCAGCAGGAAACAGTAGTTTTCACTTTACAGTGATGTTATTTGCAAAGGCTCAAAAAGAAACTTACGGTAATGGGTTTCAGTGGATGGTAGTCCCCAAATTCCACAGGTACAGCCTCCAGTCTGCATGATTCAAACTCTGATGTGTAATTTCTAGACCTTGCATGCCTTAAAAAGCAAGAATAAAGAAAAAGTTTTATAGGTGCATCACTGTATATGTACCTGAGAGTCTGTAAATATGTAGTTATACATCACACTTGCATAGGTGCAGACATGTTTATACGCTTTTGGAAAGTAAATCAAATTGTATGATGTAAGGTTTCCCTTTGCATGAGAAGCTAATTTGTAAACTGACTTGACTACTTTGCTCTCTTATACTCTAAATAAAAACTTCCGGTCAGTACACTTGTGAAATGAGGTAACTGCCAGTTACTGTTCTGAATTCAAAGTACAGCAGTTGGATTCACCTCCATACCATTTAATTTAATCATCAAAAGGATCAGAATTAGCAAATAATTTACCCATTAGGTAATTTACAAAAGGAATCAATATCCAGCTGTTCCACAGTATTCACAATTAAAAGTTGCAGTGGCCAGCTGACAAGAGGAAGAAAGAACATAACCAGCAATGCAAGAACAAGAAATAAGTCATTGTACTAAAGGCTTCCATTCTTACTGAAAGTATTTTATTAAGAGAAATAATTTACAGCAAACTCATATTTTACAGTTTTTATTCTTAATCCGACTTGTTAGCCTGTTGACAAAACCAGACCTTCTTCCATAAAAGAAAACGACTTGTACTTGAAGAACAACATAGATAATGCACTCCAAGTGCTTTGCCTTAAAGGCTTAGCAGCAGATATTAACTCCAGTCACACCTTAATAGTTTTTCCTCCATTCTATTTTACTATTAATCCCAGTTTCTATTAATCGTTCACTATAATTAGAAATACAATTCATCTTTGAGGTGTGCCGTTAAAGTGGGGGAGAGAAATATAACCGGAGTTTCCATACCGAGACTGGACAGACCTATCAAGGAGAGCTAAGAGTTATATTTAAAAATACTCAAATATATTCTTAAATTCAGTAATACATCAAATGAAAACCCTTTAACTAGCACGATCTAGTGATCATGCATGGAACTGAGAGTAAAGATTCTTGGTTTGAGTTCCCAGCTCTGTTACTGTTTCTTTGGGGGCAAAACAGTTTCCATACATGCAAAGTGGGTATAGTTCTACTCAGCTCACGGAAGCGTCATGAGACTTAGAAGTGTCTATACTCGGCATTTCAGCAAACATTTTCCACCACTGGTACCATACATTCAGCTCCAACAGTAGAGCAGTGGTGATAGAGCTGGTGTAGACAGGGATCGTAGCAGCAATCAGCAAGACCTGGTTTGAAAAGGTTTTCTTTCCCTCTGCCCACTCTACCTGGAACATTTTCCTGACTGTATTTTAATTTTAGAAATATTAGGAATGCCCAACTTGCCTTCCATTTTATTACTGAAGGACTTTTGGGAGAGCTCAAGGATGTTTACTGGAGCTCTGGTGCCTTAATTGAACCAGCAAGGGTATTGAATGAACAAAGGCTTCCTTTATCGAAAACGCTAGTCCTTAAAACTAAAAACAAAACAAACAAAAAAGCCAGATTTTCAAGAGCTAAGCTTCCATTTAGGCACCAAGTATTAAGTGTCATCAGCTTCCTTTGGGCACAATGTGCCTAAATAGGAACTGAGCTCATTTGAAAATCCTGCCAGTGTCTAAAAATTAATTCCCCCCTCAACTTTCACTTTCTGGGATTTTGCAATGTCACTATTTCACTAGTTTTCTTCTCGTCATTATAGTGTGTTCTAGTCTAAAAGGAATCTGAATTTCTTAGCGTAAAAAAGTAGCTGAAAGAAACAAAATATTTTAAAAGGGCAAAAACCCCAATTTCTCCCTGCCTCCCCACTTCTTCCCCTCAACTTTGCTGGTAATCTTTTTCAAAGTGAAAAAGGAATCAGACTACGTAATTATTATTTAACTGATAGACCTTTGTGGCACTCTTGCTATTGCAATTCTGTAACAAGAAATCAGAACAAAGTCATAGCTGTGCTGATCAGTGGAGAAGCTTTGAAGCCTAATTAGATACAAGCAGAGCAAGAACAAGAGTCCAGTGAAACCCACGTGCCTATTCCTTTTGTTTTCATTATCTTCGATTTCCTGCCTTTACTATACATGAGCATTTTCTTGAATTTACTATTGTTCCATGCTTCAGTGACTCTCCTTGTTCACTTGCTTCATGGGTTTATTAGAATTTGTATGAAAATATGTACCCCACACTCTCTACTGACTCCTAATTATAACATTTCTCAAAAAGAACAGGAGTACTTGTGGCGCCTTAGAGACTAACAAATTTATTAGAGCATAAGCTTTCGTGGGCTACAGCCCACTTCATCGGATGCATAGAATGGAACATATAGTAAGAATATATATATACACACACATACAGAGAAGGTGGAAGTTGCCATACAAACTGTAAGAGGCTAATTAATTAAGATGAGCTATTATCAGCAGGAGAAAAAAAAAAGCTCCTTAATTAATTAGCCTCTTACAGTTTGTATGGCAACTTCCACCTTCTCTGTATGTGTGTGTATATATATATTCTTACTATATGTTCCATTCTATGCATCCGATGAAGTGGGCTCTAGCCCACAAAAGCTTGTGCTCTAATAAATTTGTTAGTTTCTAAGGTGCCACAAGTACTCCTGTTCTTTTTGCGGAAACAGACTAACACGGCTGCTACTCTGAAATACAACATTTCTATTACACTGTTATACTTACAGTTTTGTCAGCATTTCCATTACATCTCATTTATAGGGGTTTCTAAACAGCATTTTAAAAAAAAGTCCTTGACAGCTGAAGCTTGGCATAACAGCCTCAGCCTAAAGGCAATTGTATTATAACTAAATTTTAAGGCACCATTTGCTCTGTGTATGCATGTACATGAAGTGAGCTGTTTGATTCTGTAAGCATTTTTTAAAACTTACATTTACATTGTTTTAAGTGATCAAGACCGCTTGTAAGGTAATTAATATTCGGGGGGAGTGCACGACTGGTTTAATATTATCTTCTATTTATTCACTGAGGAAGGAGAGAGAGAAGGTTAAACCTTCCATTCTTGGTGGAAAGCTCATGACTATGGAGCAAGCTTTCATCAGAAATCAGACTGACTGATCCAGTCTTCTGGGAAACCGTAAGGTCCATGTCCACATGCAGGCTATACCCTATAACAGGCAGGTTGCCTTGTTCTACCTGAGTCTGGCACTTAGAAGAGCAATGAGGGAAGAAAAGCAGCAACCACGTCTATTGGGAAGGCACCCCTTTTATTGGAATGGATTTCTATATGTATTGCGACAATGCACCTCCTCCACCTCGGCGGGTACCGCGTTTCCCCCTCTGCTGGTGGGAGCATGGAGTAAGTCAGCCCCACTCTGGACTGTATTTATTCTCCCACTTGCGGGTTTATTTCCCAATACTTTTCTGGCAGGCCTCAGTGCCAGCCCAAGGAGTGCCCCTCCACCCAACAAAAAACACAGTTCCAACTCAAAACAAAGGGGAATGCCTTTTCCTACCACCCTGTGAGGCTTTGTTATTGGCCCTGGGGTGCCAGTCCTTCCCCTAAACAGTCTGTTACATAGCTTCCCCTGTAGGGAGGAGAGCAGCCCTCCACCCTGGAGCAGACTCTCCCTGATACCACTAGCCCTGCACTGCCCTGTCTCTCCTTTCCCTCTTTTCACCAGAGAAGGAGTTTGTAAAGGTCTCAGGGAGCCCTTAATTGGACTCAGGTGTCTCTACTGCATATTCCCCTAAGTATGTAACATTTTAACACAAGCGTTTCCTTAAAATAGCTTGTTTGCAATTTTCACAAAATAAAGTTTTGTTCGACTAATATCCAAGATTTATTTTTTGGTTTAGCTATTATCCCCAAACAATGGTCTGTAATTAAATTGCTAACAAAACCCTAATGAAATGGGCATTCGAGAAGTATTAACAGAAAAACTTCAAGAATGGATCTTAAGAGGCACCTGTGGACATATCTGACTTTAAGCCAAATATTTGATATTCTTTCCTCACTCATAATATTTACAAAGTCTCATTTTGATATTAAACTATTAAAAAAGTATGTGGGTGAGTACTATATGGAAAGTTTCAGCCTGGAATGAAATTCATTCAAGCAACAAGCTCCTTTTACTTTAAAAGAGGGCAATTTATATTTTTTAAGCATCTTGAAAAGCTATTTTAATAGTGATGCAAATAGCACACTGGGTATCTTATTGTGCCCCTTCATTTCAGAAAAAGCTGTGCCTCCATCTGAAAGCTGAATAAATTCAATTTATTATTTAAAGGAACAAAAGCTTCAGGAAAGCAAGACTTCCAAAATCAGGAATTAGTTTATTTACAAGCAGCCATGCAATTTATGAGGAAGGGAAACAATTATTGCACATATTTTTCTTTATCTTGTCAAAAGAAAAAATATTTCATCATTTCCTTATCTTGCTTGCTCTAACAGAAATTGTACTACGTAGCTTATTTCCTAAGTATTTTCTTCAGTTCTGCATTCAGTTTTCCAGAAGTAAAGAAACATTTCATATTACTACAGAAGCAGAATTTGTAACCTAACATGAACCAATAGGGACATCCACTGCACTACAAGAGGAACAGAATTTTTATCTGGCTTCTTTCTCCTCCCCCCATCCCTCTCTTTCAAAAAAAAAAAAAAAACATTATAAAATCCAACACAATCAAATTAGATCCAAATTCTGACTGCCCTAGATTGTTCTTGCTTATTTTTAAAGACAGTACATAAGAAATTCTGTTCACAGGACATCTCTAACACGCTCCTGTGAAGACCTGTACACCCACAAAGCTACCTCATTATCCATCTTCAAATCCCTCCTCAAAATTCTATTTTGCCCTGATACCTAAAAAAAAAAAAAACCTGATAATGGTTAGGCTGCCAACCTGCTGATTATCATGCTGACCAACACAGGCTCACTGTTTCCTAGTACTCCCCTGTCTGCTTGCGTCCATCTGTTCTCTCTTATTTAGTTAGGGTATGTTCAGACTGTTGAGGCTATACAGCCAGCATATAACCGCATCGTACAGATGCTGCCTACATGGACAGAAGGGGTTTTCTGTCAGTGTAGAAACATCATCTGATGGTAGCTACATCAACAGATGTATTCTTCCATTGACATGCCTGCATCTACACTGGTGCAAACCTACACACAGGTGTGTTTTTTTCAGTAATTTTTTTTAAAGGTTTCAACACAGTGCCTTCCAGGCACCTCCATGCTACTGCTGTGATTTGGCATTTTGTAAGACCATCAAAGAAGAAACAAATATAGGGTTACAGAGAGGAAAAAGCACATGGAGCCTTTATATATCCTACATGAATCACAGAGCAAACTACAGCAACTCCTTTGGGGTTATCCCATCTTCTCACAAAAATGCAAATAAGTAACACCAATCCCACATTCTTAAAACAGATCTGAATGTATCTCCCCTTCTTCAGAGGAAGGATTTTACTGTGAGGTTCAAGTATATTTTTTTAACTTCTTTCAGATAGTCTCAGTTGCAGACTTGTGATAATATAATTTCAAGGGTCTTTTCATGGGGGCATTTGAAAGAAGCACTGTCACTGAAGGAACATGTGTGCATGTATCCAAATTAGAAATGAACTTTCTAGAACATTGCCACAATTGAATAGCTTACTGCTATTTCATTTAGGCTTCTGGCTTCCTTTTAGACCCCTTCCAAAGCAGCAGTCCTGAACCAAGGAGGAAGTTATCGGTGTTGTTCTTGATATTTGTTTTACTGTGGAAGTCCCTTACAGCACAGAAAGCTTTGGTCAGGGCTACCGGTACAGATTGTAGGAAAGGAGGGAATTAAACTTTACAGCAGCTCCACTGCATGCACCTCCGAAACAGGTGAGCTTCGCACCTGGGGGAAGGCCACTGCAGTTTTGCACTAGGCTTTCGGACTGAGTTAGCGGAGAAGCAGGGAACAGACTAGGCAGGCTGACAGAGCAGAGGTGCCTTTCACCCTCTTTTCTTTAAGCTGGGGGACAGGGAAGTCCCCAGCCCACCCCGCTCGGGAGTCTGTAGCCGGGCTCTGCTTTAGCCCGTTGGCTCCAGACAGGGGAAGATCAGGGACCCTTCCCCAGGAACCAGCTCCCGCCCAGCCCAGCCGGAACTGCTCCACCTCAGACTACGCGAGTCCAGACCCGTTGCCGCCTTCCGCCACCTGCCCGGCTCGGCTCGACTTGACTCGACTCCCTCCTCACTCAGCCCTGACCCTTCCCGACACCTCTACCCGTGCTTCTCCCAGCCTTACCACGGGAAGGCAGCCATCTTGCTTCCTTGTCACGTGACCCTCCTTCTTCTCCCCCCCCCCCGGCCGGGTCTTTCACCGCCCTCTCCCCGCTCGCCCCGCCCCGCCCCGCCGCCAAGGCTGCCATGATTGTGCGGGGCAGCCGGAAAGGGAAGGTGCAGGCCCCACGCGACGGCGGCGGATGGCTCTCGCTGAGCCGGGGGGCAGCTGCTGCACTCCTGAGCCAGCCAAAGCCCCGCGCGCCGACGCCGTGTCCTAAAGTGAGAGAGCGCAGCCCCGCTAGGCACACCCCAGGGGCTAACGGCTACCCCCCAGGGAAAGGCTCCTCCCCCACCCCACACACTGAGGGGGCTAACCCCTGGGGAGAGGCTCCTCCCCCAGCCCCACATACGGGGGGGCTAACCCCTGAGGAAAGGCTCCTCCCCATGCCCCACACACTGTTGGCAGCTAACCCCAGGGAAAAGGCTCCTCCCCCACCCCACACATCGATGGAGGCTAGCCCCATGGGAAAGGTACCTCCCCCACCCCACACACTGAGGGGGCCTCCCCCACTCATATTGGGGGGATAGCCACATGGGAAAGGCTCCTCCCCTGTCCCACACATGAGGGGGGACTAACCACATGGAAAAGGCTCCTCTTCCCATCCCACATGGTGGGGGGCGACCCCTGTGTGTGACACACCTCTCCCCACTCATACTAGGAGCTAGCCCCAGGGGGGAGGCTCCTTTCCCCACCGCACACACTGATGGGGGAGCCTAACCCGCTGTTTAATTTATAATGAAAGAGGTGCTAGGGGCTCAAGCAATTTTTTTTACTTTCATAACTGACATTGCAAGCAGAGGTGCCAGGGGTATGAACTGCCAAGCCTAGAGGTTCCAGGACTCAGCCCTGGCACAAATTAAGCACTGGCCTCACCTCGGGGAGGAAGATGTCTCCCCCCACACACTGCAGGCACCCTTTCCTCGACATCCTGAAGGGGTCTTTTTGGAGCCCACACATGCACCTTGAGGCAGCTTTCCATGCAACTAGGGATCAATACAGAGTGAGCCTCTTCCAGCCTCTCCACAACAAAGTGGCCTCACACATCCCCTATGCACTGCAGGGATCTCACACTCCCCAACCTGAGGAACTGGCACCTTGCCCTGCTAGGCACGGATACACACACAAAGTCTCATTCTCACACAGGCAGTGATGTGGTCTCCCCTCCACACCCATACTGAGGTGTGGGGAGGCTCTAGATGGGTGAACTCTCTCACAGGAAGGGAAAATGTGAATGAAGTTGTTCCCCTCCCCAGTGATGGGGAAACCTTGACCTGGCATGTAGTGTCTATCACAGGCAGTCAGTGAAACCTGGGGCAACAGGTCAGATCACTGCTTTGGTGAGGTCAAATAGTACTCATGTCAGTGAATATGGACCATTTGGTTAGCAATGGATTAATCAGGAAATACTGTACAGTACCACTTATCTGTACATATGTACTGATAGCCCCAGGCTCCCAAATCCTGTAGACTCACTGACTCCCATTTATTCAGCTAATTGCAATCATTTCCCCCAGGGCTGATTAGATTACATGCCACCCCACATTGCTATTCTTCACTGTTAGGATAAAACTTTTATTTCTCCACACCAAAGCAAGATCCCAACTCTGATATTCAGATGTCGGCAGTTGCATACATATAGAAAGACCAGAATATTAGTCAAGATCCACCATGGAGAACTGAAAGCAGAATTTTCTTCTCACTCTAATTCCTCAGCGTATGCGCAGTGTGCCCCGCCATTTGATAGCATTGGCATCAGCCAGGTGAAGAGCCGGTAGCCCACTGTCAAAGTCAGTCAGCAGGCACTCATCAAGGATATGTGACATAATCTGAAATTGACCTCATCTACATTGCAAGTTGTTAGAGAAACCCCATTTGAATAAATTGGACACAATTGCTCTGTCCTGTTTGAAACCGGTTCAAGGATGACCACAGGTGCCTTGGCAGGTCAAAACCTGGTGGACAGATGGTTGGGTCGGTGACGAGTGATTAACAACTGTCGTAGCTGTTGTCATTACACCAAGCAAATTCCACTGTCGTGTCCTGTGGCGGCATAAGTGACCATAAAGGACATCTAGAAGACATGTGAACTGAACATGTCTGAGTACAGAGGCACATCTCATTTCTCACAGCTCTTGACCAGGAGCATGATGGAAGCCCCCTCATGGCAAATATGAGACAGTAATTAGATGTCATTGTGTAATTTGGATAATTTCAATCGGCCTTCTTAAAATTAACCCTGTAGTTTTAATTAGGATCAATCTATTTCACCTATCCAAAACTATTGTGTAGTTAGTGTGTGCTCTTAGCCAGGTGCAGCACCCAGCCACAGGAGTGGCTGTATTTCTGTGGAGGGTGAAATAAGATTTTATAGAGTACTGCTTTTGATCTACATATGCAGCTCTCACTGACACCAACTGAAGTGGTGAATGCAGCTCAATACAGCCTTTGCAGTGCTTTAAAAGGTATTCTCAGGCCTCAATTGTTATAGTTAGTGCTTAAAATAATTGTTTTAAATGACATCAACAGCAAAAATGTTTAAAACTATCATCATCTAAGATGAACCAGACAAATTCAGGTATCACTGACTCTATGTCTTAAGAGTTTATGACTTAGTAATAGGGAATGGTAAGATTTTATTTTATATTTTCTGATGTGCAAAATACATCTAATACTATTTTACACTTGTATAGCATCTTTCAATGATGATTATAAAATGCTTCATTTTTGACAATTAGGATACATAAACTAAGTGACTTGCCTAAGATCACAGAACAAACCAGTCATAGAAGCTGGAAAGGAACCCTGGCATCCTGACTGTTATATCTATTTCCAAACAAAAAACATTATTTAATGTTACTTAAGGTTTTCTTCACTAATAAACTAAACCATGAAAAAGTTAAGAAATACAAAGGCAAGGCTTAAAAAGTTGCTAAGTCAAACACTAAAAAATGCCAGAATGAATGGTACCTGTGCAACCTTATTTCAGCCCCCTTCTGTATATGCATAATAATCTAACCTTGACTTTGCTGCTACCATTTGACTACAGCCTGACTTGGCAGCTTTTAAATCCTTTTTCATTCTTAAGTTTGTATTTTCTAATTTTTTATGGCTTAATTTATTGATCAGAGCAAACTTTAACATTAAACAAAGATTTTGGTTATAAGTTTCCTTATTTTTTTTTATAGAAAGAAAATGTTTATGTATGTGCTATTTAAATAAAACATTTGTTTAATGGTTATGGTTTCACAGCAGTGGAAAAATAAGATTTACTGCAGCTTCTAGATAGGGACTCAATCATAATCTCTCTTTTTTTAAAAAAAAAAGGTAAATACTCAGAAAGTCATAGTCTTCAATTTGGGACAAAATATAAACTATCCATGAAATGGAATTGTGTATTTTTTTTATGTGACTTTTACTTTCCTTAAAAAAAAAAAAAAAAGTTACCCTCTGAAAAGAAACAGTGTGACCTACCTCTATACAAACCCAAAGGAGCTCATGCAAACTTAGTTTGCTTTCCTTCCAGCTCCTCCCTGGACTCTTTTTATATTAATGTTAGGGGAGTCTGAGGTAAATCAGTATTCAAGGCAGCCATTGCTATGACAACCAAGGCAACAGTGATTCTCATCAAGTATTTGAATAAAGTAGAGGGAGGAATAATGAGTGGCTGATTGTCTCTGAAGTCCCTGCTAATGCTCAGGAAGCAGCAAATGTGCGGTGTGGGGGGAAAAAAATCGTGCTTTTCTGGTGTTTCAGTTTCCTCAAACTTGCTAAAAATCCAACAACATGCTAATAGAAAACACATATTGGAGATCATTCCACACACATTAATTAGTGGCTGAAATTTGGTTCAAGTTCCCCATCGCATGTTTCCAAAAAAGGGTTCAGAAAAAAAGATGAGACACTAGATGCAGACCGTGTAAAACAGAAAATTCTGATGCAACCTAACTGTGGTGTCGCTCCTGCAAGACCGTAATACCCCTCTATTAAAAATTCTCCCTACTTAGAACAGAAATTCCACTAACATGCGCCACCACAATCTTCTGTCCCTTCAATATTGTTTTCTTTACTTGACTTCAAGGTTCAGTCCTTGACTTTGTCATGAAGCCTTTTTAAGACGCATACAATTAAAGCCATTTTCATTTAAACTGCATGAACATCAATAATTTAAAGAAAGATCTGGTTATTTGCTCTGATGTTTAAATTATTGAGTAATATCCATCAAAGTTAATCAGGAGTCCTTATTTAGCATGTTTTATTGGGTTCATGGATGACAAATGTCCTGGGGCTTTTTGTAATTTGTGTATTTATAGTGGGAGACACATAATATATTTTCTGATTATGAAATGGTGGACATTTTTCCCCCTCAGATTTGTCTGGAACAACTGCTTATCCTCCTCTAAATCTGACTAATCAGATTCAGAGATAAAGGTATATTTAGATCCCCACCTCCCTTTTACACAGGAGCTATAGGATACTCTATTCCTATAGGAATAAAGAGTTTTCAATATTAAATTAGTATTTTGGTCCATCAAAAACAGCATTCTACAAGCAAAACTATTTAATCCCTAATGTTTCAGAGCAATACACACAAGTAACTTTATTTACATGCATAAAGGGTTGCAGGATCCCACATATTGCACTTAAACAATATTGCATATTTTGGACAGCAGGAGAAGAGACAATATCCTTCATGCTAAATTGTTTTAATCTACGTTTCAAATCTGATTTTTCCTCAATGATATATTAACTCCCAATAGTGCAAAGATGTTGATCAATTACTCTTTTGTAATTTTGTGATTTACTCTTTGCTCTCACATTAGTTTAAGCTTCAGAATGACAAAGATTTTTTTCCCATGGCACATTAAGTAAAAACCTACATGAACGATTACTAATTTGTTTTTGAGTAGCAGCCGTGTTAGTCTGTATTCGCAAAAAGAAAAGGAGTACTTGTGGCACCTTAGAGACTAACAAATTTGAGCATCCGATGAAGTGAGCTGTAGCTCACAGAAGCTTATGCTCAAATAAATTTGTTAGTCTCTAAAGTGCCACAAGTACTCCTTTTCTAATTTGTTTTTGCACCTTTTTCCATTTGTTAGCAATAAATTATTTATGTGTAGGTTAAATACCCTGTGGTTTGTTAATGTGTAATTTTACATATTATCTTTAGGACTGTATTTCATTATATATCACTTGCTTTAGTGATAAAAAAAGAGTAATAATAAAAAGGTATGAATCAGAAAAAATATCCAAGGGGGTGGGTGGGTGGGGGTGGTTTTGAGTATGCCAATGTTTGTCTTTTTCTGATTCATACCTAAACTAGTGGGGAAAGTGACAAGAGAAATTTGGGTCACTTTTCAAAGATTTCTTGAAGTTTGTGTTGGAAACTGACTATTTACAGATAGGATTGTACTAAAACAACAAAGATCATAGGGAAAGGAGGCCTCTTCTCCTTGCTTATTGATAACTTCCCTTGAAAGCTTTTCAGAACAATCCGATGTAAAATATCTCTGAATCAGATTATATTACTGCATAATGTTTCTCCAAACAAAAAAGCAAGCTCACTAGTGTAAATGATCATGTTGTATCTTACATGGAAATGATTAATAACCTGTTAAAACTTCAATAATTATAAAAAAATCTCTGAAACTAACAGTTTACAGTCATACACACCTCTCTCTCACACACACACTAGCATTGCTTGATGCATGAAGGCTTTTCAAGGAGTATGTTTGTCATTAGTGTTATCAGTCACTAATGGTATAGTTCACTGAAAGCAAGACTATCTAGTGATTTATGTCCTATCAGTCTCTGCTGTAATATAACGGTAAATTCAGGGTGATGAAAACTCAGAAAAAGATACAAGTAGCAGAACACCAGACAAAAAGTCTAAAATATATCCCAAACACACACAGTCTATAAAATATGTAAATAACTTTTAGCGACTTTCTAAGGGTATGTCTTCGTTGGCAGAGTTACAGCGCAGCCCAGAGAGCACTGAAGGGAAACCATAAGCTCACCATGAATACCACACAGCTAGGCAAGTCTTGTCTTTGGCTTTAAATATAAAATATATATATATTGTTCATATTGCATTGTTCTCCCACATTTTGTAATTAATCATTCAGAACAAGCAGCAATTTAAAGAATGCAGGATTGGACCCTTAAGCAACCAGAATCCTCTCTGAAGTTTATAGGAGCTAAGTGCAAAAGGAATGCAGGACTGTGGAAGCAGTGTCATATCAAATTGGTGAAGCTATAATGTTGCTGCTTCTTAAATTTCAGCTCTGATTTCAAAATAATTTGGATGTGCTTGGCCCTGTATTATTTCAAGTCTGCTTTCCCCTGAATTTATCTCATGCATTTAATCCAGAAAAAATGCAAATATTTAAAGATTAAAAAGTTTATTTTGCAGTATATTTAATGAAAGGGGCAAGACTGGTGAAAATGAACTAAAGCACAAAAAATAAATACACTTCATATTATAATAATGACGACATTACATTCCACAAAAATAAAGTGAATTGAAAATTAAATATGTATAAATAAATAAAAAATATATCAAATTACAAAAAAATTCTGGCACTTGTCAAGAAGGCCTTATGAAAGTTAAAAAATTTTTGCAATGATATTTTAGTACACAAACTTTGAAACAGTCTTAAAGTAAAAAAGGTTTAGTTAAGAAACCTCAACAAAAGTTGAACATTCATTTTTAAAATAAATATTTAGACTAAGCCTACTTTTACGTATTGCCTCAAATGCCAGTTAAGTACAGAAAACATCTACAATCAATTTTTAGCACTAACATACAGCAGCAAGTAAGCCAGTCTAAAGTTGCCAACTGCAAGGTAGTCTAGAATTCTTAATAAAATAGGATGCATTTCACTTGTCATTCTTTGTTACCCTTGAAATGTTTTCCTCTAAAAGACTGATAACAGTAGAGTAATGCAAAAATTAAGAACAAAAATAACGTTTTGAAAATTACTAGGAATCCAAGAAGTTCAGATTATCATAATAAGTCTTTGTATTATGATGGGAAACTAAAGAACAATAACCTTTAAACAGATAGGTGTAGGTCTTCAGCTGGTGTAAATTAACACCAGCTGAGGATCTGCCTCAGAGCCTTCAAATAAGAGCACAGTACACAACCACTGAGTAGTCTGTTAATCCTCTAAATATTTCTTTGTATTAGTATTGCCTCTTTTTCAAGTATATGTCTGGCTCAGTTTAAAATACTGCATGATAAGTAACATTTGCTTATAATAATGCAACAAAAGGTACAGGATAAGGTACTGATTTGTAGATGGAAACCATAACTTGTAGGTTTAAGTCCATCCTCAAAAAAGTTCTATTAATTCATAAATGCATTTTTGTATTAAGGCATTTTTCCTTCCACCTATTTAATTTTTATATTGAGATATTTAATGAATATTGACAATATTTTGGGTCAAGTCTGCTGTTATACCAATGCCAACCTGGATTAACTGCACTGAAGTTAAGAGTTACAGCAAATTTATACTAGTGAATCAGTAGAACTTGACATTTTTATTAATTATGTACCCTTTATTTTGTTTAAGCAGTCCTCCTCTCTACCACCCTTAAAGATGTGAGGATACATAAGTATGCTATTGACTGAATAATACCTGCCTTTAAGGATGGATATACACAGGGGAAAGATTTTCACTATTTTATTTGAAAACCAAGGAAAGTTTCAAAGAAGCTCATTATCAAGATTAAAATTACTAAGCAGCCTCTCTTTAAAGAAGCATGTTCATAATGGCTGAAATAGCCAAAAAGACAGGGGCAAACAGGAGCATGTATTTTGGAGGTTAAGTCTTGCAAAGTTTTAGGGACTCAGAACATGGAAGCATGGCTTCAGTGCTTGGATCTATTACTAATGACAGATTATTTTTTATTTAAAAAAAAAAACTGTTCCAAGTTACTTGTTTAGACAATAAAGTAGATCTAGGAATGTCAAAAATAAAACAGTAAGACACATAATGGTATGAAACAGTCATCTGTATGACTGCTGAGGACATTAAAGTCTGAAGCGGCAAACAAAGTCTTTCCTTCTGGAACTCTTGTACACAGTGTCATAGAATTGCTACATCTTAATTATATTTCATCTTGATCAAAATATAGTTTGGAATTAGAAAATGCAGTAAACAGTATGGAGGAAAAATTGCCTGGAATGTTTCATCATAGTGGCCTAAATTCACCACCCGTGTGAACAGGGGCGACTTCATTCATGTACATGGAATTGCACATTTATGCCAGCAATTAATTCAGGTCCATGTCTGAAACACAGTCAACAGAAATGAGTTTAACAATATCAGTCATTAGTATTTAAATTGACAGGTTAACACATTCATATGTGATGATACACTCAGCGATGCTGCTCTCAAACAAATACACAGAGGAAAAACACACAGTATTTTTACAGTTGAATAAGTTATCTTTTCTTTGTGTAACTTCTCTAACTTTAGGGTAAAAGGCTAAAATAAGTACACATATAGGAAATCAGTTATGCAGACTACCGTGTCTGAACTGCAATTGTAAATATATTTCCGAGAGTACAAAAAAGTGCATGACAGATACAAGAATAAGTCAGAGAGATGGCAAAAAGATACAAACAAACATAATGTTGCACTATATTCTTCTCTATAGCAAAGCTTTTTGAATGTGGACATATGTATGCAGTAATCTGAAAACCTAACAGGTTTGTACCATGCAATTTTCATGAGTATAAGAAATGAACTTATTTGTAGCCTTCTCCATTACTTTAACATCATTCCATAAAAATCTACTGTATGTCCTTAAAATATGCAAAATGTTATGTTAAGTGTGTACGTTTGTCAATTCAAAGCATACATATAGGAGATGCAAGATCTGAACCAATGGTGAAGAGACTATTGCATTAAAATAGCCTTTTTTTTTTCATCCGAGTGAGTGCTGTCGTCTTAAATTGTCACAACATTTGGCTTCTTTCTTTGGATTCTTCCTGCATATACTCCTTAAAATAAAGCAGAAACAAAAAGTTAACATTCTGTGATTGTAACTGTTCTTTTTATAAAAAAATTGTCCAATAAACACTGAAAAATGTAAGGACAGGAATACACAAACTTGTTCAAATATGCTTTTAAATAGATGTATTTTAAAATTAATATTTTTCATAATTCTATATCTCAAATACCTTAAAATGAATAAAACAGGTTATTCGAGTTGTAAAAAGGCTTGTAAATAACTATACATTATAGCATTTTCTTCCTCAGTAAGTGTTCCCCTTGCTTTCCTGCTACTCCAAAACACCTATAACTGCAATATATAAATTTTAAAAAGATTAGAAAACTTGAAACGATGGCAGTTTCTATATTGTACTATAAAACTTGATTACATAAAATTAGCTAAGCATTTTAAGCTACTATGGATCATTTAACTCTTCTAAACTGCCTAACTCTTCACTATTATACAATGAATATCTACCGTCATTTTACTATATTACATCCCTATAAGACAAATATAAAAAACTCAGTCTTTCTCACCACCCTAACTCCCACCCTCAAAGGCAGAAGTATCTTAAGAACCACCCAAGAAAGACAGACTGAGCAAGAACAATGCAAAGCATAAATACACAACCTAAATACATTAGCATCTTACATTTTAATTGTAGTATTTCAGTAAGTTATTTATTGGCCTGATCTCCCCCACCCCCAAATATCCATGCACAGAGGAAACTCTCTGCATGTAAAAGGGAATGGGGGTTCAGCCCCTCCACAGCATCCCTTTCACCCCACCCTATGGAGTCCACACAGGGTGAGGAGCGAAGCCTGAGCAGGTCAGAAGGAAGCAGTTGGTAGATCAGGAGCAAGGTGCACATTCGTCTCCTAATGGCTCTATTTTAGTTTCCACAAATCAACTCTCCCTTCTACCCCACTTTCACCAAGGCAGCTGCAGACGAGTGGTCATCCTGGTAGCATAGCTCCAATGGATATGAGGGAGGGGATGGAAAAATAGAGCACCTTCATGAAGATAGCCTTGGCTTCCTGCAACATCATCCAGTTTATTTCAAGGGGGTGAGGAGGCAAACCCTTCTCTCACCACCACCAAACAAACAAAAGAAGGAACTCTGAAGAGATCCTCTTGGAGATTTCCTCCCCAAAGCTCCTCTAACAGATTTTACTATAGGAACAGGTGAGGTGGACATACACTAAGAGGGTATGTTTTCCCTTTAGCGCTAATGTATATAGAAAAACTACCTAAGGAGTTACATCAATGTCAAGAAGGAGGCTATAGACTTAAATAGACTAGAACAAAGACAGGGAAAATATACAAGTCAGAGAATACTCAAATCCTAACAAAGTTGAACTGTCTTTTCAGGAGATAACTTATTAGAGGTCTCTGAGTTGAAATTCATAACCAGAATTTAAGTACTGTATATATTATAAGTATATATAAGCCATCAAACAGAGTTCTTCTTATACTAAGGATCTGAGTCACATTTTGGCTTATGCCTCTCCAAAGGGAGATATCTCAATTCTGTGAATCTGGAAGAATTCTATCATGCTGGGAACAAGCATGTTTCAAGATTAACGGCTCAGTTGTTGCAGGCTACTGGGCAAAGGGCTAGACCACATTTTCCAGACACCTGTGTAGTGAAATATGCACAGTGCTCAGCAGTGAGATGAAAGGGTGGGAAGGGGAGTGGAGAAAGGCCAGGTCTTAGGTACTTGCATGCAATCCAACAGGATGATGGGAGTAGATGCTATTTTTAGGATGTTCTGTTACTCCTACTGGCAGCCAGGAAAAGTGGGTAAATATAGGCGCTTAAGAGCTGCACTTAGAAGAAACACAGCAAGGCAGCTTCGGAAATTCTAAAGGTCTTACCACATCAGTATCCCTCACAGCTCATCATAAAAATGTTCTTGCCGACCCAGCAACGTGCAATGCCTGCACCCCTCAGCTTACCCATGGTCCAATAAGATGAAGTAACAGGGCTGATGAACATGGTGCCTTATCAGTGCCACAACACTACTCTCTCAACCCTCATGTGCACACTACATGGATCAAAGCCTACCTACAGGAAATAAACTGACAGTTTTGAATATATTCACCAATGATCTGGATTTTACCTTTAAAAAACAAAAAGCAGTCTTATTTCCCATTAAAATCAATTTACAAAACAATTAAGAATAGCCATGAGTGTATGTGAGAGAGAAACAGAGTATATAGAAAGATTATTTTACCTATCCTTATGGAAAAGTCTTATAGAATTCAGTAGGAATGAAACCAATAGGGCTATATAGAAATTTAGTACGAGTCCACAGAATTTATTACAAATTCATCTTTTTATAGTTTAACCCTGTATAGAATTCAAGGGATATATACAAGTGATACAATTCTATATTAATGTCTGTGTATGTGGTAGTTGGAGAACTGCAAAAACTAAACTACAAAAAGTTTCTCCTTTTCTAGTAATTTCTATAGGACATTTCCTTAAGGTTTTGGCTTTTAGTCTATACTCCCAACCTACATAGTTGATGGAAAAAGTAAAAGCTATTTATTGTTTCTCTGCTGTCAAGTGTACCAGCTATGTTCAGCAGAAGTGCAAGTCTAGATTTCAAAACATGCCCAGTATGTTTAGATGTTCCAGTTTAAAAAAAAACAAAACAAAAAAACCTCCTCTCTTAACTAAGATAGAAGTGGGCACGTAGATCCAGAATTAGAGGAGTTAAACTCACTAGCAAAAGGCATAGACACTTAATTTGAAATTCACCTTTGTTCCAAAGCTCAATATTAAAGGCAAAAGAAGAACACAAAAACAGAAGTGTTCAATTAGTGGTCCTAAATGAAAAATTATTTTGTGTACTAGAGGGGAGAAGATATTCAATCAATGGTTGTAATTGAGAGAGGAAGACCAAGCTTTGGAGATGAAATTTCAAATGACAGTCAGAGAAAAAAAAAAAAAGAGGAAGAAAGAGTAGATGGGTTGGTACATGAGCATTTCACTTCTAGTGATAGGCATTCAAGTTCTGATTGGCTCAGAAGTAAGATTAAGTATGATTGCCACATTCTAAACCCAACAAACCCACCATGTCATTTTCAGTCTATGCTTAAGGAATGTCAAAAACTAAAACAGCAGAGGTGTTGTAGGTCAGTACTGACATGCACTAGCAGAGTTATGGAAAGAAATATGCCTACACCAAGCCAGTGCTGAGTCTTCATTTTCAGGAGCACACTCACAAATGTAAGATAAAATAAAAGAACATACATGAATTTGTTTAGCTTTCAGTTGTTTTTTTTTAAGATTGTAGTTATTTGGGCATGACCACTCCCTGGAAACAATTTGTTGCCTCGCCCACATTAAACAGTTTACAGTGCATCTTTTGAAAACAGTTTGGAATATTCCAAACTCAAGGTGGGTTTTTTTATAATTGAATAATTCATTATTCTGTAAATAATTTGGTAATCTATTCAATTTAGTTTGAACATGTACATAATGCAAGTTTTATTTACATGTATGAATTCAAGTTTAAGCTTTTTTAATACTGCACAAATATTCAGATTATCTCTTTTACACTTGTTAGGGCTTCTTCCAGATAATGATCTCACAGTGCACTGCTGTTAAGTTAGTACAGATGGATATTGCCTGATTTATTATTTGTATTTGGAAGAACATGGAGGTGCTGATACTACAAATGTCATGGAAACATTGATGCTCAAACACTCTAGATGAAATAAGGAGATTAGTTATGTAGCATAACTAAGCCACACCTCCATACAGCCAGTTAGAAACAACTGTCAGAAGTTCAAAATAGCTATTATGAGACATTCAGTAATTTTACAGCAATTCATCAAAGGGCCATGAAGGCAGGCCAGACAAAATTTGGAGCCATTATCATAAATGGGATTATTTTCACTGCTGAGTATCAAAATGTCACGATATCCAAGTTACGATTAGCTAAAGCAAGCAGGCCAGAATACATTGACTCCTCAGAGCGTGGTTTCTGTAATTTTAATTGAGTGACCTTACAGGTTTGAACAATTCCTGCCTACCTTGGCCTGTGTTTTTGTCAGCTCTCATTAGCTAAATAGTATCTGAGCAGTGGGTGGGGAGTTTGAATTTTTCCCCTATATACAACAAGAAGATTGGATAGAAAAATCATACAGAGTACTATGGCTCACTTGTTGCATCCCAAAAAATTATGGTTCTCCTTCCTTAATAGGATCCCAGATGATCCTAATTTTTCATTGGTACCCAACCATTCAAATGCATTAATTTTAGAAGTGAGTTACATGAATTAAGTTCTTAAATCATATTTCTGTAATAGATGACAAAGACCAACTGAGTAAAAAGATTTTACTTAGTTTTAATCAATCACAACTGTTTACATTCAAGTTTTAAAGTGGAAAAGTATCAGAAAATGTTTGCTTCACTAATGTTTTGTTAAGGCATGGAATGGACAAAACCACATCTATGAATAGCTAGGCATTCCATCCAAAGCCCTTTCTATTAATAGATAAACAAACTACTAAACTCCATATCTGGAACTTGGACTACCCCTCATCTAAAACTGTCATGCACAGCGTTGGGTATATCAGAGGAAAAAGGGTCATAAATCTTCTTTGTTAATATCTAATGTACAGCATAGCATCCTACAAGATGTTTTAAAGTAGGAAATTCATATAATATTCCTAATGGTAAATTTTCTGAAAATCCATGTCATGACCTCTGAGTTTTAGTTTCTGAGGACAAGTCTTACATATATTAAGAAATAGGAATAAATGGCACAAAAATATAAATATCTAGGTCAGAGTCTAGATCAATCTACTCTAGTTCTGCAGGTCTCTTATGATTAGTGCGTTTTTACATATGCTACTAAACATTGCGTATTTTTGGCAATCAGGCATTTGGTGAGAGAAGGAATTTAAGCAGTAATCTTAAACTGTACATGTCTTTTATAGAATTTGAAAATGTACTTTTAAGTTACTCACATTTTTTGTTTTTATAAACATATATAGGAAGATGGTTGATTTAGTCAAAAGTGCATTATAGCAAAGCTACTGCAGCAAGGAAAACACGATATCCCATTTAAATTTTCTTGATACTAGTAACTCACTCATATCTTCGTTTTAAAAAGAGATCCAAGAACCCATTTTCTACACACCTGAAGTTGCCTTGTTAGGCACTCTGCTCTCTGAGGACTTCTTTCTATTTTGCTCAACCCCCTTCATTGAGGTCTTAGGGGTTCTAATTAAATATAAAAGAGTTAATAAGTCACTTGCATTAAAATCCAAAGATTGTATCCAATAAAGAAACACACTATCAAACTGTTCTTGGTATGAAAACAACTGTAAGTGATACAGTAGAGTCTCTTCCAGAACTTGCACATGTGAAACTCCTATTAACATTACTAGGAGTTATGCATATACATTTATAGGAGAAACTCTCCATGCACACTTTTTTTCTTACTACTCTATTCAAGAAACTGATCTAATGAGTACATGTTGCATTATTTAGGAGGTATATGTTTCTTATAAAATTATATTTCATTTTCAGTGAGTGGAAGCAAAACTTAATGGAATGAATGTTACAAATACAGATGTCAGAACACAGTGTAAATGAAAAACAGAGTATGAGACCACTGCACTTTTTCCCTTACAGTATAAGAAAAACAAAAGCTAGGAAATTTAAGAACTGTCTCACCATGAATTGTAAGTTAGCCATTTTGCATTTGAACAATATTTGCATTGTGCATGTAGATCTTACTTGGAAATTATTTGACTCAGATAGTGTATTTGCTTTCAACCTTTAAGTTGTGCATTAAAACACATACTGTACTCTTACCCTTGCCTGCAAAGAAGCCTATGAACTGGAGTATTTTGTCCTTGATTTGGCTGAAGTACTCTGTTAAAAACAAAATCTGTATTAGTTTTGTTTATTTTGTTTTTAAACAAGTTTTATTTTTATATATTGCCTTCCACATTCCAAGTATCCCAAAGAAGCCAGCATAGTGTTTGGTTACATGTTGCTAATGCAGAGAGCATCCAGTTATGCATGTCAACCATTAAAACTCAAGAAAAGCACTGAAATAGCCTTCAGAGACAGAAAGAAGGAATCTATTTTACAGGTGTCTATACTAAAGGACTGAACTGTTTCAATTTAGAAACATAGCTGCTACGCATTTCTAGCGCCAACTGTTATTGCAACAGTTGTGTGTGCATACACTTATTTCCCTGGTATAGTGAACCCACACACAGCACCACCTCCAACATTTGCTGTGGCTCCGAGTTGTGGTACTTATCACAAGACTTCCGATAAGAAACCTGGAGCAGGTTCATACAAGTAATAAATATTTTCACTGATTACTATGATGCTGCCCTCCTGCCCCTCCACCAGTGGTTTATTTGAATTATTTGCTTCTGCTTGTAGATCAACACTCACACATTGTGGGGGCAGAACTACACACGTGCCATGGCAGAGGCCATAACTTGCCCCTGCACCTGCTGCTCAACAGAGTTGCCTGGGGTTCACAATAAATAGCATCACCAACTTCATACGTTGGTCCTTGGGAAGACAGATCTTGCTTTTATTATTTTTGTAATTTTTTACATTAAATTTTGTATATAACTATGTTTGTTTGGGAATGACATGACCAGTGGCTCTTAGTTGTCGTCATGGGATTGTCCTGTGAGGCCCAACTGAAAGAGTGCAGCTGCAGTGCTTCAGGTTTCCGATCAAACTCGCACTGACACGGTTTGAAATTAAGTGGGCAAAGCTATTTTTAAGATTTGCTCAAAGATGATGGTATCATACCAGTAGAGGGCATATCTGTGAAACACTGCATGCTATTTTACAAGCATTCTGAGCATCTGAACTGGTATTAGCCAATATTCTCTAGTGTAGACAGACGTTATCTGGAAGGCAGCACCTTTAACAGTTCAGTACTAGTTTATTAATACAGAGTATAAAATAGGCCAGGTATGAGACATGAACCTGTCTCTTTACAATCTAGAGGCGAGAATGCTACTGAAGCTTGAGGATCTTCTTAAATAACCCCCATTTTGACAAGTTTCTACAGCTCGCTACATGAAGGTTCATGTCTGGGGAAGTGAAAAGAACAATATCATACTGTTTCAAAAACAGCGTCAAGCATTTGCTTAAAGATGCTACCACTGTACCTAACACTTGAGAAACTTGGGAACAGGATGCACTGAATGAAATAAACAAACAGACACGAAGGGTCATGTTTGAGGATATTAATCTTGAAAAACTAAAGCTGGAAAAGTACTATTTATTAACTGTAGGCAAGTTCATATAATAGTTTGCCCCGGGGTAATGAAGAGTGCACAGGGCTAATGACAATAGGTGACTAGTTGATGGCAAGCAAACAGTCAATAGACCTAGCATTGTAAAACAGTTAACATTTTAGTGTAAATTACAAACAAGTCATTTTCACTGACCTTGCTTCAGGAGTATTTTGTTTTGGGATTAATTTTTTATTTGGCATTCCCATTTCTGAAGCCCTAATGAAACAAAAAAAAGTCTAAGTATCCAAATACATTTTTTTAAACATTTCTTAAGAAAAAATTATAAAAATTTTCAGACAAGAAGCTAGAAAAATAAAAGGAAGCCACCTAAGTAATACTGCCACTATTTTGGCAAAATTATGTACAGTACAAACTACACTTTCCAACTGCAACACAAACAGAAGCAATTGTCTCCATTACGCCATAAGGCACTCCTACCAACATGCATGCATTTGTTATCATACACAGCTAATTTTGGAGAAAGCCATGAAAATAATTTAAAAATACAGCACTCACACTTTGCAAACCAACTACAGACTAGTCACACAGGAGTCACTTCACTCATCACTGAAACAGCATCTTAACAGCACACAGCGACATTACACATAGCTCAGGACAGAGTGAAGATTATATCAGATCAACTGAGAACTAGAGGAAATTTTTGTAGGCAGGATGCAGCTACCTATATTGAATTTTGTCACGGGAGTGGGGCAACCACTAATCTTTTCAAAAATAGTTATGGATTTTATTGGCTACAAGCAGGCAAATTTTACCTTATCCAAAGGATGGCATCTCACATGGAAGAGAGTCCCCTATAACCATGGTGTGGCATTGGGTCATTACTGCTAACAGCAGGAATGTCACCTACTTATGTCACCAGCACCATTAACTGCAGTAATGTGATTCACTTGAGTTGTTACAGCCAAATACAGAGGGTATTTGGACAATGATAAACGTAAACCATGATTCTGGAGATCAGACTTCAGAGTGAATTAGAGAACAGTCAGTAGGTACAGAGAACAAGATGAGGAGTGTTTATGTTGTTTTCAGCATGGGAACAAATATATATTGTCTATATAAAAAAATGCCATTATAAAGAAATAGAATTCTATACCCTTATGTAAAAGGGAATCATACATATAAAAAAGTCTTTCTAGCAAATATGAGACTTCCAAAATCTGTAAGAAACTATTTTGCTAAAAGATTCAGCTGTATTCAAAGTAAAACTCCCTTCGTTCCAATTCTCTCTAGTAAAAATATTAAATACATACATACTTCATGTACTTCTTCCTATCCAGAGACTTCTGCGTAGCTGTCGAAAGTGTCACTCTCTCTCGTGGAGTCTTTATTTTAGCCTACAGAAACACAGTAGTGGATACTAATATTTGTTACTACTTTTATTACAGTTGCCCCATCTGACCCACCTTAATGAAAAGATTGGCACTTTTCATTATAAAATCCGCTTTAAAAGATTTAATGCAGCTCTTTTTAGTTTACTTGGTGATGTAGCTTTTAACATTCCAAACTTTAATTTAAAATAACAAAACCAATAAAAAAAGTTTTATGTGTACCTTTTCTCTTGATATCAAATTAATTCCATCATCTCTCTCTCTCTCTCACACACAGACACACACACTTTGGAAGCATTCAGGCACCAAGTCCCTACTGTAGACTGGAGTCTTTCTGAACAAGTTTAACTACTGGAGCACCACAGCTAAAGCCACAGAATTATCAGGAAGATTGTTTTGAAAAGCTAAGGTTTATATTTCTTACTGGGTCAGGGGAAAAAAAAAAATCTGTATCTTATTCCAATCACTAACAACAGATATTTAACTTGTGACAAAAGTATAAATGTTCCTAGTTTTAAGTGTTTCTTACTGGATAAAAACTTGGAACATACCATTTGCCTCAGCATTTTCTCTTTGCGAACTTCACGATCATGACGCAGGATATGCATTCTTTCAGATACTTCCATTATAAAGAATATATCATGGATGTCATACAGCGCAGCTCGCAGCTGAAATAAGTCAAAGCTTCCATGAGGCTTTCTTGGAGAAACTAAATTTTAAAACCCTCTGTGTCGGTACAAAATGGCCATAGTTAAAATTATTTCAGATATTGACCTCTGAAATCTTCAGATATCTCTGTCAGAGATAAATAATTTCTCTCTTTTACAATGATGGAGTAATTATAAAAGAAAAGCTTAGAATATACATTACTTGAGCCATCACTCTTTCTTGTAGGGATGCATCTTGCACCGAAACAGTTCCTCTCTTTAAGGGAGCTTCAGACTGAAAAATTTTTATGAACTCCATAGTATCCTAAAAAATAAAAAGAAAGATTAAGTGTAATACATAATCTTTCACACTGAGTGGAAGTAAATCTCAAACCATTTATACATCTGCTTCCTTAATCTCAAAAGTTCAGAGGAAAAGGATAGTGTTGGCAGAGAGTGGTGGGTAGCTAAACAGACATGGATTTAACCGTAATCCTCTAAAAGAAAAATGGGGCACTTAGACGATCTCCTCCTTGGCCTTACTCCTGTAACAAAGCAGAAGTAACTTAGCATTCTCACTATTGCAAGATTGGGTTCCCCTATACACCGTATCCTATTCAACATCTTTTACTTTGTATCTACACACAAACACCATTCTCCACAATTGTGCTGTACGGGAGCAACTAATACTAAATCTACACCTTAGACCTAAGAAATATTCAAATTCATGGAGATGGCATTCCACTTCACCAGCTTTTCCTACTGCTGTTTTTCTGAGCAACAGCAGTGACAGGGGTAAATCACTCATCTCTCTTTTCCCTTCTCACTCCCTTGTCCTTAGCTTCCTCTCCTCATATGAAATTAATCAGGGACAGATAGACATTAAAAGAATACCTTTGATGACCCTAATTTTAGCATTTAACTATTCGAATATTTAGGAAGCTGCAAAATCACAGCATAAGTTTGACACAGGAAACCTCCGTACTAACTCAGGATCCAGGAAACATATAGTTAGATTTTAAAAAGTTTTAAAACAGCAGATATGAAAGTTGGAATAAGGTATATTCTGCCATGCAAGGTTCATTTCAACTAAAAGTTTGCACACTAGATATATTAAGAATATATCTAAGAAACAATTATCCAACTTCAGTCTGTATTAGAATGGTTTATAGGTCACTTCAAAAAAAGCACAAGAAAAGGTACTATTGAGACACTATAAAAAAGTGGTATGCACACAGCATGCAATAATTAACAACTATGTTTTGGGTAGTTAATTCATTCTCTAAAAACGATAGAGCTATACTACTTATGAAGTAAACTTCACTAGTTAATCCTGAAAGTAAAATGAATTTTGTGCTCTGGCAAAAAGTCTAGATCTAATTTGTCACCTGAAAGGAAGTAGAAGAAACCAACAGGAGGGGGGTGGGGGGAAATGCATAAAGCAAGCATCTTTACAGTTATCTCCTTACTTTTACGGTTTGCCTAAGATATTTCAATTTTTCTGTTTGCATGAGCCTACGAGTCAGAAATCCCTTTGCCAAGGCAGTGATCTTACTGAACTTCATTTGCATCTCTGGACTGAAGGCCTTTTAAGAGATAAAAAGAGATTAAAATTAAGAGATTTTCTTTGCTTTAATATCAACTCCAATAAAAGTTCTGAATTTTAATTTCTCAAAATAAATTAAATTAAATTGATTGCAACTTGTTTAACAAAACTGTCTGTGCACCTATCTTGTATTAACAGCCAGGTATTAAATTTTGCCAAATACACTTTGGCTAGCCAGAACTCCCCAGTATTAATTTGGTTAACAGAATAAAGATGTGGTTACATGATTAGTTTGCCTGTACTGTAATGAGAAAAATATTGTTCTGTTCTCTTCTTTTGTCTGCTAGTACAAATCCATCTAAAAACTGTGGATCAACTAGTAGTTTTGCATTGGAAGTTATTAATGCATACCTGCAGTAGCAGTTGTTCTGAAAGAATTACATGGTTAAGCAAATAAAAATTAAGTAGGTAAGTAAGTAAATAAATAAAAGGGAGAAAAGTTTAAATCAATTTAATTTTCACACCTGAGACCACCTGGTTTTGGCCCTAATAAGCCTGGATGCTGATATTTTTGACATTCCACTACCAGATGGTCCCCAGAGGTAGAATGGAGCTTCATTTGTTGAACCAAAACTACTGGGTATGGTAGTGTTGGCAAAACCTATATGAAAAGAGAATGGATGATTAAACAAATGAGTACTAAACAGGAAGGCTGTGCACACAAACTACTATTCAAATACTTACATGTCATACACCAGTTACACACACACAGTTTTATGACATCTGCAATTTTTTTTTTTAAAATGTACAGAGATATTCTATGAAACCAAATAAACAACAGGAGTACTTGTGGCACCTTAGAGATAGCAGCTAACATTCTTTATTAAAACCAAATCTTTCTTGAATTTACTTTACATCGGGATATACACTGGACTAAAATTGCTGCCAGCATTTTCCCTTGTGTTGTATGCACCATATTCTTATGTCACGTATGCTTGTTCAAAATGCAGAAATATCCTAATCAAAGTGGGAAAGGGTCCACCACTATGCTAGTGTGTGAAAAAGTCCCCAATAGATGGCATGTCAGATAGTAAAATGATACTGTACCAGATCTTATCCAAAAGGCATATGACCAAGGAAGATATTTTCAGAATTTTATTACAGTAGTAGTTTCTGATCCTGCAAAGTGGACACAAGCCTGCTAAGACCACTAATACATTTTACAAAGACTGCTAAACAGCTGTAAGGTGCTAACTTTCAGTACTTCCTGCCTAGACTGGATTCCAACCAGTGAAGAAGCGGAGATGCTGCCATCATCAATACCATGAACAAGCCAGTACATTTTGTATATTCCGCTTTAAAGTGCCCAGTAAGCTTTTAATAATTATTTGCCCCCTACTTTTACCAGTGCTATTCGAGTTTGTGTTATGGATTGTCTCCACTTGAGTCAGCATTGTTTCCAGCAAGCCACTTTCGCTTATTTTTCTCCATTCCAGTTCCATCCCACTGCTAATGGTCATTTTGGGTATTTCTATGTCTGCTGTAGCACTCTTCTTTCCTTTTAACCTTCTCTCCTGCTCTTCTATCTCCTGCAGATTAAAAGTCTGAAATAAACCAGATCTTTGATTCTACGTAATGGAATTTAAATACATTTTGAGCAAGCAATTAATTGTATCTTGGCATAAGCTTCAATACAACATAGGCAGTTTAACTACTATCTAAAGCAGCAGTTTTCAACCTTTTTTCCCATTTGCGGACCCCTAAACATTTTTGAATGGAGGTGCAGACCATTTTGGAAATCTTAGGTATAGGCTGTGGACCCCCATGTGTCCACAGACCACAGGTTGAAAAATCACTGATCTAGGGTTGTGAGTTCAATCCTTGAGGGGGCCATTTAGGGATCTGGGGCAAAAACTTGTGGATTGGTCCTGCTTTAAGCAGGGGGTTGGACTAGATGACCTCCTGAGGTCCCTTCCAACCCTGATATTCTATGATTCTAAAGGCATCTTAATTTCCATTAATCTCTATGTAACAAACAGTATATCGTATATACTCGTTCATAGGCCGCATATTTTTGGTAAAAAAGTGACGCATCAAAGAGCGGGGGTCGGCTTATAAACGGGTCTACACCAAAATCTGATGATTTAAAACTCTATCAAATCACTGAATTGAATATCTAATACACTGTCGTTTTATTTACCTGGAGTGTCTGCAGGGATGGAGCCCCTCTGTTCCCTGTGGCAGTGGTTCGCCGTTCCCATTGGCTGGGAACGGCAAACCACGGCCACAGGGAGCTGAGGGGCTCCATGCCTGTGAACGCTCCAGGTAAACAAAACGTCCCAACCCGCCAGCAGCTTACCCTGATGAGCCGGGAGCCAAAGTTTACCAACCCCTGAAATATAGGGTCGGCTTATGAAAGGGTCATACAGTTTTTACTATTTTTACCTATCCATCTTGGGGGTCAGCTTATAAACTAACAGGCTAATGAATGAGTACATAGAACGAGTATATACGGTAATTGCACTTAAAACAGATGTGCTGAATAAATATACTGTAAGAAACCCAGGAGAGCTCAGCCTTTCCCAAATAATATACACACCTGGCTTCCTATCCCTTTTGGCTATTTTAATAGATCACGAAGATGTTATGTAAGTCAATATGTGACTGTGCAGTAATTGTCTAGCTTTTCCAGGATGTCTAAGTCCCCATTGCATCTCTTGCCTTTTGCAGTTTGATACAAAAGCATACATCTATTATACATCTCTCTCCTGCGAATACCCTTTCATCTCTATACTAAATCAGAGAATAGTCCTAAGCCTCCTGTTTTTGTCGCATGAGTTTTCTCAGTGCTCTAAATGCTGCTAGCTAGACCAAAATGGAAGCTCAGAGAAGGTTTCACACAATCATATTTTTCAAAGAGCTTCCACAAATTCAGACAGATTTATTACAAATATCCATCTTGAGTATGACATTCAGAGAAAGATTATATTGTTTCAGCTCCTTATACTGAAATAGCAAGTTGAGCAGTTAACCCTAAAACACCTCATGTTAGCATTTTCCTATCTTGTTCCCCCACCTTCTGTAATTTCTCCTGTTCTCTCTCTTGTTCAGCTATCAGTACGGATAGTTGTTGTGCATGATGCTCTTCAAGTCTCTTCCTCATTTCTTCAAAAGCCAACAGTTTATTTTTCAAAATCTCTTCTTCTGAAAAGAAAAAAAATACACGCATCATAAAGCGTTAATCATATATTCTTACATTTTCTAAGTGTTCTGCAAGGTAGATAAACAAGCCTCCACATTTTCAATACATTTTTCCACTGGGTGTTATACAGCACTGTTGGTATAGCCACAAAAACATGAAGTAGAATATTTTTCTTTTATTTCATATTCATGTTTGTGAGATCAGCATATCTATGGATGGGATGGTATAAATGGCACTGACCAATCCCAGATTCAAGCGGTCACATGCAGAGACTAGCTCTGAAAAGAATATGACTACTTGCTTGAGTGAACAAAACATTTATTCCACTCAGTTTTGATAATTTCTTTACAGACTTCATTACAGAAAAATTAACAGACATATACATGACATTTTTATTCTTGAACTGGACCACCACCAATCCTGGTAATACTGAAGTTACTTGCAGCTAATATTTTAATGCATGTACGTTTCTATTTGCAGTGTGCATCTGTTTACTTACATTTTAAGAACTCAAAAAAACTGCTCTACCATAGCCCTGCTCACCATACTCATGCGCCCTACTGATCTTTCCCCGGCACACAAGAATTCCCTTAGAATTTCTTTCTGTTATTAAAAATTTCACAAGAGTCCCCGTACATGCACAGTGAGTCTGTGCTGCTAGAATCTCTCCAGTCTCTTTGGAGGTTTCAGATTAAAAATGGCTGAATATTTAAAACACACCCCACAAACCCATGCATGCTCTTGTAAAATTTTCTTTGGATTATTTTTCAGTTGAGCTTTCCTCCTTTCATGTTTATGTTCCACCAAGATATAGCAAGCGCCTTTATTGGCATGATTGTTTAATTTCTGTTCAGTGGCCTTTCATTTTTCTTTTTTTAAAATCTCTCTAATCTAATTATATACACAACAATTTTCAATAGAACAATATCAATAAACTTTATAATACAAAGAGGAAAGACTCTGGTTATGGCAGAAAATGGTGATTTTGAGCAAGCAGATCAGATAAAAAAATGTTTTATATAACAAGAAAATGAATACCTTTTCTGGTATATGCTATATGAAAATGTCTAAGCACATACTCCTATATCATTCATTATCAAGTAGGAGGTATAAGGCTTTTGCCTCTAACGAGGCAACTTTCATCTATGGAAGATCATTTTGGTCATTCTATAGCAACCTTCAGAAAAACTTGGTTTACTACAGGGCCTTACTCAACGTTTAGTGGAATAAAAATACAGAAATGTATCCTGTCATTTTATCATAAATGATGCACAAGTTAGGGGAATAATCAAAAAACTAAGGTGTAGATGAAAGACAGTGGCCTATTTTCTAAAAATGAAATTTCTAACTAAAGGTAACTTTCCAACTTGGAAAAAGGCTGACTACAGAAAATGTTATCTCACCATTAGTACTACTGCCCGAGGTTTCATTCTTGTTACAATAAACAGATCCTATGGGGCATCTTCGGTCTTGCAACCTCCACTTCTCTTGTTCTTCTGTTCCATCTGTTAAAACATATGGGTTGTTCTCTTTCTGTGAACTATCAATATCCAAATCAAGCCTACGTTTCACTTTTTCAAGACCATTTTCTACAAACTGTTCATTTCCAGAAGAAACATTTGGAGTATCCATCTGCTGATGCTTATTCTGGCTTTGTATCAGTAATGGAGATGGATTTTCTACATCATAAGATTTATTGAGTTCCACGGGTGAATTACTTTCGGTGTTTTCTAATAAACTATCTGGCTTGAGTCCATTCATAGTTACGAGCTTTTGAGTCACCATTGACTGACTGACTGCATATGACTCATGCAATTTTGGAGTTGCAGTACAAGTGGTACTGTCCATTTTGTATGGCCTTCTACCTTCCAGCTTTCCCTCCATTATGGAAGACACCATCATTCCTTTGCTCTCTAGTTGACTAATGGAATGCTGACACATGTGATTTGAAGTCTCTGAAGAATTCGTGTTGTCAACATGAGCTTTGCTCGAACAAACTGCAGTGAAGTCAGCAGTGAATTTTGGCACAGGTTCAGATGCATTGGTTTGATCAGTGGCATCTTGTATGATCAAGTCAATTGCTCTTCCCTTGTTTATAGGGCTTAATTCATAGGCATTCACAGGGTTATTGATAACTATGTGTCCCATTGATGAAGGTCTTGGACGTCTTCGGTGCATTTTAGGGCTCATACTTGGCTCCGGGCTGGGTAATTTGGCATAAGAACCTGTAAGGCTTCTGACAATACTACTGTCATTATCAAAGGTAGAGGTGTTTTTAAACTCTTCATCTGAATCCGAATCCAAAACTGGGGGTGTTCCAGCTCTGGTAGGTATATCCACTTTAGAAAAACTGGGTAAAGCTGATGTACGCGTGCTATTTACTTGGGCAGAGGCACCTTGAAGAAGAATATTTGATTTATTAAGACTTGGTTTATCAAGTGTCAGAGGAGTACAGTTCCTGCCTGTAAACCTCGCTCTCTCTTTCCCAGAGAGATTTGTTTTAACTGCATCATTTTCTTTATCTGAAAGACTTTCATTAATACTTCTTTTTGAATTACTTCTTAAGCTACGTCTGGTTTGCTCTCTCTCTATATACTCCCTAGACTTTTTCAGAAGATTTTGAAGACTCATTACATAAGGATCAGGTACTTCCTCACCATCTGGTGGCACCTCTGTATGCTCTTGGTTTACATGTGCATTTGAAGTAGTCATATTTTGTGTTTTATCAGGAGATGTAACCTTCGGACAAGCAATATTTTCTGAGAGGTTATTCTCACTTTGTTCAGGAGGAATATGTTCTTCTGTGCCTCTAACTGAGTCTATTCCACTTGATGTAATCTGGATAGCTGGCACAATTTCCAATGTTTTTTCAAGATCTGTAGTACCACTGCATGTAATAGAACTTGACAAATTGATATTTGATAGCATTGCGAAGCCATCTGAGGCTTTTGATTCTGAATTAGAGTGACCACTCTCAGGCTCCCACTGATCCAAATCACTCATACCAGACACCTTTCTGACCTGCAAAGACAAACGGAAAGTTATTATGTCAATTCAGTGTAATAAAGCCCTTCTGTTTTCTAATTAAGATTAAGTACATATGCCTTCTGATCTATAAAGTTAGATTGCTGTCACTTTAATAGAACATGAATTTTCCAACTTGAACAGAATGGAACTATGGCAACCACACTAATCTACGATGCAGAAGATGACCTTTCCAACTGGCAAAGGTAATTTGAGGAGAATGCAACATAACTATATTTTAATATTTGGCTTAGTCAGAAGTTTTTATCATCATCAGACCACCAGCTATGATAAAATTATATTAAAAGAAAAATGGATATTTAAACATATATTCTTTAAGTAATATTGTGGCTGCCAATTGTCCTGAACATTTACGTAACGTACTATTAAAGAACAATGTATCATTGGCGTTTATTCAGACATGTAATTCAAATAACTTCAGCATTAACATTAAATATACTTCAACTCAGATCCACCCACTGCCAATTAAGAGAAGCATTATGCAAAAGAGTACATACAAGAAAACTTTTTTGATTTTCCTTATTATGTAACCAGAGCTAAGAAATATCAACTTTTCTGTGGCAAGCAACTAACAAAAAAAAAAAAAATGTGCACAGCCCATTCAGTGTTTGTATACTTGTATAAATTCATAGTCCTTTTTAGGTATAGGTAACAGTGCAGCTATTGACAATAGGCACATTTAAACTAAAGAATAAAAGGTTGCCCAAGTTGTATCAACGTAAGTGCCCACTAACCGCAGGAGGTCTAGAAGAAAGCAAACCATGATTTTTGTTTTAGAGTAGCAGCCATGTTAGTCTGTATTCACAAAAAGAAAAGTAGTACTTGTGGCACCTTAGAGACTAACAAATTTATCTGAGCATAAGCTTTCGTGAGCTACACTAAGGTGCCACAAATACTCCTTTTCTTTTCGCATTATTTTTGTATTCTTAACATATGCTCCTGGTCTGCCTTTCAAATCCCAAGTTAGGTGATAGTTTCCATGCACACAGTAGTAAACAATACAAGAAGCTCAATAGATTACATTTGCCACCTCAGTAATAAAACTTAAGCCCAATGCAAACTGTGTTCATTTAGCTGGTAGGTTAGTTCAAGGGCTTTATTACATCCTACTAAAAAACCCAAACTACACTGTTTTAAGAAACCTATTTAAAAAAAAAAATTTAAAGCAGGGGTTCTCAAGCTTTTTCTTTCTGAGGTCCCCCCAACATGCTATAAAAACTCCACGGCCCACAACTACTGGTTTTTTGCATGTAAGAGCCAGGGCCAGCATTAGGGGTAGCAAGCAGGGCAGTTGCCAAGAGTCCCACACCACAGAGAACCTTACAAAGCTAAGTTGCTCAGGCTTTGGCTTCAGCCCTGGGTGGCAGGGCTTGGGTCACTGGGCTTCAGTCCCATGTGGTGGGGCTTTGGCGCCTTTGGCCCCAACAAGTCTAATGTCAGCCCTGCTTGGTGGCCCCCCTGAAACCTGCTCATGGCCCCCCAGGGGGCTCCAGACCCCTGGTTGAGAACCACTGATTTAAAGTATCTACCTGTCTAACCCTTGAGAAAAGTCCCATCATTGCACAAGAAAAAATTACTACAATATAAATTTTGAAGCATACACCAGCACTGTTATTTATTTTGCAAAATTTAGTCACTAGCCTACAGTTTCAGGCGGAAAAAAGGGTAATGTCACTAGTTAACAGTTTTTATAGTAGTGACCAGTCTGAAGGAAATCTATCTAGCTATTTTAAATGGTGTTATGAAAACAACAGCTGTACCACAAAAACTAGCTCATTTCTACAAAAACCAAATTGAGCACTGACCACAACTGAAAACTTAACAACATTATTTAAAACTATTACATGTATTCACTGTAATTGTTCACCAGGTCATACAATATAAATTACTAGCAAATGTTGGTCTAAAGAGGGTAAACTGCTAGTAACCGCAAGTTTATATTAAGGAACTTACGAGCCTTCAGTGACCCTTAGTATGTGTATGAAAATATCTACAACAACTAATTAAAAAACCTTGCATCAAACTTGCCTGCACGTTTTCCAGGATCTCCTGAACACGATTCAGTAAAGCTCTTTTCCTGGAATTCTGCTTCCAGATCTCTATATCAATTGCTTTTTGTTTATCTTGATGCATTTCCTTTTTTCTCTCAAGACTCAGCTGAAAAACAAAGTATCAGTGACTTCTTTTCTTTATCAAAAAGAAAATTAAATGTAAAAAAATATTAAAAAAAAAACTTGATATGTTATGGCTGTAATTCCCTACTGCTCCAGCTCCACCAGCAGTAGCTGTAGTGTCAAGGATCAGTTAAACGACAGCAGTAAAGAATGCCTATGCCCTTTTTACACTATAATTTACACCACTGCTACCTGTTAGAATTCGGTCTATGAAATACACTAGGGTAGATGTGGTGCAAGACAGGTATAGCGGGAGTGGACTATTGTAGAAAGGAGGGTATTATTGAGTGGGGAAGGGCAGCCTTTAGAGAAGAAAGACCAGTGGATATAGCAGGAAGGGAAGAAAAAAAGGAGTCCATCGAGCAGGCATTCCCCAAGTCATAGGCACCACAATCTAATTTGTTCAAATGACAAAATCCTCTTGTACTACATTGCATGACAATCCCCCTCTCCCACCACCCTTATTTTGGTTTTGAACCTCAACATTACCGACAACTACTTGTTTCCTGTACTACTTGTCTCCTGTACTACTCAAGGTTGGTCATATTTTATCGAGACAGAAATAACTAAACAAAAATGGTTGTCCTCTTCTTTTTTAATAGAAATGCCTAACTGACAAGGAAATCTTACCAGAGGTGAAAGCACAGGAATGCCATAGAATTGAATAAGTGAGATATTCTTCTGAGCAGATGAAGAGGTTTCCCTTTGAATTGACTCTCCTTGGATCCTGGCAAGATGCTTTTCACAGAACTCCTCATAGTCCTCCATCTTAATATTGTACTGCACATAGAGAAAATATTACTGACAAGAACACAAAATACAGCAATATACATGACAATCTTGGCTTACAGAATTAGAAAATAAATTGTTCTCTAAAATGTGTTATGTTTCTGTCTCTGCCACCAGAAACAAAAAAGAACCAATACTTATTCTTCTTTAATCTGTGCTACTGTCAACCCCAAATTAAATTGTTCCTAAGAGACTGCTGTCTCATAAAGGGCTTGATTCCCATTGATTTCAGTGGGAGCAGGACTGGGACCTTAAGTTGTTAAAGAGGCTGAGGTACCAAGTTACTGGTAACTCTGGTTACTCTATACAGTTCTCCCTTGACAGAGCCATTCTTTACAACCTTGGCAGTGAAACATCAGAAAAACTAGTACTAAAAATATGATGGTGGCAATGCTGTTATTGTTACTTGTGAAGAAAAAAAAAAGCATGCATTTGATTGAGAGTAAACTGGGAAAACAAACTAACACTGTAAACATGGTTAGGCTCAAACTAGCTTTGCTATAGGAAGGTAAGTAAGTTTTTTTTAAACTAACAGTTTAGAAAATAAACAAAACTATATTGTTTGTGCCCTCAATGCGTCTAAGATGAATGCAGTGCTATTGTTTTACAAAAAGTACATCCTCCCTTGAATGCTGTTTTGGCCGAGGAAAGAAATAGGCAGCTCAATATAAATGTTCATGATGTAATCACAAGAATAGATGGTTCCTTCGATTATGATGTACCATAATAGAAATTTGCAATACAGAACGCACTGTTATAAATAAACCACTTAAGTTAGCAATAGAAGGCAAACACATATGTTTGCAGGTGCTGTAATTAATCAAACACCTGAAACAACCATTTCTAATACAGGTGATTGAGAAGCACTAGCAAGAACCAAAAGGCAAATAATTATGTGCCCTGACATGTACATAATGAATCAGTACAGTTATTCCATTGGTGAATCCTGAGGACCTCATAAAGCCATGAAAATTAGAGCCTGAAAGATTTGTACGTCACCTGAATCCCATGACAGATTTTTGCAAGTTTTAAATCTATGTACCTTATTTAACAAAGCACATGGTTAAACAAATAAATCAATGACATATTCCCCCAAAGACATATCTCCACCAATGCACAAAATCCTCCTTCCAATCCCCTCATTATGTTCTCACAAATATAAAATATGGTTATTACAAAATCCCCACAGATTACTAGAATCCTAAAATGGAATTATAACCAAGATGTACAAGTTACTCCAGTTTCCTAATGGTAATGCTATTAGAATCATTACTGGAATTACAGCTTTACTACAGAGGGCAGGGTACAAATCAAAGTGTTTTGTTAGATCTTCTATACAATAATTTGTGCAATTCTGAGACTGCAAGGAGGAAAGGTACACCAAAGTTAGGAAGCTGTGAGCAGAAGTAGTGTGTCACATTACCGTGAGTTACTTATGATGCAAACCACCTACAACTACATATATAAGGCGAAAAATACATTCCTGGGTTGATAAATTATTAACCTGCTCTGCTTGAGTCCACGAGCTCAGAACCAAGGAAGAGAAGAAAATTCTGCTACAAACTACCAGAATTGCTTGTTCCCTATTTTTACAGAACTCCCTTTCTTCCACAATAGAAATTCACTGCACTTCTGTACTAAGTGATTGAACCACTGCTGTCAAAATGCCCCAGTCTGAAATATGTGGACTTTTCAACCAAAGCCCTCAAATTATTAAGTGTGCAGAGAAGAAATTAAGATTTGAGTCACTGAATCTGTGATGGAGAATCCAAAAGCAACCATTCTACAAGTAGTGCTAAAAACTTCTCAGCCAAGAAAAAAAAATATTCTCAGCTGGTAACTAGTCTTGTGTGTTATTTGTTTTCAGGATTGTTGGGGTCAGGAAGTTATTTGGGGCCAGCTGTCTATCACCTCATCTCCCTTTTATCTGATCAGGTCTCATTATGGCAATGATAACCCCAATGCCTATGTTAAATTTCAGGCTCTTTTGCAAATTGGATAGAAACCGGAAATTCCCTACAAATCATAAAACTGGTTCCACTCAAAACCACCACCAACAATGCTGATATGGTGGCAACCCCCATCCAGATTAAAAATTCACAGCCAAGCAAGCAACTCAAAGGGAGAGGCAGGACTAGCATGCTTTGTGTTTTTCTCACTCTGGTTCCTGCCTTCTTCCAAAATGCCCCTCCCTTAAATTTCAAACGGCCTCCTAATTTCCTCGCAGCCCCTATCCCCTCTTCATCCAAACGCCTCCTAAAAGGCTTGCTCTTTCTGTGAAGTCCACCAGCATTAACCCATATGACTCAAATGCCTTCTCCACCCATCCCCAACACCCACTCAACCCCTCCCCCCAACTAAAACGTTCCCTCTGAGCCTTGTCTCAGCTACAGCTGCCTTTCAGAACGCAAACTCCGTGGGACTGGGACTCTTCATCGTATACCGCGCCGAGCACATCCCTGACACCAAGTCCCGCAAGGGGGCAGCCTTCAGCGGCTGAGGTGGGGGGGAGAACCGCGTCAGTTTTCGCCTCCTCCTGAGAGTGCGGAGACAGCAGCGGCCCCTCACGCGCCGGGGTACAAGCGGAGCTGTCAGGCCAGGACCCCGGGGGGCAGAGCCCCCGCCCCCACCACATAACGCTGGAGCATTTTAAACCCGGGGTGACGATCCCCCGCGCCAAACTCCCCCCGCCTCCTCACTCGGGCTGCCCCGCCCCCGTTCTGGCGGGTCCCCTTAGGCAGGTGGCGGCCGCGGCCCCTCAGGTTCAGGTTGGAGGAGGAGGCCCGGAATCAGTCGCACCCCTCGGAACGGCGCCCCAGTCCCCGCGCCAGGGCAGACTCCGCCCACAGCCCGGTACCTGCTCCGAGGCCCACAAGGAGCGTGGATACGGGGCGGGCGGGCCCAGCGCACCCAAGTTCCCTGCCCAGAGCACGCCGCGACGCTCCCCGCCAGAGAGCAGCTGGCTCCTGGCAACCGCAAACCTCGCCGCACCCCGCCCTTCTCACCCCCCTGCCAGAGCTTCCGGCTGGAGGCGACTAACGGGGCTGTTCAGCTAAGTGAGCCAAGCCGGATACTACAAATCCCAGCATACAATGCTTCCTCGCGCCCACTTCCTCACGCAATCTGACACGGAGAGTTGCATGCTGGGAATAGTAGTCTTATTGGGCTTTAGCCTGCTTGCCTCGTTCTGGACCAGGGGTGGGCAAACTGTGGTCCCGGAGACGTATCCGGCCCTTCAGACGTTTTAATCCGGCCCTCGAGCTCCTTCCGGGGAGCAGGGTTGGGGGCTTGCTCTATGCAGCTCCCAGAAGCAGGGGCAGGTCCCTGCTCTGGCTCCTACACGTGGGGCAGCCAGGGGGATCCACACGCTGTCCCCACCCCAAGTGCCGCCCCTGCAGCTCCCGTTGGCCAGCAAACAGGTCCAATGGGAGCTGCAGGGGCGGTGCCTGCGCAGATCCACCTGGCTGTGCCTCCCCGTAGGAGCCAGAGAGGGTGCATGCCACTGTTTCTGGGAGCTGCTTGAGGTAAGTGCCATCCAGAGCCTGCATCCCTAACCCCCTGCCTCAGCCCTGATCCCTCTCCTGCCCTTCAAACCCCTCGGTCCCACCCTCCTGCATCCCAGGGCCTGCACCCCCAGCAGAGCACTCATCCCCCCCCCACCTGCACTCCAGCCCAGAGCCCCCTCCTGCACCCTGAACTCCTCATTCTGGCCCAAACCTAAAGCCCTCACCCCCTCCTGCACTCCAACCCCCAATTTCATGAGCATTCATGGCCCACCATACAATTTCCATACCCAGATGTGGCCCTCAAGCCAAAAAGTTTGCCCACCACTGCTATGGAGTATTGCATGCAAGGATCTGTAGTTTTGGGTGGGGTGGGGTGGGGTGGAGGCTGTGCTGTGCTTCTGACTTAAATGTGAAGGTGACTCCCATTTTATATCAGGTGTAGGGAGTCTTGTTTCCTATGCTGTTATTCCCAGAATCACCCAGATTCATAGGTGCTGGAACTAGGGGTGTGGGGCATGCCACCGCAGCCCCTGACTTGAAGTTCCATCATATACAAGGTTTGAAGTGTGGGTCAATGGCTCTCAGCACCCCCACTATGCAAATTGTTCCAGCACTCCTGGGCTTATTTTCAATGGAATCTGTGCAAAGGTCCTAATAACACTTCAAGGGTCCTGAAATCATCACCATCTTTCACAGCATCACAGTAAAGTTCAAGTAGGGTGTCACCATACTGCATTTGAGAGGAGATGATATTTTGATAGACATGGTGTTAACATGTCAATGCAGCCTTCAGACAGAGACATCATTCACACTCCAGTTTTACCCTTTCACACAAGTCATCAGGCCGTCAGACTTTCTCTAAAATGTCATCACTTCTGTCTGTTCTGCAGCCCTGGGTACAGCCAGCTGCTAAAGTGTTTAGCAATCAGGCATGAGGCAGGTGGGTTTGAAAAACACACAGCTGCTGCACTAGCTCAGGCTAAGTCTGCTTAGGTTTGTAGAAACATTGGGGGAGGTAAGCATAGAGGCTAATAGTTATCATTAGTAGCAAGAGCCTTACATCAAGTACTACTTTAACTCTCTGAGGCTGCTTTTTTAAATCTTAAAATAACACAGAATGTGTCAAAAAATTTTAAATACTTTTCTGAACCACTTAATTAATCATAAATTATTTCAGTCCTATATGTGTCTGGCTGGTTTTGTCAGGATACAGCCAGCATTATGACCAACTCTAGGCCGATTACGTTGTGGCTTCAATGAGCCAGGCATTACTTGAACTAATACCTGAGCTATTCCCAACATCTGTTGATGCAGGAGAAGATGAAAACTCATGACAAAGTCAGTCATAATCCAAGAAAAACTGTATCAGTGTCTGCAGCATCACCTGCATCACCCTAGTTACTAAATGCAGAATTATTATAGGCACTGGATTGCCAAAGTTACAAAATCCAAGTATACCAACCACAATATATTTTTCCTAGAATAAACTAAATTGATGGCCAAACCCTGAGAATACTAGCCAGACATCCATAAATGGCTAATTAAATGGAATTTTATCATGACTCTTCAAAGGCACAAATAGGAATTATTCCATCTCTCAAGATTGTTGTTTCTCTTAAAGCTACACCTGCGGAAATCAAATGATTGTATGATAATCTCAGCTTTTAAGTATAAAAAGTAAGTTTTTAGCCCTCACAATTGTAGAGGAAAGTTTGAAAACATGAACAGGGTGCCCCCCTACAGATGCAGGAAACAGAAAACAAAAAGAAGCCAAAGTGCATTTTTTTATCACGATTTTAAGTTGTTCTGGTGTTTTCTTTTGGCATGCTTGACTTATGATTTATTGAACATTAGGAGTTGGCCGCAAGATTCCCCCTTTGCACCTTTGAACATCCCCCTCTAGACACTTCCAGCAGAGTCTGAGCAGACTCACGCTCTCTCAGTGCTGGTGCGATCACACAAGCCACCATCAGACAGTGCCACGTCACTCCCCCAGATTCTGTCAGACTGTGTTTGAGGATTGGCTGACGGATATAGGTGTGGCGAGCGCTGGATGGTGATTGGCTGGCGATTGCCAATGGCTGCTGTTGACCGGCAGACGGCGGAGAGCCGTTGGCGGTTGGAAATCGATTGCCGGATGCTGATTGGCTGGTCGGTAGCAGTGAGGGTGATTGTGTGATCACGGCCCTGGCTCGGACCGGCAGCTCGTGAGGGGGGTTTCCCCATCCCCTCTCCCGCCGCTATGCTGGGCACCTTCACGACGCTGCTGGGGGCGCTGCTGGTGCTGAGCCGCAGCCCGGTGCTCTCCTGCCTGCTCACGTGCGGCCTCTACCTGGCGCTGCGGCTCTTCAGCCTGGAGCCCGTCTCCCTGCCGCGGGCCCAGCACATTCTGCAGCCCCGCGGCACCGCCGCCCGCATCGCCCACCGCGGCGGCGGGCACGACGCGCCCGAGAACACGCTGGCGGCCATCAGACAGGTCAGCCACCGGGACCCCCCCCCGCGGGCCTCTGGGACACCCCCCCCCGGGGGGACCTCTGGGATGCCCCCCTCGAGCCCCTCCCCCTGCTAGCACACCCCTACCTTCTTCTTACTGAGCCTGCTGCACCCCTCGCTCTGCCTGCCCCCAGGAGTGCTCCCCGCCCCCAGAGGTATTGCTCCGTGGGGACCCTGTCCTTTGGGAGACCCCACCCCTTCCAGGAATCACCTGGCCCACCCAACTGACCCTGAGGCCCTTGCCTTAATCTTGGGACAGGACCCCCAGGAGCCCTGTCCCTTTGGGTGCTAGGAGTTACTGTTCTTCACCCCCTGGACCATCTACTTTTCCTCAGTCCTTGGCTTCCCTGCCCCCCTTTCCTCCCATAGCGGTACCTGCCAGGGCCATGGTTCCCAAACTCTTTACTAAAGCCACCCACCAGCTGCGTTTTGCCACCCACCTTTACGTCCATACACCCTCTAATCTGGCACTGCAACCCTAATCCCAGCCTGGCGGGGAGGGGAGGCCCTGGGAGTGGGGGGGTTGAAGAGTGGAGTGGTGGCAGTTCCTGTCCCATGGGGCTGGGCCCTGCTCCCCGGCGTGGCGACTTGGCACATGGGGTCACAGCGCCACTCAGGAGGAGCAGGTGGACCAAATTTGGGTGAGTGGCATTGTGGCCTAGTGCCCCTTGTATTTGGCAGGGTAGTCAGCCAAGCAGAAGTGGCATTGCCACTCCATGTACCAGGTTGCAATGCCCATAGCGGGGAGCTGGGCCCAGTGTTGCAGGACAGGAGCCCCCGTTATAGGGTGACAGGTTTCAGAGTAACAGCCGTGTTAGTCTGTATTCGCAAAAAGAAAAGGAGTACTTGTGGCACCTTAGAGACTAACCAATTTATTTGAGCATGAGCTTTCGTGAGCTCTACAGCTCACTTCATCGGATGCATACCGTGGAAACTGCAGCAGACTTTATATACACACAGAGAATATGAAACAATACCTCCTCCCACCCCACTGTCCTGCTGGTAATAGCTTATCTAAAGTGATCATCAGGTTTGGCCATTTCCAGCACAAATCCAGGTTTTCTCACCCTCCACCCCCCCACACAAATTCACTCTCCTGCTGGTGATAGCCCATCCAAAGTGACAACTCTTTACATAGTGAGTGCATAATGGGCTTATTCTCCAAACTCTTCCCTCACCTTCGTACTGGGTTGGGAGAAGTGTACGTTTGCCTAGGTCCCTGTGACCCATCGAGAACTTTATCGCAACTCACTGGGTCATGACCCACCCTTTGGGAAACACTGTTCTAGGGGTCCTCTCAGCTGGAGGTGCCTCCCAATTTGAAATAGTCAGTGGCGGGGAGAGACAGAAAATTATGGACAATATGACATTAACAGATGCAGGGCCATCCCAGCTGCTGCCAGGATGGTACCGGGGCGGGCTTTCTGCTACTTCCACAAACTCCAATTTTGGGGTCGTATTTGGAATAAATAGCTCTACTTCCCCCCTCTGCTTTCAAAGCAGCAGCAAATTAAACTGGACCAAATTCCTGTCAGTTTCACTGCCTCCCTCAGAGGTCTGAATAATAGGAACTGAAAGAGTGGTCTGGTTTCACTTGGCTGTTCTTTGAGAAAGCTATGAGCAGCAGAAATAGGTGTGTGGTAAAAACTGTATATTACTTTTTTTGCTTTTAAATCAGTTTGGCATAGTAGCGAACAGAATAATCCAGTTTTGTTTTTTCACATCCAATTCCAAATAATTCTAACAAAGAGATGCCAACAACTTAAATGGTAATTTTATAAAATGTATTAATGTCTTCGGTAAAGAATACCTTCACTTTTCAAATTATGAAAGGGAGGAAAGTGATGGTGGCGGGCACAGCTGATGTTCCTAAAACTCATGCTTTGGGGTTTCAGCCAGCAACCCCCCAGTGGCTAGGATGGGATTTTTCCCTCCCAGTGTATTCTGGGAGGTTTATCTCCTCCTTCTGAAGCATCAGGGATGGACACAGCTGGAGATTGGACACTGGGCAGGGTGGGCCAGGGCTCTGACCTGGCACTGTGTATTCTGTCTCTTTCAGATGTGTAGCTGGCTGGTTCTTGCTCAGGTGCCTCAGGTCTAACTGATTCACATATGTGGATTAGGAAGGAATTTTCCACCAGGTCAAATCTGCAGTGACCTTGAGGTGTTTTTACTTTCGTCTGCAACATGTGGGTCACTTGCTGAAATTCTCTGGGTGTACCTCATTTAATCATTTCTGTGCCACTGCAGTGGCCTCAAGCACTGATGCACCTCAGTCCCTCCTGTCCTCAGCCTGTGGCAGAGAATAGTTTAATCTCCTGTGGGTCTCATTTACTTGGTCTCATTTCCATTGCTGGATTTAGTGTGTGGGTGCTGTTGGTGGCCTGTGATATGGTGGTCAGACTAGATGATCTAGTGGTCCCTTCTGGCCTTACACTGTGTGACTGACTATATTTTTGTTTTAAAATTTTAATAGCAAAATTTATTTATAGGAATATCTGCAGGGAGTACACATCACCAGAAATCAAATCATAGCAGTAAAATTCCACAACAATCAAAATGTCAACACTTACTGTTTTTCCATTTTTAAAAATCATAAACAAATTGTTGCCTGAAATCAAGCAAAAGATTGTAATTAAAGGTGTTATAAACAAATAAAAGACTACAAGCAAATGGGAGTGCTTAGTGCAAACTAATCAACAAACCATAGTGATTAAGTAGAGCAGCTAAAACCAAACAGAAACAACAGGGGAATTATTATGTACATACTTGTGAATCATTGTGTAAATATAGTAACCAACTGTTGCCCAAGACACTCCAGAGCAAACTTGGTACACAACAGAATGAATTTGGAAATTACAGGGTAGATGCTGTTTACTATTCTAACGTCAGTGTTGTTCAGCTACTCAGGCTACACTTCTCCCCAAGGAGATAAAGGGAAGAAAATTCTGGAAATGTCAGTCGTCAAACTCTTCTTGCTAAATATCTCAAAACATCTCTGTGACTGAGCTACCATATCCTGTAAATATAAGCCCAGCACCATTTAAGTGCTGAAAACAGGAGATCTGTACAAAAGGCATATCTTTCTGGGAATGGGGAAGAAAAGGGATGAGCAAAAGAAGGGAAGATGGACTAGTCAAGAGCAAAAACTATGCATGCTTTCCACCCTCTGTATTGTAAAAATTCAGTTTTAGGATGTCTTGGGCTAGTCATTCTCTAATTCTGTAAGGCCTGTCCTAAGATTGGGCAAGTACTATAAAACAAGAAGATAAAACAGGATCATTCTAGATCAAGGGTATTCAACTTTTCATTGTGTGGACCACCTTCCTACTTAATCATAATCTTGCCTCGTCTCCTTGATGACTGTTGTATAAAAGTTGTATGTGTACAGTTAACATTAAGATCCAGGTAGCTCTCTGATTTTATGAACTTGCAAGTGTACAATAGAAACTGATCCCACTATCTCCCAGTATTGTGGAGAAGGGTACAAATTCCAATCACTTACCCACAGGCAGCTAAAACTTGTAATCTAGTAGTCCATCTTGAAAACAGTGTTCTGATTTTCTGGTTTTGATCTTGTCTCAAATAAATTTAAAATAATTTTTTTGCAGATATGATTATCTGAAGTTAGACTCTCACTTTTATTCTCTTGTTTTCATAAAATCAAGTGGGATTTGATTAAATTTGTCTTTGTTTTCATGTCAATCAGAATGCCCCTGCCACCACTATCTTGAAACTGAGATTATGTAATTTATTTCAAATTCAAGTAAAAATTACCAGATGATATAAAGCTTGTTCACAAAGTTGCTGGGTTCCCCCCCCCCCCCCGCCCAAGGAGGGAGAATGGGAATCTCTTCCATTTTAATTTTACAATAGAAATGTTTAAGATCTCAAATACTGTATTGGATGAAGGGATTAATTCAATCTATCATCAGAGAAAGAAATATGGTATGAAGTCTATATTTAAAATACCTGGTATTTGATAGACTAGGAATTTTTTTCAGGGGAGAAAAAAAGCCACAGTGAGGGATCCTTTTCCTCTGCTGTTAATAACAGTTGCCCCATGTCATGCCTGCTATGCGTGGTAGAAAAGTAAGTTGCCAAATTCTCTTCTATTACATATCTTGGTTACTTGGCCCAAGATAATTGGTTTCCACCTTAACTCAGCCAAATTCCCACAAGCCTGGACTGCTTCCCAATTAAGATCCATTGCCCTGACTAATTTTATCCTGATAGGATAAATCCATCTAATTTATTTACTGTGGCTAGGCCATGGGTAACCAGGACATCACCAGCTGGCTGTGGGGTAGAGATAGGGTTGAGTTCCTTCCCTTCATGTGTATTTTGCTCAGCAATTTACCATTTGAAGTATAGGACATATCTTCATATTAGATCTATAAATACAGGCCTCATAAGAATTTAGCTAAAGCCCACTGTGTTTTGTGGGCTGACAAATCTTAGAGAATATAGTAGCCTGGCATCTGTATTAGAATACAAAGTAAGCATTGTAGCACCCACCTTTATATTTAAATAGTTTTTGTCTTTCTTTTTTGTTTTAAAGGCAGCTAAGAATGGAGCCACAGGCGTGGAGCTAGACCTTGAATTCACTGCAGATGGCATTCCCATTCTAATGCATGATGATACAGTAGAAAGAACAACTGATGGGTCTGGGAGTTTACGTGACTTTACGTTTGAAGAAATTAGGAAGCTTAATCCATCTGCAAAACATAGACTATGGTAAATGATCAGCAACAGTCTACTAGTACTTCTACTTGTTTCTGAAAATGTTTCTACAGTACCAAAACAACCATCATAAATAAAATTTGACTTTGACCCATCTGTGACTAAAAACCCCTTGAAAATTTCTAACACACACGTGGTGCCTCCTACCCATGTTGGAAGCAGATCAGAATCTGTCTCCTTGCCCCTTCTTGGAGTGGGAACCATGAAGCAGAACTGAATGATTTTGATTTTAAGGATGAGATTCTCCAACATCTAATGCATAAGCAGTGTCAACCTCAAATTAATCTTGACCAAACGCTTTTTAGGACAGGGTTTGGTCTGAAAAACACTTGATATATTGGGACTATTGCTACTTTTCAAAGCTTACTGGGGTAGCTATTTCTAAAGTAAATTTTATTGACACATCTCTTGATTAGATTTGTTTATTTAAATGATCATTTGTATCTTTGTATGAATGGTGGGATGACTCATTTTTTCTAAAACATAAGGGTTAAACTGTTGGAAAGGAATTACTTGGAGTTCTAAGAACGTCTCAGATAAGACCTTTGATCTTGACATAAGGTGCTAATTATTTCCATTCTTGCAAAATGTAGGCAAAGAAATATATACACTTGCTGGAATATATACAAGAAGAAGTCTCCTAAAATGTTACTGTGAATGATTTTTTTTTTTTTTTGAGGGATCTCCATTAGTTTATACATTTGGTGTTTTTAATTTAATATACTCTACACCTCGGCACAGTTCAAATGGAATCTTTCCTTCCTCTTTGTTCTTGGAGTTCTCCTGGATTGGGTGCGTTCCACTGAACTTTTCATACCTTTCTGTAGGAGAGATTTCCGTGGTGAAAAAGTACCAACTTTGAAAGAAGCCGTTATGGAATGTATGCATTATAACCTCATTATCTACTTTGATGTCAAAGGCCATGCAAATCAGGTATTTTTGCTAAGAATGCTTCACTCACCATTTCATTGGATTGCTCCCATTGAAGTCCATGGCACTACTCCCTTTAACTTCAGTGAGAGAGGTCTTGGGTCTGTTTTTGCAGAAAGTTAAGTTTGGTTTTATAAAACTGAGACAACTTTTTCATGCTTTATTCTTTCCATTCCATTGAACAAGGACGCTGACAAGCGTAATTAGAACATGGCTCACTGGCATGTTGGGCTCTGGTAATGTCACAAGCATGCACTGAATCTAAGTGAATGAATAACTGTGTCCTCCCTGCCACCTAGTTGTGTGGAAGAAGAGAAATCACGATGGGCTATCCTGCTTGTCTGTAGTAGTTAGCATCATGACATGGGGTACTTTTGGTAGGTAATGGTTGGCTTGTTCATAAACTGTATAGTTTTTCTCTGACATGATATATAGAAAAAAAGTTTTCTTTCAAAACCAAACCACAGTTAATGCTGCAAATGTTTTATAGCAATAGACCTTGTCAGGGGTGTGTATCTCTTAGCACACTTCCTGGCTATTGAAAGCATTCTGCCTGAGGCATGCACAGTATGATAAATACTGTACATCCTTCTATGCTGCAGTCTATGAATGTTGCATAACAAACAATGTCTATGGACCTTGAGCTGTAGACAAACTTAAATGCTGCTTTCCTCCTTCCCCTTTCTAATTCCAACCCCCCAGGAAAAACAACAACGCACTTTAGTGCGGTCTTTCTGTATCCTAATGAACTCTTTAAACTACAATGTACCTTCTATGTATTTATCTTTCATTGATAGGCAGTTGATGCCCTAAAACTCCTCTATCTGGAATATCCTCGTTTGTACAACAGTAGCATTGTCTGCTCTTTCATACCAGAGATAGTCTATAAGGTAAAACTTACTAAAGGTTTATTTTGTTTTTTTAGTTTTATGTACACCACGTCACAATCACTGTAATACGATGAGTATGCTGTTGTGGAGAAGTGCAACTCCAGAGTACATGGGGATCATTCTTAAGTAATTAAGAACACACTTAAAAGTCGGTGTTGAAATGAGGGGAGGACTGGGGTATTCGATTCTCAATCCTCATATACCCCCACTCACCATTGCCACCTTGTCAGACCCTTCCATACTGATTAGATAAATCTTGAATAACTCCCCCTCCCCTAAGAATTACACTGGTAAAGGTTCATTAGCTTAAAATTGACACTAAGTGATATTGACACTGAGGTGCCAAGGTATCTATTAACAGATTACACTGGTGTCAGATTATTATAGAAGTTTAGTATATATTCAAATAAATTGTCTCCTAATTCCCATTATTTGTCATTCCCTTCCTCCGTGTGCATGGTTCCCTTGCTCAGCTATTTCCCCTCCCTTCTTACCTTACAGAATCATAGGCATTCCTGAATTTTTCTCTATTTTTGTCCTCCTCCTTTGAGTCTTTCCCTTTTGTTCCATATTTTCCTACTTTCCTTGCTTCTTCCTTTGCTATCTCGTTGTCTCAGCTACTTCCCCTTCCCAATCCCTTGTTGCTTTACTGTCCTTCCATCCATTCTTCTGCTTCAAGCTCAGTGGTAAAGTGAAATTAACAACACACTTGAAGCAAGATACTAGTACTGCTTTGTGTATTGTTAATTTCATTTTACTGCTTGCTCTGCAACAGGATGGGGTGGAGCTGAAATTAAACATGCCTGCACTGATGCATAAGTCCCTGGCTAAGAGATTGGTAACAATGGGGACCTGTGTGAAGTATGAGGGTCAGTTTTTTGTGTTTGTTTTTTTTTAATTAAGATTTTTAGTAACTTTCTATTTGTATTAATACCTTATTAAAGTTAAAAAATAGTTAATTCTAACTCCTCATTTTCCATTTATGCTGTTTGTTATTTTGCATGCTTCACTAAGCTTGGCTAGTGAAGATAGATTTGTTCACACTCTACCTCCTGCACTAGCAGGATGTTGCAATGTTTGGGATGTAAGCCGTGCAAGGAAACGTCCAGGTCTAAACATTTAAATAGCATGAAAACACTTTTCTTGGGTCTTATAAAACAATATCAGTGTTGGGCTTATGCTACTTAATAGCAGTCAAGAGCCTCAAGTTAAATAGCTGAAATTCAGTTTCCTCTGTTTACTTGTGAGGCCTCGGTTTAGGGTTAGAGGATTGCTCTGTAACAGCTGATGACATCACAAGGTATTACCTGAAACAGGCTCTTTAGTAAGTGTAGGGGAAACTGCATTAATATAAATGCACTGGCAAATTTGAACTATTAAACCGCTTTCCATTAATGATTTGGGATATTAAGATAAAATTCTTTATTAAGGCTTTGCATTTCATCTGTGTGTATAATAAAATAAATAAATGATAGAACACAGACCAGTTATAATTATGTGGCAATCTGTAGGTCCTAGTTATTAGAAAAATTGAAGACACTAAGTTTCAGAAACTGCTCTTTGAAACTCCGTATTTGGTAGTGTTAAATTGGCATTTGCTGAAGTGATTTTCAATACAGTTCAGTCTGTTTAATTTAAACACAGCTTAGTCAGTGAGAACACACTGGGTCAAACAACCTTTAGAGAATTTACAAACTGGTCTAGATGAATCACAGAATATCAGGGTTGGAAGGGACCTCAGGAGGTCATCTAGTCCAGCCCCGTGCTCAAAGCAGGACCAATCCCCAACTAAACTGTGTAGCCTCCTAAACAGCATGCTAAGCTGTATTTATTCAGAGACTAAAGTTGTACACTTGTCAGTATCTGCATGTCAACCATTAACTTCTAGCAAGTCAAAGTTTGAGACTAAGAACCCTACCTTACCTTCCTTGCACACAGATAACTCCCATTGACTTAAATGGGAGTCTTGTGTGCACAAGCAATGTAGGATTCAAGCCTTAACATAAGTGTCACTTGTTCAATAAAGGGATTACCAAGGGAAACAATACAAGCAGTTACAATAAATAGTTTCAAAACCAGGTTAAACAACATCTTGGAGGAAAAAGAACTCTGCTAGAACTGCAAATTCACAAACTAGTGCCTCTCATCCCTTCATCTTCAAATGTTCCTGTTTGCAAATCAGGTAATAATTCAAATCCATCCATCTAATCTAGAGTGTAGCCCTGGCAATTTGGCATCATCTGCTAAGTACAACTTTCTCACCTTGGTCTTCCAGATGAGGCAATCTGATAGGAATGTTGTTACAGCGTTAACACACAGGCCCTGGAGCCTTAGTCATTTTGGAGATGGGAAGCCTCGTTTTGATTGCTTTTGGAAGCATTATGGATATATGATGATGGACATCATTCTGGACTGGAGCTTGCACAACTTCTTGTGGTACCTGTGTGGGGTTTCAGCTTTCCTCATGCAGAAAAATTACATTTCACAGTAAGTGTCGAAACATACATTTTCAGGAGGAGCTAACGTATCCAGAGGTAATCGTGTAATAAAATAGGGAGGAAGAGGTAAAGTGAGACCATGATTTAGAAGAGTCTGATGTACACGAACACCAGAATCTCTAGTGAGCGTACTGTGTGCTGTTTTAAACAGGTCTCCTCTTCAATAATATATGCAATTTATTTTTTCATATTTATAATCTGTCCTCCCCATTCATATTTTTACCCCCAGTGCTACACCTTAAGTTAAAATAAAAGAGGGAAATTTGTTGCTGTTGCCTGTTTGTAAAGAGATATTGTAGAAAGGTGGAATGTGGTCACTGCAGAGCAGGTAGTCAATAGGCAGACCGTAGGCCAAATCCAGACCTCCAGATGTTTTTGAACAGACAAAGAAGTCTTAAGTACTTATTATCATTATTACTGTTTTTTCTGGCATCTGGACCTTGACTATACTTGAACCTAGAAATGTGGACCTTTTAAAAAAAAAAAATAATTGACTACCCCTGCTGTGGAGAATGTATATTGTATAGGAAAGCTATTTGTTTTAGCCTGTGTTCATGGTAGTCTTGGTGTTCTCCTAACAGCATCTTTGTTCTTTACAGAGAGTATGTGAGGCAGTGGTCTTCACGAGGCGTTCAAGTGGTTGGCTGGACAGTGAACACATTTACAGAAAAAATGTACTATGAGACCATCCTTGAGACCAGCTACATCACAGACAGCTTGGTAGAGGACTGTGATCCTCACTATTAGACTTATGCTGTATGGGACTCTTAAATATGCCATCCTGGTTCAGGCAGATCAGAGTTCAGCACCAGAGGGCTCCAAAAATGCAGATGAAGCTGCTTACATAGGTTGGGTTTTTTGCTTGTACTGTATGATTGGATCTTTAATCACAGCAAACCCTTCTGTCACACTACTAGACAGAGGCTGAGTCACAATCAGCATTAGTGCTGGGGAGAAATGTTGTGTGCCTCTATCAGTTTTGATCAAATGATTTGGTAACCAGTAGTACAGGCAGGTGGCTTATAAGTCATCTAATCAAACTGTTTCTTTACTTGATGTAACCCTTGATTTTAAGTCGCCAGCAGCTTTTGAAGGCCTAATTTTAAATTGTAAATTAAACAATCTGCTCCTCAAATAAGTAATAGTGGGGTGTACCTCTACCGCAATCTTAAGAGCAGATGGTAGGTGTATTCCCATACCATAACTTTGAATACAATATGGTCAGTTAATGTAGAAGTGAATTATTTTCACTCTCTAACAGGCTGAAAAGGATGGATATTCTGTACTCTTACAGTATGGAGAGACTATAGGTGTCTCTGTTCTGGGCAAATACTGCACTAAAACCTTGTGGGTAAACTTTTACTTCAGTCTTAAACTTGACCTTAAAAAGGGGTGAGGGAGGTTAGAAAGGTTCTTCCTCCTGATGATGCTATCGCTGAATCATTATTCCTAAACAGAGGCTGTGGAGCTGCTGTTAGCCATAGGCTAAGCAGTAGCTGAAACACTTCTTTTGTTTTGTTGTTGCTGCTAAATTGTTTACACAGATAAAGGGATAGAAGGGCTTTGTGACGGGGTTCCCACACCACTCATGGCACAGCCTCCTGGCCACTATGGGGAGTAGCTCTGCTAGGTGCTGTACCCTCCTCAGCACTCGCTCTACCCATCTTCTCTCAGCCTGCAGCATCTTCTGGTTTGTGGCTTGGCTCTCCGGCCAGGTCACTCAGTTCCTCCCTTTCCAGGGAAATCACAGTCCTTCTAGACCAGCTGTCTGTCTGATGTCTCCAGTGCTCTGTGTCACTACCCAGTGGCTGGTAGGGGAACCCAGGCCCGCCCTCTACACTGGGTTCCAGCCCAGGGACCCTATAACATGCAGCCAAGGCCTGTACTGTGCTAGCCCTTGTTGCTGTTTTCCTGGGCTTCTTCCTACAACCTTCCTCCTCACAGGAATACTGCAGACTACCTCCCTGTAGCCCCTTCTACTCTCAGCTTATAGAGGCCCCTCCTGTTCCTGCCCAGCTGGGCCTGGTTTAATGAACCCCTGCTCCCTAGCTCCTCCTGCAGATGAAGCCTGGGGAGTTAATTGGCCTGCCTGGTCATCTTCACCCCTTCCAGTCCTGTGCAGGGTGGACATCCCATCACATACTCTGTTCCTCCGGCCTACAACCCACAGGGCTGTGGTGGCCTCCTGCCCTGCATTTCCCTGAGCTGTGTCCGCAGGTCATCCCTCTCTTGTTCAGTCTCCTCCACCAGGAGACACAAATTATGCTGGTCGTCCGGGGCAATCCTAAACTTTTCCTTTTGGAACTCCAGATCTTCTTCAGCTATTCACAGGGCTTGCTCTGCTACTGCTAGCTTCCCCTATAGCTCCTTCACTTGCCCCCACGGGCTCCCTCAGGCTTTGAGTTCCCACCATAATTTGCTCTGCTTCAGTGTTCGTTCCTATGTGTGTGGGCCCTCTCCACCCCAGTCATCTGTTAACCTCCTTACTACCTCCTCTTGGGTGTGTGGGATGACCACCTGCCGGCTCCATAGTGATTGCCGCTGTCTCTATTCTGACAGTCTCTGGCATGCTTTGGTCCCTGGACACCCCCTCTTTATTATCTATTTCACTGGAGTCTATGAAATACCCCTTTGCTATCCCGCCCTTTCTTAAGAGGGCAGTGCCCCCTTATATGGCCAAGCTCACAACACCCAAAGCAAACTCTTTGAGTTGTGTTAGCAGTAGTCTTCCAATTGGCCTTCTTTTGTCCAGCCCCTTCTCCTGGGCTAGTCTTCACCTCATAGCTCATATGTGGGCATCCCTTCTTACTCCTGGGGGGATTCTGCGCTAAAATATTCAAAATTCTGCAGCAAAAAATTCTGCATACTTTGTCAAAATAATGCAATAAAATCACACCAGTTTCAATTGTTTTGGTGATTTTATTTCAACTACAATACAGAAAAATCACAATACTGTTATTCAGCATTTCCTAAACACATGAAAGTTAAGTTACAAACACTCGGTAGCTAATACCCTGCATTCCAGTTATAATCCTAGATTTTCATTTAAATTACATTGCAGAACACCAAACAGGAAAGAAAAGAAAAGTAGAATGTCATTTTAAATTGCTCAGACTTTCACACATGAAAATCATACAGTTTTGCTAATCATCGTTCTGGACCTGGCTGGGTACTTTGGGAAGGGGCTTGGTTCTGATTGTCCTGACATTTTATTGACTGTTTGGTAAATGTTTTATTTGCTCTCAGTCATAAATCCTGAGCTGTAACCTAACCCCACTGTGCCACTTTGGCACAGGAAAAAAGTGAGCACATAGATCTTCCTCGCTGCAGATTCCCTTACTGTCATTTATAATAAGGCTCCTTTATATCACTCTGGCAATGTAGGGGCCTTAAAACTTTCACAGGTTTTATGCTCCTGGGGGAATTGACTGAGAACGGGAACAGTTAACTAATAATAGTGACATTAACATTGTCAGGCTGCTACATTTCTGCCTCAGAGAATGAGATCAATTAACCATCAGCAGCAACTTTAACAGTGTTACTAACTACACAGTCAGGCTGCTAGGGCCTCAGAGAATGAATCAATTCACTGAGGCAGGGCTGCTACATTTGTGCCCCTAGCCTACCTCCTGCAGAATAAAAAGCCCTACCCTTCCATGCCAGTGAGCTGCAGTAGCAAGGGAGAGGGACAGTCTCTCTCAGTGGCACACACATATGCCCAGCCTCCCTCCCTCCCACCCGCCATGGTGATCACGCATGCCTAGCCTCCTCTTCCCCCGCCCCCCAAGGCTGCGCCAGGACGCTGGAACAGATGCGCTACTGGGGAAGAGGCATGTGTTCCCCAGCAGATTTTTTTTTTTGTTGCATTTTTCTGCACAGGGGGCACAGAAAAATGCAGGCCATATGAATTGTGCACCCCCACAGGGGCACAGAATCCCCCCAGAAGTACCTTGTGTAGCCCAGCAAAACATGCCCCTCCTTTTCCTATCCCCACAGGTAGGACTCTTTAGGGCTTTGTTTTCCTGCCTTCTGGGTGAGGCTTCTTGTCCCTGTAGAGGTAGGGGCATTTCCTTTTTTAGGCATATGTAGGCATAAGACTGCTTTGGCTAGCCTCTGGCCTCCTTGCCCTGGCACCTCCCTTCCAATCTCATTCCCTGCAGCCTCTACTAATTTCTTCCCACAGGACCTTAAATAAATACAGGTGCTGTTCAGCCAGCTGTGTCAAATAGTCTTGCAGGTACCCATGTGCCTCCCACTGCCTCTCTTGGTTCTCCAGCACTTGCCTCAGCTGGATCTGTCCCTGCTTTTTGTCAGTCCTCTTCTGCAGGGGTACCGACTCTAGAGTCCAGTCTGGGAGGTTACAAGTGCTCTCTGCAAAAAAGGCTTCTGTGTACTGTGGCTCCATTGTCCCCTCTTTCTGTTATGGCTCTCCACGCGTGCTTGTATGGGTGTGAACACCTTATGCATTCCTTTACAGTCCGCTCAGGTCTCTCAACCTCCCCTTGTATCTGGGTCAATTGTTGCAGAGTCTTTCACACAGGGCCTTGTATCGGGGTGACTCTTTGCCTGGCCACTTGTGACTGGGTTCCTTCACCGCTCGTGGCCATCCTGGGGATTAGTTCTGTCAGGTGCTGTGCCATCCTCAGTGCTCTTTCTACCTGTCGTCTCTCAGTCTGTAGCCTCTCTCGCTCTCGGAGTGGCAGCTTCTGGTTCAAGGCTTGGCTCTTCAGCCAGCTCTCTGAGTTCCTCCCATTCTGGGGAAATCGCAGTCCTTCTGGACCAGCTGTCCAGCTGACATCTCCAATGCCCTGTGGCTGGTAGGGGAACCCAAGCCCGCGCTCGACACTGGGTTCCAGCCTAGGGACTCTATAACATGCAGCCAGGGCGTGTATTGTCTTAGCCCTTGCTGCTGTTTCCCTGGGCTTCTTCCTACTTATCTGGGTTCACACTTCTGTAAAAATCAGAGTGGTTTAGACTTGCAATAAACAAGTCAGACAGTTCAGGGCTAGTTTATAGTGTGGCAGGTATGCATCATGTATTATGAGTAGCATCCATGAGAGTAGGTTTGATACCTTTTCTTAATGTTGTTCTTGTTATGAGTACCACTAAATGATCAAACTGGAGTAGCTGCACCCTGGGTGGAACCTGTAGCTCGAGGAGAGAATTCATGAATGGCACAGCCCTGCAAGGACGCATGTGTGGGGAGGGGATAGAACTATTGTAAAATAAGGGTGCCCAAGTATCAATTTTATGCCTTACCTCCAGGACAAAATGTCACTTCCATGTCGTTTAAAAGTAGAGAGACTTAAAACCAGACTTAAAACCAGTTGTTTACCTGCTGTTGTTGGTGACCACTGAGATGTAGCCGAATGGGCTAACTTTTAACCAATAGATGTGTGACTATGTACTTTCAGATTAAAAAGGTAATCGCATACTTGAGCATGCACGCTAGTCTCTTGCATTAGAACTCCACCTTCCCCTGTCAGCACAGATACAGCACTGCACAAGTGGCTAGTCACTTTCTTGAGACTCAGGTGGTGGGAATTGAGTAGCATTCCCTCTCAAAGCTAGGATAACAGACTGAGAGGATCAACTTTCCAATTCACTCTCTTTTGTATTTAAATGATGCCTGATACTCATATGCTACATGTCACTGTTGGGTGAAATCACTTTCTTCATAGGCTATAGCATATCTCATATGATCAATCAGGGATTAAAGTCTACCTCAATAGATTAAAGTCAGTGTTTTGTGCCCAATAACTAATTGTGTATACAGTTCTATATAGTACCACTTGACTCAGATGAAAGCTGCATGTTATATAGGAACTAAAAGTTGATTAAAGAAAGGATAGGTGCTCATGTGCGTATTACAGCAGCAGTGACTAATTGTGTACTGCATCTGTGGTAGGACAATAGATGTAAAACAAGTCCCTGCTGAGGAACTTCCATGAACTGACACAGGTTGCTTATTTTCAAGAGTTACTCTTTCTCAGCCTTACCAGCCTGTCTTCAACCTAGTCCTTGGGTCAAGCCAGCCATTGCACAGTGAATCAAAGGCTGAACTTGTAAGACATCTCCCGAAGAGTAGCATGGCTGGTAACAGTATAGACACGTATGTGCTGAATCCACTTTTAATAAAATATTCTCTTCAAGTGACAGTTTGTTCTCTTGTGTCCTTCATTCAGAGGGCTGTAGAAAACTTAACTAATGTTAAGCAGAAAGCTTCCTTTCCCCGATCCAAGTTACTAAGATGTAGCTACTTCTACATAGATTCTGCTGTAACACTTGCCTCCTCATTAACTACTCCTAGACTGAGACTAAAGAATCTGTACTAATCTTATTGTAAGGTGAGTTGGTATGAGCTATTTTGTCTGGTAGCTGTCCTTACGCTACCTTCTAATTAAAAGTCATGGAGCTGAATGCCATTAAGTGGAAAAAGACTAGTATTCTTTTCTTCTGCCATTATAAACAATGATCTTCCAAATATAGCTTGCTCAACTTAAGGTTGTCTGATGCTTTCCTCCTGAAGAAATACTTTAAAACACTGCCTATGGCACTATACCATTACTGTAGTGGACAAGATGTTGATTCTTACAGAAGCTATACCTCAGGTAAGAAGTTAATGACAGCACATAATTTGTATGACAGTCTTTTAACACAGCAGTACCCTGGCAGAGTGGAGTTGAGCATCTTTTGTAAGTGGACCGGTGCCCATATGAGCAAGATGTACGGTGGAATGAAAATATTTTCCCTTAAAGCTTCTTAAACTTTGATCAAGTAAAGCACACATAGGTTTGCTACTGTGAAGTTATCTTAAATGGGGCAAGCCTACTCAATTTTGTAATGTTAATGGTGGAGGAAAAAAAGCATCTTTCCTAGCAGGCATTAAGGTCATATACTTGAATAAATTTGGCAGTTGGGTCACAAGCTGCTGTTTTTGTGTACTTGGTTCTGGAAGGAGACATGTTACTCCTCACTTTAGAACTAGCTGTGGACCTTGGCTCAGGATTTTTATCTTTCAGTTTTATTGTAATTATAAAAAACATCTTAGGCCGTTGGGGTGGAGCAGATAGGAGAATTGCAATGTGTTCTAGAAAACTCTCTTTTCTGGAATGTTCACTTAAGTTGGGGCTGAATGCATTTTGCAAATTAACAGTTGTAGACTTTGCCACTGCAAAACAAAGCCTAGATTTAAATATGTATGCATCAGGCCCCAGCACGAGGTGTATACTAGCAACACAGTACTTCAGTCTTTCATTGTGTAAAGCCTGTCCTCTTCCTACACCTTCAGCTGTTGCATCTCTCCAGCGCTAGCTTAGATTGTAAGCTCCTTGAGGCAGGTCTGGATTTTTTCCTGAAGCCTCAAGCACACTCATGCTATTGTATTAGGTAGGAAACAAATATAAAGAAAAAGCAAAAAATATAATCCAGGGAAATGAGTTGGGCAGGGGAGGAGATGTGAGATGACAACAACAGAAGAAATAAGTTCCCAGAGAAACAGTTACAACAGTAACCCCCCTGAAGGGTAATTCTTACATTAGGAAAGCAGTTGGAAAAACTAGATGACAAAGGTAGACATTTAAAAGTATCTAAGATATGAGAACCAAATTAAGATGGACAGCATAGCCAGGCTCGGGCTCTGCAGGTGGCACAGATTGCTGCAACAAAAGAAGCAGTGCAACATGCAGTCCAAAATCACCTGGATAAAATCCCCAACAAATATTTCCAATGCATGCTGGAATAGCGAGGTGCTATTGACACTTTGTTTCCAATGTGTGCTTGTAGCTTAACATGTACCAGGTGGCAGCTGGAATTGCCACAAATATGAAGAAAAAGGATTTCTGGGGCAGCTGGTGTAAGTGGTAAAATCTGCAGCTGTGAAGTCATAACACACAAAAACCCACAACTTGGCTGACAAGATTAGAGTTTATTGCATTATAGCCATTCCAGAACGACACTTTAACCTCTGTCAAAAAAGGCTCAAAAGATGAGTAATCTGAATTGTGAAGAGAGAGAGACTGAGAGCAATAAGGTTCACACAAACAGTTTTATATTCACCATTCTGGGTCACAATTTACTGTAACAAATAGTTTTAAATAGGTTAGAATCCTTTTTATTTTATAAATACTTCATTTCTGTTTTTAAAAAATACAGCTAAGAACAGCCAGATCAAAGCAAGTCAAGTATAAGAATACCATCGAGGGTTGTAGAATTGTAATTTACATTTGTCATTAGGCACACATTACATTGATACAATAAAAAATTCCTCCCTAACCTGATGAATGGTGGTCACTTGCTATATTTCAGCAAAAGATTTCATAGCAGAAGCTAGAGAGGTCTGCTATCATCAAGATTTCATTTTTTAAAAACAAAACAGGACAGTTCATTTACTATGAAATTGTAAAATTTAAACTGCAATCGACAAAGTGCATTTTCTGATGTGTTCTTGCTTTAATTTTTTCCCTTAGCGTCTTATTTGAAAAAGTCAGTCATTTCCAATGGGTTTCCAGCCATTACTGCAAAACAGTAAGGTTCTGGTAGAAGTACTTCTAGCAATTCGTATTTATATTTGCTTTGTACAGTTCATGGTCTAAAGTCCTTGTCGTCATCGTCCTGCATTTTCCATTCAGCCTGTTGTCTGGCTCTCAGAGCCAGTGCAAGGGTCTCAGAAATCGCCGGTCGGTGTCCTTCTGAGTCCGCTTTTAGCAAAGGAAGTAAAATTGATTTGGTGAGTGCACATATAACGTTAGCCCTCCATTTGTCAGGAAGTGCCTATGCTGTTAAATTAAACCATCTCTCAAGTACAAGGAAGATGCATGTGTGTGCAAGCCAGATCAAGCTCATGTGTGAGATTCTATGCCTGCCTTGCTTCTGGCTGTGTGAAGGTTTCTAGGCCACCATACACACTTAATAACCCTCTTTGAAATGCAAAGTGAAGTACATCCCTTACTGTGAAACAGTATTCCCTCCAGACCTACTCCCCTAAGAGGACATGAAGTTTCATTTGTTTCAAGGAATTCACTTTTCAGGTACAGATAAATCTTCTGCCACATTTCAAAAGTAGCCACTGATTTTGGATGCCCCATCACATTCTATGACACAGCTTGGGCCTGATTTTCAGAGGCGCTAAGCTCACACAGCTCCCGTTGAATCAAGTAGAGCTAAGGGTGTACCAAAGTGGAGCCCAAGATGTAGAGTTGAGCACTCAAAAACTGAGACATGAAAACCCAATGTCCGCTTCTGAAGATGTTAGCTTTAATGGCCTATTCTGATTATTTGTTCCTGCCCTTCATCGGAGGAAGACAGAATTCTGCAGCCATTTTGGTGCTTTAACCTACTGCATTTCAAAATCTTACTGAGCTGAACTTCTTCGAGTTGTTTTCTCTGTGTTGAGAGTTATTACTTACCAGGAGAAAGGCCAGTCTTTTCTGGTATCCCAGCAGAGAAGGACTGAAAACAAAATTCATAGTAAATCAGAATATTTACTTCCATGTGTTCCCACCAATATGCCTGTTACCTTTATGTTTAAAAGCAAACTTTGATCACTTAAACGTATCCTTTGCTTCTGCCAACCTTATGTGGCTTTGTGAAGAACTAGTTGGGTTTTGTTCTGAAAGCTTTTCTTGCTACATTTTTATATTAAAAATAGTTTTTGAGGTGGGTGGATAGTGGTGTCTGCAAACTGCGGAGGTCCTATTATCATCACAACATCCAAATGAAAACTACTATGTTCCATACAAGTACCCTTCTTGGCTGGCTTATCATACCTCAGCATAGAAGTCTCTTCCATTTCTCCCAAATGGCCTTTCTAGGGAGGCTGTCATTTGCAGAGCAGCTTGTCTAGATGGCTGGTACAAAGATGAACTCCTCTGGAAGAGAGCACATCAGATTACTATCAGAGGCTCGTTCACCTGCACATCTACCAATGTGATATATGCCAACATGTGCCAGCAATGCCCCTCTGCCATGTACATTGGTCAAACTGGACAATCTCTACATAAAAGAATAAATGGACACAAATCAGATGTCAAGAATTATAACATTCAAAAACCAGTCGGAGAACACTTCAATCTCTTTGGTCACTCGATTACAGACCTAAAAGTGGCAATTCTTCAAAAAAAAACTTCAAAAACAGACTTCAAAGAGAGACTGCTAAATTGGAATTAATTTGCAACTGGATACAATTAACTTAGGCTTGAATAAAGACTGGGAGTGGATGGATCATTACACAAGTAAAACTATTTCCCCATGTTTCAGAGTAGCAGCCGTGTTAGTCTGTATTCGCAAAAAGAAAAGGAGTACTTGTGGCACCTTAGAGACTAACAAATTTATTTGAGCATAAGCTTTCATGAGCTACAGCTCACTTCATCGGATGCATTCAGTGGAAAATACAGTGGGGAGATTTATATACATAGAGAACATGAAACAATGGGTGTTTCCACTGAATGCATCTGATGAAGTGAGCTGTAGCTCACGAAAGCTTATGCTCAAATAAATTTGTTAGTCTCTAAGGTGCCACAAGTACTCCTTTTCTTTTTGCGAATACAGACTAACATGGGTGCTACTCTGATGCCTACGACTGTAGCTGTTCTGTGGATACTGTTCCTCCCAAGCCCCAGGTAGGTAAAATGTGCCTATTCTCAGCACTCTGTTCCCCCCAGCTCCACCTGCGGTGTGTTTTGGCACCTACATTTGAAAGGGGACTAGCTAGGTCACAGGCAAATGCATATTTGGAAGCTATTAAAATTTTCCTAGGTGTTAGGGAGGGCTATTTGCTCACATCCTCACTCCAGGACTGCTCATGTTGGCAGATGCCCTGTCACCAGGCAGTGCTCGTTCACTGTAATTGCTCACTTAACTCTAAAGTGCACACATTTCTCTCAGAGCGTTAACTCACAGCCAGTCATCATAAGATGATGAACCTTGCTAGATTTCTACATGTCCTGGATTCAACTTGGCTGGAAATACTAGGAGAACCAGCATCAGAGATGTGATTTTTTTTTTAATTTTTTTTTTTTAAAGACATCATCTTCCAAGTCTCCAAAAAGGTTCAATTTGACTTTGGTGTCTTGTTTTCCTCCAAAGAGGTTCATCCAACTCCTGGGTTGCCCTATGCATCTCTCTTGGCGGAGAACGGGTCATATGACAGTGTTTTTATGTTATTGCCCTCAGAGCTGATCAATTCTAGATGCCTTTAAAAAAAACAAAAAACACAGCAGGAAGAGCATGATACAGCCTACAAGAGAAAAGCGGCTCTCGGGGAGTAGAAGGGTGGGGTGCCCTGTCTGTATAATATATGAATAATAAAGAACGCACATGTAACTCTATCAGGGACAAGGTTGTCCAGCTCAGGCAGAGGTACATGTTTTCAGAAGGTCTAAAAAAAAAAAAATCTTGGTGGATTCAATCCCTGATTAGCCCGAATCTACCCATGAAGGTAGGATGCTGAAAGCAGAGGGAAGCCCCAACACAGAGTTCAATCCTACCCCAAAGTAATCAGTAGAATTTTCACTATTAGACTTTAATGGAAACAAGGAGCACAGTGCACTGGGGAGAGAAAAGAAAAATAAAAAATCTCCTTCTGTGAAGCACTGAGCGAGGCTATTCCTGCCATCACAAGTTAGAGAACAGCCCTCAAAACATTTTATAGAATCATAGAAATCGCAGGGCTGAAAGGGTCCTCGAGATGTCATCTAATCCAGTCCCCTGCGCTAAACCAGGACCAAGTAAACTTAGACCCCCCAACAGGTGTTTGTCTAACCTGCTCTGAAAAATCCTCCAGTGGCAGGGATTTCACAACCTCCCTTAATACCCTTTTCCAGTATTTAACAATCCTTATAGTTTGTCTCACCACAACCTCCCTTGGTGCAGATTAAGGCTATTACTTCTTCTCCTCCCTTCAGTGGACATGGAGAACAAATCAGTCACCATCCTCTTTATAACAGCCCTTAACATATTTGAAGACTTACTAGGTCCCCCCAACTTGGCTTTCTTTTCTCAGGAATAAACAGTTTTTTTTAAACCTTTCCTTGTAAGTCGGGTTTTCTAAACCCTTTCTCATTTTTGTTGCTCTTCTCTGGACTCTCTCCAATTTGTTCACATCTTTCTTAAAGTGTGGTGACAAAAACTGGACACAATACTCCAGCTAAGGCCACACTGGTGCCAAATAGAGCAGAGCAATTACCTCTCGTGTCTTACATATGACACTCCCGTTAACATACCCAAGAATTATATTAGCCTTTTCTGCAGCTGTATCACATTGTTGGCTCATATTCAATTTGTGATCCACTACAACCCCCAGATCCTTTTCAGCAGTACTGCTTCCCCATTTTGTACTTGGGCAAATTGATTTTTTTCTTCCTAGGTGTAATACTTTGCACTTGTCTTCACTGAATTTAATCTGTTGACTTGAAACCCATCGTGCAATTTATTAAGATCATTTTGAACTCTAATCCTGTCCTCCAAAGTGCTTTGAGTTCATTAGCTCAGGGACAGGCATCTCCAGCTGGCTTGGAGATGATGCAAACAGGTCTGCTTAGGCAGGTCAGTACCTTTTATTCAAGAATTGGTGCTACAAAGTTTTATTTGGCTTCTGTCTCCATCTCGTGGAGATATTGTGAAATAACAATAGTGCTTTTGGCATACACTGTACAGAACCTTTTGTTAAGTAATCTCAATGACAGGTGAATCTCATAACCCCCAATTTACAGATCGGGAAACTGAGGCACTGATGTAAATTACTTGCCCAAAGCCACCCAGCAAGTCAGGAACAGAATTCAGATCTCAGTTCCAGTTCCTTGCTCTTACCACTATGCTATGCTGGTGGTCTCTCTCCTGTTTTCTGGATTGGCATATTTGGCCCTCTAGAGTTACATTGACAATTCATCGGTTACCACAAAAATCTTTTATTGCTTTCGATACAAATAACTAGGTGGAATAGAAGAGAACTGTGCATTGCAGAGGAAAGACATCAGAGCTTGGGCAGCTGCACTAGAAGCTGTAGCAAGTGGCCTGCTCTGTCTATGCTGCTTGAGAATTTGGATGCACTGAGCTTCCTGAGATAAAAAGAGTTTATTTTCTTCTTTGTGTCTTTGGTCTCTTTTCCTTTGTTTACTCTTTTACTATCTTTTTAGCTTGCTTCCCTTTCTTTCTGGTGGCTTTGTGGGGGGTGACATAGGAAGAGAGGGGAATCTGTAAAGAAAAGCAGAATGGCTGTAACAGAGAAACAAGTGGTCTTAGCATTAAAGACCCCAGAGGAGAGTTTTGAAGATACAGCATGTGATTAACCAGCACTTGAGACCAGCACAATGGTAAAAAGAAATTAGACAGGAATATTCCTGTCTTATTTCAGAGCTCCATGCATCTATCCCAGCAGGATACTGAGTGACAATACACAACCAGCAGGTATAGCATATCAACATCAGAACAATTCTCCCAGGCTGAATCCGCTCTAGGGACGGACTCTTACCTTGGCCTTGTCTAGGCTAGGAAAAAAGGGTCCTTTTTTCAAGTCAAATTAACTCAGCTGAGCTCATTTAAAGATTGAAAACCCCAGTTCAGGCTAACCATGACCTATTATATTCCAGCCAAAAGGTATTAAAAACTGTCCACATTCATGTTGAATGGGGTTTTCTGTGGAGTAATAAGCTCCTGTGACCTAGCTCAGTTGACGGTGAAGGGGAAAGCACCTTTTCCCCTAGTCTATAGGAGGCCTGAGAATGGATGAGCCCTTTTGCGGGTGTGACACCACATCTCTGTTAGGAAGGTTTTACCTATGGCTTTGTAAACACCAACAGGGAGATTGTCTTTACTTGAGATTTTTACCTTAGGCTGATCCCCCAGGTAAGTTAGAAGTGCATTGGCATTGTCCAGACTAACCTTTGCAAAGGTGTTAACAACTAGAGTGGATGTACCCCAAAATGGTGATTGATTTATAAAATCAGTAGTTCATAGATAGGGTTCCCTTCTGGCCTTATGATTATTTATCTAAAGAATGTGAACATGGAAACACCCACGCCTTTGAACTGACCTCTTGTTGTTCTCCTTTTGGTGGGCCTAGTTTTGATGTCTGCAGTGCACTTAGTTTATTAAGCAAAAACATTTTATCCTTTCCTTCCTAGAATAAAGAAAAAAAATGAATGTTAGTAACTTGAGTGTGCATATTAGTCCTAATGCAATCGCAGGGCTTGTCTACACAGGGAAATTGACCAGGATAGCAATTACAATCGAAGTGGAATAATTGTGGAATAAAATCACATTTATTCCAGAATATCATGTCCACACAAGAGTTATGCTGGCACAGCTATAACAGAAATTGACTGGCATATGTATAGCAGAATAATTTCCCAGAGTAGATCAGACCCAAGTTATTCTAACTCCATTAGTCAAAATTGTTATCTCTAGGTGGGCTGTATCCCCAAAGGTTTACTGAGGAGGCGGGGAGAGAAGCAGCCTGAAGCATTAGCTTTCCCAAAGCCAGCTGAGAGAATGCAGAAGAGGGAGTTGTTATGCATATAGTTACTGTCTCAAATCCTGCAGGAATCTGATTAAACAGATTACGTAGCTACCCTGCAGGGGAAGTGGGGGGGGGGGGGAGATGAAAACATCTCCTCCAGCTGCAGGCAGACAGACAGGAAGCCTGCAGTGCAGCCCCTCTGCAGTCACTGCTCTAGCCAACAGGCTGTATCTTTCTGCCTCCATCAGGGTGGTCTGGGCCACTAGAACAGATCCAGTGGTGCCCACATATCAGTACATTCGGAGCCAGCATGGAGCCCACCTCCCTGGCACATGATAATTCTTATTCTTGCGCCCAAGGAGCATACACAGGACCTTCGCCAACTGCTGAATTTCACCCAAGATCACTTCTACACAGACTTGACATGCAGAAAATAGGCCCCACATCCCAGCTTCAGAAAGTGAGTCAGCTCTGGCAGCTCCTGCCCTCTCCCTAGCAAGCCCGCCAGCTCTCCAGACTAACCAAATCCTGCTTAGCCCAAAGTCTCAGGGATGAGGGCGCATGACCCAAAACTTTCACACAACTCAAGGTGCTACTCTAAGTCTGTCTTTATTGTCACAAAAGCCTTTGGAATGATGAACTTCAGACCCCTCCTCACACATACCAATCAAAAAGCATAAAAATAATATTTACGAAAGTAAAACTAATTGTACTTTTATTTTCACAAAGAAAATAAAGCAACTGCTCTATGGTGTTTTTTACAACACCCAGGCTTTACTGTCCTATTAGACATTAGCATTAATGGGAATGGCATTTGCACTGAGAAGACTATACCCACCAATGCAATTTCTGTCTATTTAGAAACCAAATCTAACAAAGACACACAGTTTGCAGAGCTGGATCAGACTATTAATCCTGAAAGTACCATAGCCTGACACCTAGCCATCTGACACCACACCTCTGCGGAAAGCAAAGCATCTCCTTGCTTCAAGTAATGCCTCTGACAAATTATGTAATGCTCTGCATAACCTTAAAATAAACTGCATACAGAGTTGATTAGTCAAGTGTATGTAGGGAGATATTTTCCTCTTCGCACTTGTGCGAAAACAGAAACCTATCTGCGTGCACGCGTCGTATGCAACAGACATGGGGAAACCAGCTAGCGTGTTTGCTGCCTGTTTTTTTATTTAAATAATAGAAACCTGAAAAACAAACTTACATTAATAATTTGCTCGTGCAGGAGTCTGACCATTATCTTTCTTCCTTCTATGATTTGCCAGTAAAGATATGTGATCATTCTGAAAGGAAAAGAAAGTTCAGAGCAGAAGTATTTATTTTGGGTGATGCTTCTCTTCCAAATAACTGCCAAACAAGAAGAGCTCTTGTTCATTTTACACAGTGATTATTTGTAAGTAATATGCAGTATTATAAAAGATATTACCTCACCCACCTTGTCCCACTTATGAGTAATGGCAGGCAAATACTAAATGGGTCAGAAGTTCTATTGGGAAAGACCCAAAGCTCTATGGGCTCTTACACAGATACAAGGCAGGCAGGTCAACACCACAAGGTACCTTTTAGTTCTAGACAGGAATCCATTGTTTTCAACCAACCTTGTACCAGTTCTTGGCACCGTCCCTCCCCTTCCCCTGCCAATTCATGAACCTTAGTAACTATCACATAGAGGCAAATCCTGGTTCCACTGGCATGTCTTGGAGTTTTGTTATTGATTTTTTTATGGGATTAGGATTTGACTCTTAGAAGGGAATGTGATTGGACTATGAGACTGGGAGCAATGACTCCTATCTACTATTCCCAATTTTCCTGCTGACTTATGGAGTCTTGGGCAAAACCCGTAACTGCTTTGGGAGAGCTTTTCAAAGGCACAAATGGCAGTTAGGTGCCAATGGGAATTACGTGCCAAAGCCAGGTCTCTACTAGGGCCAAATCTACACTAGAAGTGCTTTGCTGGTGTGTGAGAATGCCAGTATAAAATAGCAAAGAGCTCCTAATGCAGATACAGCTATACCAGCCTACCCATGCTTTGTTCCGGTACAGCAGTTAACCAAGCTTGTCAGGTAAAAAGCACAGTGTCACTGGTATAACTGCACCTACAATAGGGGCTTTTTCTGGCACAGGCTGTGCTAGTTACAAATCACACCCCTGACTGACATAGCTATGCCAGCAGAAGTCTGTAGCACAGACATAGGCCAGGTCTAAACTACAAAGTTTTGCGGGCATAGCTACATTGGTTGGAAGCATGTGGAGGTGGTGGGATGGGGGGGAGGAGGGGGAAGAGGAAATCACACCCCTAACTGACAAAGCTCTGCCAGCAAAACCCAGTGAAGATGCAGCTTATATCAGCAAATGAACTCCTTTTGTTAATATAAGCTGCATCTCTGGCACTAAAGGGCTTTGCAGTGTTGGCCCACAGCCTAGTAAAAGTTTACCAGTGCCAGCAACCCAAACAAACCCTCTATACTGGCATAACTTATACTAGTTCCTCGAAACAAAAGAAGCTATGCTAGCAAAAGGACCCCCTTCCCCTGCCACCCATAATTGCATCTACACTAGGGCTTCTGCTGGTATAAAAATGTCACCAAAAATAAATCACCCTCTAATCAACGTTACTATACTGGCAAACGTTCATAGTGTAGCCCGGCCTGTCATTTGGGTCTTTGTAAATCTGCCCCCTTTACTTATCAATTTGCTTACCTTTCAAACTGGAAGAACAAACCATTCTATCAGTTGTACCCAAGATGATTTGCTTATTTTGTAAGTTTAAGTGCACTAGTGGGAAGAGGCTTTGTAAATCTGGATACCCAATGAAGTGGGTGTACTTGAAGAATGGTCTCTCATAAGGCTAGAGTGAGGTTGCTTTGTAAAGAGCTCTGAGCACCTCATATAAAATGGAACAAATTGTCTTTGCGTCTCTATTCACATACCACAAATTCTCACTAAATTCCAATAGATTTATTGTTTCCACCAATGAAGCTTTAAAATGTCCTTTGCATTTTCATCACAGAAAATGATCACCTCATGAAGAAGTTTCCCTCACTTTCTCCACCCCACCTAGTTTCATTTATGGACACTTACAGGACGATGACGGTGAGGATAAAGAAGAAATGCACACTTCCAATTAAGTTACGATAAATCCACACCACCCATTTCGAGCCAGAATAGCTGTCCAATATATGTATCCACCCAGAAACAGCATCAATTATGGAGGTCAAGCCTTGGAACGGACCACACTGGTTTGAAGGCGTCCGCCTGGAAAAACAAGACAAAGTATATTTTTTAAAAAGTGCTAGTTCATCTCCTCTGGGCCTCTGTACCCTCACCTTGGGGTTAGTTACACCTGTTGCCGCTGAGTACTAGGTCTTCTTGGGAGACTGCCTGAAGTTCAACTCACTAAAGTGTAACTGCCTGAGCAAATCTTAACTGATAGAGGGCTTGCTGCATGTCTGTGTTTGAGTTTTTACACTGGTTGTTGGATCATATTAAAGAAGTTCTATATTAAAATCACAAATGAGTTTGATTCCCCAGAGTTTAAATTCCAGGGTATTACTAATTAAGAGGTCTCTTGGTTTTTGGTACTGTTTCTCTCCCTCTATGTGTGAAACTTGCAAGCTGCTAATAGCGTTAGTACATTCTAAGACAGAGTCTGTTCTCAAAGCAATTCACACAGAGAGAGACTCAAAGCAATACTCTGTAACAACAGAAACAGAACCCAGAGACTCCCCGCCCTTTTGTTGGATTAACAATTGTGATTAAAACAGAGATAGAGGATGTATGTGGATGGATGCTTGGTGTGGATAATAACTGAACGATCAGGGAGGTGCCAGCCTAAGAATCCAGTGTCCATCGGCTGAAGAAGGCATCAAGTGGAAATAACCAGAGGACCCCCAAAGGGCAGACTGGAATCCACCCAACAGCCTCAAGAATGGGAGAACCAAAGAACAAGATAACATCTGGCAGCACGGAGCCATCAGGAATGTGCCATCTGCTGATTGATTCAGCAACAGCATGATGAAGCAATTCCCATAGACTGGCATAGGAAGAAATTCCTATAAAAATAGACTCTAGAAAGTGAGAACTTTGGGGTCTGATTCTGCAAACCAACTTCCAGGAGCATCAGATGTGCATCTGACAAGCCCCTGCTCCCTCCTCATGTCCAGGCCACCTGGCCAGTGGCTTGGCATGAGCAACTCTAAGGCTCGTAACTATGATAACAACCTTGCAGAACCTGTGTGTGTGTGTTTGTATGAATGAATGTGTGAATAAATATGAGATTGAATGGAATGTTATAGCTATAACTAACTGCTTACTATGATTCTTTCTGTATTCACAATAAATGTGGTATTTTGCCTTTTTCCCTTTAATAAGATCCTGCTGGTTTTTAATTTATTGGTATAACATGTTGACTCCCCGGTCGATAGCATGGGCCCACTTGACTATCTGAGCAGAGACACAAGACCCTCTCACAGTAGATCAGTGGGCAGCACTGCCTTTCAGGTGCAAATCTCTAGCTAGTTATAACAAGTTAATTGCCATAGTAGAGGCTCCATAGATTTTGCAGTAAACTTATGAATGTAAGAAACCATTGCTTTTACAGATGCATCATGCATGCTTAATAAAAACCACAACACCACCACCTTGTTCTTCCGCCCCATTTTTGTAGAAGAATATTCAGATACGATTTTTGGTAAAAACAGGATGTGACTCAGCCCCTAGAAAAAGGAATAATTTTCAGACTAAAAATAAAAAGGTCTTAGCATTCATGAAATAGGTTAATAAAGGTTTCTGTTTGTGATAAGGTGGATAGTTTGGTTTGCAGAGATCGGAAAGGAGCCAAGCCATGCAAGTCTGAATTCAGTGAAACCTCCCAGTGTTTATGAAGAACTATTAGGAAACATCCCACTTGAACCCGGATTTCTGGGCCTGCCCTTGATCTTAATTCACTTTTTGGTAGCTAGCAAGTGAGGCTGCTGTACTGGGGTGAGAACTGCAAGAGAGAAGAGGAAATGGGTTTGTCACAGAAACTTCTGAGAGAAAGAGAGGAGGGAGAGCCAGACTGTGACAGCAAATGCTTCATGTAATAACCAAACTAAACTCAAGCTGCCAAACAGAGGTTTGTAGCTCATCTGATTTTTCTTATAAGAGTTTTCTGCCTCCATACATCTTGCACTGTTTCTTGGGCCTCCTTTTGTTCCTCCAGGTAGGAGAGCAGAAGTGAATGTAGGGAAAATGGACAAACAGGAATAGCAGCTTCTATCTATCATACCTACATGGCTCCCATTACCATCGTATCTGAGTGCCTCACGCAGTCTTCAGTGCATTTATCATCACACTACCCTGTGAAGTAGGGAAATTCCACTCTCTCTCATTTTACAGATGGGGACCTGAGGCAAAGGGACACTATATGACTTGCCTGAAATCACACAGGACATCTGTGGCAGAGGAAAGAAATGAACCTAAATTACTCACATCACAGGCCAGTACCAGCCTTCCTCTGCTTCCTTCTCATCCCTCAGACCTTTGGGGGAAGCCGCACGGTCTCAATTTCCACTCTCTTTCAAAAGCTGAGCACAGCTTTCAAGAGATTAACTTAAACTCTGTGAGTTTGCAGTAGTGTTCTTCAGAGTCCTGAACAGTTTATGAGCAACACTCGAAAGCTTTCAGTGGAAGAAAATGCAGATTTTTCTTTACTATGTATTAAAATATCTCTACCCTGTTTGGTTTCTGTGAAAAGTGTAATTCAGTTTGGAGATAGTGAAGACTGAATGCTGAGGCTCTTTCCTACCTCCAGATAGTGACCGCCATTACAGCCAAGACTCCAGTAAAGGAAGGGAAAAACAGCAGAAAAATGAAGAGCGTTGTCATCTGAGAAGCTCTCCAGACTTTGCGAGGTGGTTGACAATTCCTCATTAGACTGACCTTCAAAAAAAAGATGCACACACACAGATGGAGTTGTGTTACATGCCACTTAAATACCTGTGTTTCAGTCAATCCCATTGAAATTCCTAGCAAATTCATAGGAATAGCATTCATCAACAGTTTCCAAACAGCACTTCCAGCAACAAACATACTACATCATTATAAAGTACAGCCTTTCAAATAGTGAGAGGCAAAACTGGATTCTGTTGGTCAGGATTTTGAAAACCAGACTAAAGGGCATTTCACCTGAACCCCAAAGTTCAAGGGAGTTTTGATCAATGGTACAATTCTACTTTCAAGACCACAAAACATTTAATATTTGTTGAGTTTGAGAAGGACTCAGCGGAAGTCAACTCTACTTTCAAGACCACAAAACATTTAATATTTGTTGAGTTTGAGAAGGACTCAGCAGAAGTCAACTGCTCCTATATGCTATGGCAGTAGACTCAGGTGGTCTATACTTACAATTTAGAAAAATTTAGCTACATTGCTCAGGGGTGTGAAAAAATTCACACCCCTGAGCGCCGTAGTTAAGCCAGCCTCGCCAACTGGTATAGATGTGGCTAGGTCGATGGAACAGTTCTTCCACTGATCTTGCTACTGCTGCTTGGGGAGGTGGATTGCCTACAAATCAACAGAAAACCCCCTTCTCTCAATGTGGGATACATTACAGCCTCACAGCTGCAGCGGTAGCACTCATAGTGTAGACGCAGTCTAAGTGTTCAATTACTGAAAATAGTATGGTCATGCATACAACTAGGGGGGGGGCTTCTGGTTTTGGCTGGTGTGTGTGTCACACCCACCCACCCAAGCTTTCATTTCACTACTTCATTCTCTCCACCTGACACATTTTGCCTTTAACCTCTCTTTTTGCCCCCCAAAGAGCTTTTTCTGCAGAGGCAGTACATAGATACAGTATCATTCAAGGCTCCTGACAGTAACAATCCATGTTTCGAGAACCTGAAGCTTCCACCTTGCTCCTGAAAACTTAGGTAAGAATTTGCTCTTGCTGAGATGTTGGACTAGTTAGAGTTCATGGTTCTTGAAGAGAAAATATAAAGCTCCTTACCTTTTTTACATAAAATATTATAAAAAATGATATAATCTGCACGGCTGGCATTAAAGGTGCGAAGAAGATGCCAATCCTACAAGAAAAAAAAAAAAAACGTAGGGGAGAAAGAGTCCAAAAATGTATGAGAACTCAGTCTTTGGTTTTTACTGCATGGTATGAAAGTAGAATATATTTGGATAAAGTTATTATAATATTAATATTGTTAAATGTAACAATAAGCAAACCTTGCTACTAGATAAATTAACCTTTTTAAAAATTATACTTAAAAATAAAGCAAAACATTTTATTACACCCTCCCCTTGCAATATTCTTTTAGAATCTGGAAAACAATTTCCTTCCTTATTATCAAAAAGAACAGGAGGACTTGTGGCACCTTAGAGACCAACCAATTTATTTGAGCACGAGCTTTCGTGAGCTACAGCTCACTTCATCGGATGCATTCATCTGATGAAGTGAGCTGTAGCTCATGCTCAAATAAATTGGTTAGTCTCTAAGGTGCCACAAGTACTCCTTTTCTTTTTAGATAAGCTATTACCAGCAGGAGAGTGGGGTGGGAGGAGGTATTGTTTCATGGTCTCTGTGTATATAATGTCTTCTGCAGTTTCCACGGTATGCATCCGATGAAGTGAGCTGTAGCTCACGAAAGCTCATGCTCAAATAAATTGGTCGGTCTCTAAGGTGCCACAAGTCCTCCTGTTCTTTTTGCGAATACAGACTGACACGGCTGCTACTCTGAAACCTTCCTTATTCTGTCGCTCATCGGACAGACTCCTTCCCTCCTTGTTGCTAACACCATCTGATATTAGAAGAGCTTCGACGGTGATGCTACTTCAGTAGGGAAGTAAGACATAATATCAAAGACCCAGGATGCTCCTTCTACAACCCCCTTCCACCCCCAAGTTTTCAGTTGTGGCCAGAAAGACAACTACTTTGTGTAGGTGCTGCATAAAGTCACTGTTATTAGTTTTATTTCAATTCCACAGCAGTGGCGCTGGAACATTTTTAGTAGTGGGGGTGCTGAAAGCCAGCCCCCTTGCCCCCCCTTGCCCCCACTGCGGCTGGGAGCAGGATGGTGTCTCCAGGAGGGGGGCACCCAGACAGGAGTAAGGGGGCCGAGGCCACAGCTAGGGGCAGGTGTGGGGCCAGGAGCGGAACCCCAGGCAGGGGCCGGCAGCCAGGACCCCACGTGCAGGGCCAAGAGCAGGGCCCCAGCTGTGGGGATGGGCATGGGGCCCCTGGAGTGGAGCCCTAGGAGCGGGGCCCCAGGTGGGGGGCAGGCCCCAGGAGCGAAGGCCTGAGAGCAGGGGGTAGGGCTGGGCATGGGGCCAGCGGCTGGGGAGCCAGGCCAGCAGCCAGGGCCCCAGGAGCAGAGCCCTGGGCGTGAGGCCAGGTGCGACACCTCGGGCACAGGGCCAGCAGCTGGGGAGTGGGGCCAGCGGCTGGGACCTGAGCCCCAGGTGAGGTAAGGGGTTGGGGAATGGAGTGCGGGCGGAGGGCTGGGCCAAGCATAGGCACAGGAATCACCCCCAGGTTTTTGCTCAGAGGCAGTGGCTGGGGAGCGGGGTGCAGGGCCAGCGGCCTCGCATAAAACCTGAGGGTGCTGCAGCACCCCACCCCTACTTCCCACGCCTATGTTCTACAGAGTGGGGGATGACAAAAAACAGGAGATGGGAGTGCCTTTAAGTTACAATTTTAATAAAAGGTAGGTTAAAATGTCTTTCTATCGAGGTTTTTATACCATTGTGGTAGCCAAGCTCTTGTGAAAGTGGTCACAGTTCAGGGCAAATGCATCTGTATTCCCTTTCCGTGGTTCACCATGGGACCCGCTCTAGGCTCCCAGCTCCTAGCCATCGCCTCTCCTGGGCAAAGACCCATGTCTCTCTCCCTCCTGACTGGCCTGTTTCCAGGCTGCACAGTCGTTTGCCTACACTAGCAAGCCAGACTGCCTAAACAGGCCTCTGTCTGTGCTTTGCTTTCTTGCTGAAGGCTGTGACCAGTGTATTGCCAGCAGTTACAGATTACCACACAGCTCTTTATAAGCAAAACACACTTATTCTTAAGGTGAAAGCATTACAGAGAAAACATATTAAAAACAATAAAGGAGTCTACACACCTGCTAATAAGCTTTAATCTCCCCCCGCCCCAGAGATCATTCCCAACTCCAACAATGGCTCTGGTAAGAGTCAGTCCTTCAAACCCCACAGAGAGTTTTCCTGCGGTTACAGGTTCATAGAAGCCTTAGCTCAGAACTAGCCGACCTAGGAATAGGTCAGTCCTTCCTTTATACAGCTTGGGCCTTTGATCATGAGACTCGGGAAGAATAATCAGGAAATAGGGTGTAGCTTCAAAAGACCAGGTTACATACAATCCTGGCCCACAATAATAGATCAATCATTCATTTAATACAATGAACCCTAAGCTACTTAAACTTAATTCAATGAGGTCTCCCAGGGCAATTTCCTGCCATATCCTTATCCATTGCAAACGTCATCATCAGGCTGTTTTTCATAGTGCCTCTCTAGGAATAAATAATAATATCTTATAGCAAGTATGAATGAAAACTCATCACTTACCAGGCCAAAGTCTGTGTGTAGATCAAGTCTAAAACATTTCGTGCAATATCAAATTCTGGCACTCCAAGTTTTTTGCAACATTTAGTTCCAATGATTCTGAAAATGACACAAAATCATTAACTACAGAACTGCAACAATCTTTAAAGGAAATTCCTGCATATAAGTAACAATAACTAACTATATGTGGATCTATATTAATGGTGTATTATGCAAAAGTGTGCACTGTTTGTCAGTTAGGCAGCAAATGGAAGAATAAGCACATATATGTGTTTGGAAAAATACTGATGTTCATGAATATGCTGCATGGATGACAGAAGCCAAAGAACATTTTTCATTTGCGCCAAGAGTTATGCTATATAGGATGAAGCAGCTAAAATGTAAATGTGAAAACACTTCTCTTTCAGATAATGGGTACAAACTGAGCATTAATTTAAATGTTGACATCAAATCAGTAAGGATGTAATCTAGAAATCGCACTCACCTTCGTACAAATTCTCCAAAGAAAGAGCCAAACAAGCAAAATATGAAGTCAATCACAATGAGACGGTAGATATCTTGGCCAACTAGACTTTCCCAGCACTTTAAGAGAGAAAAATAAAGGGTGTATTTAATTCAAATCCTTCTGTCTAGTGTTTGAACTTCCGGATCCTGATCCAAAGCTCATTGAAAGACAAACGGAAAAACTTCAGGAGGCTCTGGCTCAGATCCTTGTTCACTCTAGTTTCCCTCCCCCTCAGACAGCCTTCCAAAACAACCCCAGTGAGGATATAGCTCAAAAATGTGCTAAGATCCAGTACAACAGAGTTCATCATTGTCTCTGTCTATAGAGTGAGCTACAGCTAGTTCTGACCTACGCCGGATGAATAATGTCATTCTATGACTTTTTTCCCCACAACAATTGTTTCTCCAAAGATTCCTGGATCCAACTGAAGAATGTCAAGGCCACAATTCCTTCCCTCTCCTAAGAGCCCTCTGCACCTGGGCTATAAATTTCATTACAACAGTCTGTCATCTTTCCCATACCTTTTCCTCCACTGATCACATATTTCCCGATGTTTAGACAAAATATTATGGAAGTGTTTTAAGGCTAATTCCTGACCACGTGTTTTATGGCAAAGTTTTGTACACATGAGGGATTAAAACTTTACCTCTTTCTCCGATGTAGCCACATCGTTAAGCCAGTAGTAGCAGAGGATTCCAATTATTGATATTTTCAGAAAAATATTTCTACAAAGAAGAAGTAACTATATTGATTCCTGTTAAACAAACATGGAGGGATGTGACATCAGTAGCACATCACTCCTTTCCAATGCATTTGATTCTGTGAAACAAATGTTGCAAGTGAGATGTGTGACGTTCCATGTGGGAGAAAGGCAGCAGTATTTGCACACTGTCCTACACTAGGGATGTCAGCTTTGAAGTATGGTGCAGCTCCCCTTGGCCAACTTTAGAAGACACTCTCAGTGGAGCACGGATGTTGGTACCTTGTACTGCTGTAACCAACCCTCCCTCCATTTTCCATCTTTCCCGCACTGGGGTCTGCACCACAGGCTGAGCAAAGCCCAGCGTACCAGGATATGCCTGGAAGAGAGGGAAACAACACCTTTGCCTCCACCGAGGCTGTGGCACTGTAGCGAGCGCCGAGTACATAACAGGCAGCGTTAGAGGTGGAGTCACAAGTCCTTTGAATGAAGTGACTGCCCTGATGCTTTCAGTACTCTTTTGTCATGGGCCTTACCGTCGACAGAAAAAGTGCAGCCAGCTTCAGGCAGCTCGTGCGGCTAACTAGGAGAGGATGGCGCTGGATACCTGATAACTGTGACGTAGAGCTGATGTCTGGGATACTGGAATTTCTCTAGGAGTCCAAACAAGGCGAAGCAGAAGGGGACGAGGAGGTTGAGGAGAGACACAACGATGGGCAGCACTAGCGTGGCAGCCTCGTTTTCCAGCTCACTTTTTTTACCTTCCAGGAACTTAAAGGGAAAGAAAAATAAAGTGCAAGAGAGACTCCCCTCAGCGTGGTCTTTGTGGAAGAGTTTGCACGCAGCGCTGCCTGCGTTCTCTTGGAGAGTCACGGCTCTGCATTTAACCTATGCTGGCCGGCTTTCATATGCCCCGACCTGCTAGGATGGACCTCTGTAGCCACACCGGCTAGGGGAGGGCACTCGCAGACCCGAGTGCAGTATTGGGGCCTTAGAGTGCACCAGAGATAGGTCAGTGCACCAGAGATAGCATGTTCGATCTTTTTCTTTGTAGTACCTAGCAGAATAAGGCTACTGGAATCCAGACTAAGCAATTCTTCCTTCTGCCTTCTAGGCCTTGATTGTTTAACCTAGTACTAAGTTATTGAAGGTTATATGAGAGTATTGGCAGAAGCAACACCTATACTGCCTTATTGTCTTCCAAGCCTTAATCATGAACAGTCATTGGCACTCAAGAGTCCAGCATACCAATGTTGAAGCCTGTGTTTCTAGGGTAGCAGTTTACCAAACCTGGTCCTTACCTGTAGATTATTTCTTGAGAGGAAGTAAACACCAGCACAACAAGCAGCTGCTATTCCCAAGGAAGCCACCCAAACCACCAGATGAACAGCGATACGAGCAATTCTCTGCTTTAGAGAAAGGTTCAGTACCTCGAGGGTCACTTCAGACAGGGATTCCTGCAATCAAACACTTGCTAATTAGGCATAGGCCTTAGTCAATAGTATAACAAAAATAAAGGAAAAAACATGAGCTAGGGGCAAGGCACTGTTCGTTCATGTGCACAGCTATGTAGGATATGCCACAGAGGGACAGAAGCATGTTATATGGAAACAATCTCAGTTAAATCAGCAGTACACTAGATGATGCCAGGCAAAGAGCAGTGTGCTCCCCCTACCTTCTAGCTAAAGGCCACCATTTGGCTGCAGGTCTGGGGGGAAAAAATAGACATGGGAAAATATTCATGCCACTTGTAGAGATTCAACTGCCAGGACAAAAAAGACGTCCTTTAGAAATAAGCCAATGGCAGGTAAGTAAATGGCTCATAACAGAAAAGCTTCACATAGTCAACTAGTGGGGCAGGAAGAAGTCAGTTCTCTGAAGTATCAGATGGCACTTTCTTGAGCAAGTCATACATTCAAACCGAGAGTTAGATCTGCTCACACGGGGAGAGGATTTCTTTCCGACCCATTTCATTCTGTACCTTTATTTGCGTACTGAGATTGCTTTGCTTCAGTTTCACAGCTTTCTCATTGGTTATATTGAAGTCCCAGATGCAGAGAAGCTTGGCAGCACTTCCAGAGTAAGTGTGAGGATTGATGAAGTTCTTACGGAAGGACTTTGCCATGCTGCAGTAGAAGTTACATGCAGGAGATCAGTATTAGGGAAATGCAGGGAGTCTTTGAGAGGAAAGACCCAAAAAGGGGACGGGGGGGAGGGAAATCAGTCTTGCAAACTACAGAAATCTACCTTCCTTGCTTAGTGAATGTAGAGTTCAGTTACAGTCACTCCCCTTTCCCTTTATGGTCAGGTCTCCTTACATACCCTGCTACTTCCTGCCTTCTTTTCCCCTATTCTATGTCAGCCATGGCTGTGTCTGATTAAATGCAGCAAATCACTCGTGGAAGTTATGGACAGCAGCATTCATAACAGGGGATTACACTCAACTGACTGAGCCAGAATTCTTCTGGGGGTCATTGGTGGCTCTGCAGTGATTCTGGTGGGTCTGGCAGCCCTTTGGACACTACGTAGCCCTAAACTGGGGAAATTTGATGACAGCGTATTTAATTTCACCAGATTCTTTTATTACCATCAGGAACTAGAAACAGGAATTTGTCAACAGCAGCATGTCCAAACTAATGGCCCAGGGTATTATTACTACTACTAGTAGACGCTCTTAAAATGTTAATTAATAGCTTTTTTGTCTTCATACAAATATATCCATTTTAAAGTGCAGGAGGAATATATAGTTATTGTACCTGTACACCAAGCTAAAGAAGCAGATGATGAAATAAATCCCAATAGTGAAAATATAGGCCAGCTGCATGTTATAGGAAGAGTTGTTCTCAGTTTTCGTGATTGTGGAGTTGGTGTAAAAACCGTAGTAGAGCACTGTTTTTTTAAAATAACCCTAAAATGATATGGAAATTGGGTTAGCACTCAAAAGACATGCTGTTGATTGAATATAGTTAAGTATTCAAGGGTCTTCTCCTGCAAAACTTGATTGACAGGAACAGACCCATTCACCCCAATGAGATCACTCTAGTAAGGTTTTTGCAGGAGTAGGGCCTTCTTTCCCCCCCACTACTGATCACAATTTTACAGGTGCCAAGTGCTTCTTTTGGCCAGTGGATCACCCCTCCTTTTCCTAGAAATCATCGTAAGGAGCTGCAGGTGCCCAACACCTTGAAGGAGTGGACCTTATTTAAAATTATTGCAACTGGCACTAGATCAAAGCTTATTTGGCCATCCTTCCCAAGAAGCACTCTGCAAATACTGTAATCCCTTATCGCTGTACTTTTACTTTGCATCCAGAAACTTAGGAGCACAACCGTTTTACACCTGAAGACTGAGAACCATTAACTGAAATGCACAAATGCAACATTGCAAGAGAATTCCAGCAGGAATGTTCATATTTACCCTTCTTAAAAAAACCAACATGGCTTCCTCACATTGAGAAGGTCTTAGCTACCAGTCTGAGTTATTATTTCACTATATAGACCCTCCCACCCCGCCCCAGGTGTAGATAGACCCCCCTAGGTGTACAATGGAAATGATGCAACTTTCTTGTAAAGGTCAGGTGTGGAAAAAACTAACCTTCCCAAAAATGGAACAGCTCCTCCTCTCTGACCAAATAAACAAACCAAACAGGAGCGGAGTGTCAGTAAAATTAGCAGAGTTTGTGATACTGGGGTGTTTAACTTTAGGTTTTTCTTCCCCCAAAAAATATTTAGGTATTTAGGCCCTGATGGTGCAGAGATCTCAGCACAGATTTAAAGGTCCACTCAAGTAAAGCCCCTCTGAGTTCAACAAATCTCTATGCAAGATTTGCCCAGCTCCTTGCAAAAATCAAGAATTCAGTGCTTATGAAATGTGCCGGGTTCACAGCATTAGAAACTGAAGTCCTTAACACATCTGCAGAGGAAGTATAGCATGGGAAGATTCACTGCTGATAGTGTCTTAGGATAATGCAGAAGGGGTTAAAGGATAATGAAGTCTTCATGCCTATTCAATCGCTTGCTGAGAGGCTGTCAAAAAGACACCAAGCAGTTTTTGAATAGGACACAAATGCTCTAGGAATTAGAGTGAGATCAATTAATATCATATGGGCGACTGGGCGGCTGTTAGTTGGTTATGACTTTTGTTCAATATGAACTATAAGTCAAATTAAAATTTTTACAGTGACCGGAAGCAAATAAAAGCACTATTAAAACTTTTTCCACTCCACCCAGCTGTTACTAGAAAATACTTGTGGCTGTTTTTTTGCCTTAGGATGATTTTATAAAATGTATCTCTTGTATACAGTATTAGTTTGTGCCTGCCTCTACATACTCACAGCCCCGGAGAGAAGCTCCAGACCGTTGAACGAAAGGTTATTTGGTCCTGATACTATAAGCTGTGGGATTGTTATGAAGCTGAAGTTTACAAGGAATGAGAAGATGTTGAAAGTCAGTAACCACTTCAGAAAAACAAAATAGGAAAGAACACTGGTTCCAAACTTGCCACCGATGACTTTTAGAGTCTTCTGCCATAGTTGCAATAGGTGCCAACATTCCGACAGGCCATTTTTAAATTGCTGATAGGACTAATATTAGAAGGAGACAGAAATATGATCATTAACAGGTAATCTGATACTACACTTGTTACATAGTATTCAAATTAAAGTCACACAAGACAATCCCACATTTCTCATATTTGTATTTTTAAATTAGGAACATTTTCCCCTCCTTCACTTTCTTCTCATTTGTAGGATGCCTTTCCTTGATTTGAGCTCTTAAATGCTACCATAATCCAACTTAATAAATAAATAAATAAAAATAAAAGTGCACTAGTTCTTTGGCCTATTGGCAAGTAAAGGTAACACAAGGGAATATGCTATGCAATTCTGGAGTTAGCAATGAGATCTTCGTTTTAAAAAGTTTAACCCAACTTGTGTGAACAAGGCAGGTTACACTTACCAATGCTGTTTTGTACAGACACTGTGTACAACAGTTAATCTGAGTATGGTAGCTCGCTGATTTTTTCGTTTTCTCCATGAGAACTTTATTTCTGTGGAACAGCATGGAGGAGGGTGATTAAAACAAAGAGGAACTTCTCATTTAACATACCATATTGTGTTTTACAGACTGCTGCAAACACAAATGTTATGTACGTGCTCAGGAGCACAGTTGGGCAGGATATGGCCAGTGTATTCTTTTGAGAGTTTGAAAATTTTTACCATCCTAAATCAGGACAAAAGATCAACATCACAAAAAAATTTTGCTAGATGAAAGAGTCCCCCCAAAATAATAAACAAATAACTTTCAGTTTGGGTCAATCGAAATATTTTATTTCAATTTCAACATTTTTTAAAACAATGCTTTCAGTCTAATTAGTTTCACATTTCAAAACAGAAAGTTGTTTCAAACCAGAGCAAAAAATCAGAATTGTTCATATTAAAATTATCAAAAAAATTCATTTTGACATTTAAAAAACTTTAAAAAAAAATTTCAAGTTGGAAAATTCAGCTAAAAATCAACCTGGTTTTGAAAACAGTTTTAGTTTTAACAAATCAGCATTTTTCAGAAAAAAGGTGATAAAAAAATTCCCAGCCAGCTCTACTCAGTAGCAGCCAAAAAGTTACTCAAATGTGGACTTTAGGGAGACAGCTTTGCTGTTTGTCTTTCTGTTAACTCGCAACCTGCCTCAGGACAGACAAGTCTGGTGCCAGTCTAGCCTCCTTGCATCTAACACCTGCTTATTGTTGGTGATGGGCTTTGGATAACCTCTACAATGGCACTGTGATAGTGGTAAATCAGCCATTACTTTCAACCTCTTTTGCTTGGCCTCTTCTCCACTCTTATTGCTGAAAACACTTTTGAAACTCTTAAACATCACAATCCATATTTCATATGATATTTCTTATATAAACAGAACAGGATATTTCTGTCAACAAGAGGAAATGTTGCTCCCATCCAACAAAAATGCATATCCTGCCATCCTTACCAAATGCTGACTTGCCTTATAAGATGCTACTTTAAAACATGTTATTAATATAAGTTATTTTCCAGTTGTTTTGTTCCATAATTGACGAGAATCTAGCAAGGAAATATGCAGACACCTGCATTTGTTAAGTAGATGCCAGAAACAGTATGTGTGTTCACATTAGTACTAAGCTGTAATAAACATTCTGCTTTTACCTGATGTCTCTCTTTTCTTTCATGGTCTTTGGTGTCTTCTGGATTGCTTTAATTCTCTCTCTGCTGGACATGCTTGCAAGATTTTTGATCAATTTTTCTTCTGTCGGTGGGATGTACAAAAAAAAATTATATCTATCCAGAATTTTAGATAACAACATCTTAACTTTCATGAAAAGAATGAGAGGAAGAAGACTGGAAATAAGACTTTTAATATGCACTGCTACCAAGACTCAGCTAAACTATATGAAATTGAGAGCTAGTGATAGCTAGCAGTGGTATTGCACTAAATATTCTTAGTTTTCTGGAATGAATGGTTCTGTAATACAGATACATTGGGAGAATACAATTTTTAATGCTTTCAAAAACCATTCATACCCAGTCATGGTTTACTGTTAGTACAATGGGCTGTAATACAAAATAAGCAAAAACATTGACTCAAACTTTCCAAAAAGGTTCTTACCTGCTGTTTTTTCTAGTTGGGTTTTGGTTTCTAAATTTTCATAAAAAACAAACAGTGAACTGAAAATTAATTTTGTTTAAAAAAGATTTTTCATTAGTAGTAGTGTGTAAATTTTGTGCTAATGGAAACAAATTGTACATTTGCTGAAAAGCTTTTTATATATAGTGCTCTGATCTGTTATTTTGAGGCTTATTATACGTTTTAATAATTGTTAGCTTGAGAGGGTCACTTGAATGTGAATCAAAAAATGTAAAATAGCATCAGCTAGGGGCATAAAAGCCATGTCTACACTAGGAAAAATGGTGTATTTTAAAAACATGTCAGGTAGCATGTTAATTAACACATTAAAATTCTAGTGTAGATTAAACAGTTATCATTTTAACCCATGTTAGCCTGGCACAATAAAACCTTGTGGGGAGCTTAAGGTTTACCACAACCTGTTAACATGTGTTAGAACTACAACTTGTCTTATCTAGACAGGATTTTAGCACAATTAAGGAACATGTTAGCTTACATGTCAAATATACATCTTATTTCCTAGTGAAGACAAGGCCAAATATTGCAAAACACAACTATGTCAGGCTTTTACACCCAGCTCTTGCTAATGTATTTAGCAAGCCCAATCCTCAACACTCCTACTGTTTCACAACTGGGTTTCTCTAGTATAGAGAATGCCATTTGTGGCAAGTTGTTTCAAGTTCTCTTATGGTTCTATATTGGCTATCAAGGCCCTCCACAATTTTCTGGGATAAGAATATATTTAAATCCCAACACCACTTCTCTAAGTACCTTACCTTGTTTATGTTTGTCTTCATTATATGTTTCTGCATTTGAGTCTAGTCTGAGAAGGCTGGAAGGCATCCTGTAGACCAGGTCAGCTTGTCTTCTGTTATATCTCTGACTGAAGCTACCTGAACAAGACACACTTTTTAGTGAACTAAGAAATGTAATGCCAAATTAGCTTAGCCAGACCTGTTCATTACGCATTCACTTTCCACATAGTCCAGTTAAGTAAAGAATACCCATCCTCCCACATTTGATGTGTAATTTTTCAGACTTGAAAACTGAACATTAAGGGCCAGATTGGGATACATGCAGAGTAAACCCTACTACACAAGTACTCCCACAGACTTCAGTGAGATTATTGCTGGAATAACATACTATTCAGCATAAGTAAGGGTATCTGAATCTGGCCCTAAGAGATAAGCTCCCATTTTCTTATCAGAGTTCAACACATCTTCTTACCCCATCCCAATATTCAAAAGCACTATGTTCACTGGATGCTTATACCTTCCTCTATTGAAGCTGAAGAGCAAGAAAAGTTTACAAACACCTTTTTCTGGTCACTAGCAGCCACTTGGGAAGAAGATGCAGGCAGCTCAGAGCTGCATTCCCCTTCTGCATTTAAGCTTTCTGGGGTTAGAAGACCAGGAAAGTCTGAAGCGTCTGCTAAAAAATGCTCCCTTTGTGGGTCTTCAGCAATGTCTCCCTTCAGATTTGAATAAACAATGGGGATAGTAGCATTTGTACTCAGAGCCAGTTTTCTTTGTATCCATTTAAAAGGATTAGAGAAAGGAAAATGTGTTTGTCTTTTTTCTGAGCTACTCCCTGGACTCTCAATGTCTGGAAGTATATCCTTCAGTTGATTGTTCTGGGTATCCATTTCCCAAGCATTAGAAGTTTCTCTCCCTCACTCTATGTTCTATAATGTGGAGCTTTGAAACAGGTTATTTCCATGAAGCAACATAATTGTTACTTTCCAGTAAGACTCCAATTTCCCTCCCAAATCAGATGTTAATCAGATCCATTTACATGTTCCTAAAGTTGGTTAAGAGAGGTGTGTTTTTCCAGCGTATCTAGGCAACAACTCTAGAAGAGAATTCTTCATTAAAGGAATTCTAGAAGCAGCCAACAGTTACCAAATATGTCATAATGAAAAGGATTACAGGATGCTGAAACCTGATGGATCCACAATATAGTCTGTTATGCATGGCACAGACAATAAAGTGCCACTAATACCATCATTTTAAGACAGACGGTGTTCCAGTATCTAGTCAAAGATTCAACCCTAAACTACACTATTCCAGGCCCAAAAGACCTGTCGGTTAATTGCATGGGTGGTGGGCGAATGCGTCTGTGGGGGAGGCTAGCCCCTGGCCCCTACCCCTCTACCTGAAGCCCCACCCCTTTAGGTACTACTAAGGACTATCCTTCACACACAGACATGGTGGGCCAAATTCTCTGCGGGTGTAATTCCACTGACGTCAGTGGAAGCACAGTAGCAAAGAATTTGGGCCCACAACCCCCTGAATAACTTCACAAGTGATTTACAGGGGTACACCTGCTTATAGAGAATTCACGTTCAAATAGGTGACTCTGCTTCATACCATACTCTTCACATATAGCTGGGGAGGGGTGGAGGGAGAGAGCAGTTTGCATGTCCCACACATACATTTTTGAGAGTTCAAAATTTCTTCTCAGATCAAATCATGACGAAAAGTCAAAATCTCAAAAATATTCACAAACCAAAAAAAAACAAACAAAAAAAAAACACCCAAACAAACCCAAGCCAGGTCAATCAAAACTTTTTGTTTCAATTTCAGCCCCTCCCCCAACCCTCTGAAATTGAACTAAAAGGTTTTAAAAGTGAAAAGCCACTGAATTGGAAAGCTTGATGTTTTTGTTTTGAAAATGTCAAGACATTTTGACATTTTCCCCCCTACAACCTTTTTTCAAGTTGGCAGATTCCTCAAATCAAAACCTGTTTCATGAACAGTCTCAGTTTAGATAAACGGGCATTTTTTCATAAAAAAACAATTCATCAAAAAATTCCCAACCAACTCCACTTTCATTGCCACAAGATGGGGTCCACCACCCACAAGGATGTTCCAGGAAGCTCCGGGACAATGAAGTGGTGTTGTTAAGAAAGATTTTTATATTTAATGGTGACTAGGATTCAGTGAGGACTACTGGACAATCAGCCACCTGAACTAAATAAAGAACCTTCCACATTCGTTAGTCTGAAATGTCTTATCAGGGGATAAAGTCTAGTTTAGTTCAAGCCAAAGACAGCTGTCATCCTCCTTTAGAGATGTTCTCATTGGCCATTCCATCTTTGTGCCTTAAGCCTTACCTCCATCAGACATATCAGAAGATCTGCGTACATAAGGACCATCCGCGGCATGAAAGGAGGGAGATGTGTATGCTAGTTCTGGCTCATACTCAAAGGAAGGATTAGCTGTTAGAGGGAAAAGCAGAAGTATTAAGCCACAAAGAAATGTTTAAAACTCTTCACAGAAGATTGGCTTTGTTGATACAGTAATAAACTCAGTGCTACTGTGCATAGCACAATAGACCCTAGAATTATGCTCTTCCTTCGTTCTAATACAGTATGCCCATTTAAAATCAATCATTATATTGTATAGTATAGTTACACCATGCCGTAGACTACTGAAAGGCAAACTTAATGTTGCTAGCTGCCTACATTTTCAAGAGTAGCTAGTGACTGTCTCAATTTTTGGAGGCTCAACATAAGACATCATAAAGGTACCTGATTTTCAGAAAAGTGCTCAAAAAATTTTTTTTAAAAATGAGGCCTCATTAAGGTGTTTCAAGTTGGGCATGCAGAAAAGAAAGCACCCAAAACCCACTAATCACTTTCTAAAATGTAGGTAACTAATGTTAATGTTCTGTTTTTCCCCCTCCCAAGCACAACGTAAGAAAAAATAAAACTCTGGAGTGACAGGATGGAAATAATCCTTGCTAAAATGTTCTTTATTTAAAAAAAAACTAGGAGATTTCCTCCCTCTCATTTTGCCCACAAAGATGTTACATTTTAAGTTTCCTAAGAGGGACACTTCTATAAAACATGCCTTGAATGTAGAGCTCCTTTAGAAATCAAGATGAGCAGGTATTTGGATCAACCTCAGGAATGAACCCCCAAAATACTGTCTATTATACATAGGATTTTGGTATGTGGAATTACGTACTGTGTGGATTTCCGTATGGATTTGTGTTGGGCATAGCTGATCTCGATGTGCTGTAGCTGTATTGGAAACCAGGCTGCATTGAGGCCATCGGTATAGCCAAGGGATAATCCTGGTTTCTTTGTCCTCTTCCACTGCGACCTTCATAGGAATCGTACAACGAGTCATCATCCAGGGAGGAATCATGAAGGTTTTGGTGAAAGGATGAATTCCTTTCTCTGCTGTGTGAGCAAACAAACAAAAAGGAGTGAATAACAGTAACCAAAAAGGTAAGATATATCTTTTTACCTTTGTTTCTAGATGTGCAGTATTCAAACAAAGTTTTGACATAAATAAGTTATGTATCATCTCACTTCACCACATTTTAAAAACATTTTCATAATATACAATCCTTAGAATCAAAGTTCTGACATAAGTGCCAATCACAAACTGAATTAAAGAGACTAAAACTTCAGTCCCACTGAAGTCAGCGGAAGGACCGCTCAAAGTAAGTATATACATAAGCATTTGTAAAGTCAGGCTCCAGGCTCCAAGCGTGCAGTAAACTTTTTGGCTGCACATCTGCTGAAAAATTGATGAAACCAACAAATCTCTGGCACCTGCAACTATAAATCCTGGAACATATTACTCTAAAGTGTAAAATAATAACAGAGCCACTCTGACAAATGTAGAAACACAGAGAGAGTAGTTGAAGTATGATTGGACCAACTACTGTTGGTGGAAGGTACACGTTTTGAGTGACACCGAGCTCTTCTTCAGATCTGTACCTTCCACCAACAGAAGTTGATCCAGTAAAAGATATTACCTCATCTACCTTGTCTCTCTCATATCCTGGGACCTACATGGCTACAACAACACTGCAAGAGAGACTCCACAGACATTCTCAGACAAGAACTAAGGAGTGATTGAAATGAAGGGCAAAAATAGAAATGGTAACAAGTTCCATCCCCCACACTCCCATGAATTCTAAATATTCAATTTCCTTTATTACCAACAGTACTATTGGTCAGAACTTTTATAAATTATTCCTCAAACTTACCTTCTGTCAATCTCCAATGTCTCTGAGTAATGATAGTCTGGGTTTTCAAAGACTTCATTATCGTGATAAAACATGATGCATCTGATTCCTTGATTATCGGTGAGAAATCTTCTTTACCTGAAGTCTTTAGTGCTTCAGTATTATATTAGCGGGTGATTCATTTAGAATCTAATAAAAGACAAAAATTAGATCCAATAGATTTTCTGCCTAGTAGCAAGGAACAAAAATAATAGATAGAATAATAATAATAATAGAATCTGAACAAGACAAAAAATTGCTTTATTCTTCCTGGAGTAATAATGAATAAAGCAATAAGATCTGTATAAATGCAGAACCGTCTCAAGTGAGTATAGCATCATCTGGGTCCTATTTACCCTCTGGACAACATGTATTTACTGGTAGATACAAAGATAGTGAAATTTGCTATGTAGAAATACAAGCCCTTATCTAAAATTAAAGCACTACACTTGAGCATGAAGATTTTGTCTAAAAAGATTTTCCCAACATTTTGACAACATATAAATCAGTGTGTTTTTTTTTTAAAAGATATATAACAAACCAATGATCCCTGATCTACAGATGGATCCTGTTTCTCTTTAGGTACATGTCACTGATTTCAAACCAGAGCCCAGCCTCTGCAATTGGCACAGCTACAGAGGTTTTCATTGTAGATTTGAAGAGTCTTGTAGAGAGGTGGTTAAGTATAGCTGGTTATGTCTTCACTGCTTTAAAAAAGGTAGGTTTTTACATCGAGATAACTATCTCACTGTACAACTCTAATGAGACAAGACACTGTAGTTTTTGTTTCAATGTAGCTAGTCGAGGTCAACCCTGAGGGGAGGGATTATACTCAGTGAATGCTAGGAACATAGGGTAAAGGCCCAGCAGATAGCACCCCATAAAAATATCCATGTTTATGTGAAAATAAACTAGTACAAAAGACAAGTGTATTATAATATATTAATCATGTTTTAGTATTGTGTATTATATCATGATCAAGTCACACAGCTATATCCAGATTGATGCCTTCGAGTACTTGGCAATAAAAACTATATTAAGCAACTTAAATATATTCTGAAGTTGCCCATCCCACTTTGCAAACAATTACTGAATGGAATCTGATATTTGCCCACAAGAGACTATAAACATAAGCACTTAATGCTAAACTTTTCATGTTGTTCCGGTAACAATCCCACACATATCAAGATAGACCAAAGATTGCAAGAGCCTTAAAGTAACATATTAAGCCAGTAATCAGCTGACCAAATTAATCAGTTATACAAGTGTACATATATATGTATATAAAATCCCGAACCTAATCCTTCCTCTTTGCAGCAGACAAAATGGGGGTTTTGCTTGAGGAAGGACTGACTCCCAGTAATTAATATAACAGTGAGAATTTTTCTTTGACAACACTTGATAAATATGTTTAAGAATTGGTGTGTGCTAAATAAAAAAAACTGTCTACCAGTTTTTTAGTAATTAGCACATTCACACCACACCCAACTTAAAAGCATAGGGTTTACAAGAACTGCCAGGTTTACCGTATAGTCAGTCTACTGAGGAGAGCTGGCTGGAAAACAGAATTTCCCTCGCATAAAAAATCTTAAAATTTTTGGAAAACAAAAACACTTTTGTTTTGATTCAGGACAAAAGTAAAAAATTAGTAATTTTTCACAGGAAGAATTTGTTTAGAATTCGATTTGGGAGTACCAATTCAGCATTTTCCAATGAAAGACAGTTCTGTTGGAAATTTTTTGACCAGCTCTACTTCTGAGACACACAATGCTCTCGGAAAGGCAACAGAAGATTCCTTCACAGCAAGCCTACCTCCCCATGGGAAAAGGTCAGCCAGACACAAAAATCCACATACCACCTCTTCTTCTTGCTCCCCCTAAAAAATAAAGCTCATCCATGAGGACTTGCAGAGCAACCGTGAGAGACAAACTCATAAAACGTAGGTCCCATGCCCCACTGGTCTCCATTTCATTCTGTTTAGGTTCTAATAGTGCAACCAGTACCATGATCTCTCCATGAATTTCCAGGAGGCACTGCTGTGGAATGGGGCCCAGCCCTTTTACCTTTTCACCAAGGTTCATTAGAGAGGAAGTGGGGGGGTCATCGTCAGGCCACGTGATGCCTTCCTTCTCTTTGACCTCTGATGTGGTCCTCTCAGTCAGCAAGAGCTAAATATTGACAGGTTTCAGAGTAACAGCCCCGTTAGTCTGTATTCGCAAAAAGAAAAGGAGTACTTGTGGCACCTTAGAGACTAACCAATTTATTTGAGCATAAGCTTTCATGAACTACAGCTCACTTCATCGGATGCATACTGTGGAAAGTGTAGAAGATCTTTTTATGCACACAAAGCATGAAAAAATACCTCCCCCCACCCCACTCTCCTGCTGGTAATAGCTTATCTAAAGTGATCACTCTCCTTACAATGACAGGTTTCAGAGGAACAGCCGTGTTAGTCTGTATTTGCAAAAAGAAAAGGAGTACTTGTGGCACCTTAGAGACTAACCAATTTATTTGAGCATGAACTTTCGTGAGCTACGAGCTGTAGCTCACGAAAGTTCATGCTCAAATAAATTGGTTAGTCTCTAAGGTGCCACAAGTACTAGCTCACGAAAGTTCATGCTCAAATAAATTGGTTAGTCTCTAAGGTGCCACAAGTACTCCTTTTCTTTTTTCTCCTTACAATGTGTATGATAATCAAGTTGGGCCATTTCCAGCACAAATCCAGATTTTCTCCCTCCCCCTCCCCCCCACAAACCTACTCTCCTGTTGGTAATAGCTTATCTAAAGTGACCACTCTCCTTACAATCAAGGTGGGCCATTTCCAGCACAAATCCAGGGTTTAACAAGAACGTGGGGGGGGGGGGGGTAGGAAAAAACAAGGGAAAATAGGTTACCTTGCATAATGACTTAGCCACTCCCAGTCTCTATTCAAGCCTAAGTTAATTGTATCCAATTTGCAAATGAATTCCAATTCAACAGTCTCTCGCTGGAATCTGGATTTGAAGTTTTTCTGTTGTAATATCGCAACTTTCATGTCTGTAAGCGCGTGACCAGAGAGATTGAAGTGTTCTCCGACTGGTTTATGAAGGTTATAATTCTTGACATCTGATTTGTGTCCATTTATTCTTTTACGTAGAGACTGTCCAGTTTGACCAATGTACATGGCAGAGGGGCATTGCTGGCACACGATGGCATATATCGCATTGGTGGATGTGCAGGTGAACGAGCCTCTGATAGTCTGGCTGATGTTATTAGGCCATGTGATGATGTCCCCTGAATAGATATGTGGACACAGTTGGCAACGGGCTTTGTTGCAAGGATAGGTTCCTGGGTTAGTGGTTCTGTTTCGTGGTATGTGGTTGCTGGTGAGTATTTGCTTCAGGTTGGGGGGCTGTCTGTAAGCAAGGACTGGCCTGTCTCCCAAGATTTGTGAGAGTGTTGGGTCATCCTTCAGGATAGGTTGTAGATCCTTAATAATGCATTGGAGGGGTTTTAGTTGGGGGCTGAAGGTGACGGCTAGTGGCGTTCTGTTATTTTCTTTGTTAGGCCTGTCCTGTAGTAGGTGACTTCTGGGAACTCTTCTGGCTCTATCAATCTGTTTCTTCACTTCCGCAGGTGTGTATTGTAGTTGTAAGAATGCTTGATAGAGATCTTGTAGGTGTTTGTCTCTGTTACACTAGTCTCACTTCAAAAATTCTTCTCTGATTGAATGAATCTTCACAGGAGAACAACTACTGTTTGGGAGATGGGAGGGGAGGGGAGGAGAAGATTAAGGGTCATTACTGAGTCATTCAGCAAGTCTCAGTGTCACAGAGAGGAAGGCTTGTCCAGTGGTTAAAGCTCTAGCTTGGGACTCAAGAAACCTGAGTTCAAGTCCCTACTCCACCAGACTCCCTAACTGACTGTCAGCAAGTCACTTGTGTCTCAGTGCCTTAGTGTTTCATCAGTAAAATGGGGATAGTAGCAATTCCCTACCTCGCAGACCTGTTGTGATGCTAAATACACTAAAGACTGGGGGACGCTCAGATACTATGGTAACGGGGGCCATATAAGAGGGATAGACATCCATTAGGGAGTGGGCACTTTCCTTTGGATCAGTAAATAGCCTCTGGGGTTACACAGTTCAGGTACCTCAGACCCTTTTGTAGGCCAACAGGCTCATTTTTTCTGGGTCAAGATCCAAAAGAACAGCCGCATTTTCCTCCCTCCCTCTAAAACGCATGTGGTAAGGCAGCTCCAGGACCTAAAGGTTCTGCCGATATGGGGATTTCATTCTGCCAACACTAATCCTCATGTAGAATGTTAATCACACAGGAAGGTGTTAGTAACATGCACATCCTGTCTTATCAAGTTTCAAACAAATGAGTTAAAGCATGAGGGAGTGCTGCCATTATACTCCTAGCAGTGTCAGTATATAAACAAAGTGTCTGCTTGTAGTTATGCAAATCCTGAAGTTAAAAAAAGAAACCAATCTAGAAGTTACTTGAAGATCTTTTTTTTTTTTTAAAGCCAACAAGAGTTGTTTGAACTATAAAGAACTACTACAAGCACAAAAGCAATGTCAGTCATCCAAGAACCACTAATATTTGATATATCAGATTAAACTACATTCTTTCCCACAAGTAGCCTTTAGTTTATAAAAGGCCCGGCTGGTTCTCTCTTTATTGTCACCCTCTGAGCTTTTATATTATGGATTCCTTTCCTGTTTAATATACTCTACCCAGTTCCTCATGACTAGCACATTTTAATTAATTTGTCAATCTGAAATTGATATTAAAAGAATTTAATATTGTGACAGGGTATCAGGTTCTAGGATTCTACACTGCTCTTCTGCTGACTCACCAGATCAGGCAAGTCCTATTTGATCCAACACAGCGGTAGCTAATGGAGTGTCTGCCTCTGAAGCAAAATAACTAGGGACAAAACCAGTCAGACCCTGTGAGATAAAACTCTAAGAGGAATACAGGCTCTGGCAAGCACCAGCTGAAGTTTATGTAAGATAACCATTAAAAAAAGGCTGACTCATGGACCACAGATGTCTGTGGGAACGTTATCAATTACGTAAGAGGGTGCAGGACTAGGTCCACAACAACAAATGCTGTGACTTGACTTTCCCATGGCATCTGATTTTATTTAAGCTGTTGGGTGTATCTGAGACTTTGACATTTTCATTGTTACACTGGACCCTTGTTTCAAGATAGATAGAGCCTGAATTGTGTATGTTACGAGAGATCGAGTGACTTCACAAAGGAGGACAGCTAGTTTTAGTGGCAATCAATTTGATTGTGATAAGTGAGAGATAAGTGTCATAATCCAGACTCACTTTCCCTCTTATAGCACAGTTCAGCAGCCTAGACTTATTCAGAAAAGCACTTAAATGTGGTTAACCTTAAGCATATGATTAAGCTCTATTGACTTCTATGGGACTGAAACATGCTCTTTAGAATTATTTGTTGAATAGCGATGGATATAAGCAACACAGGTATTCTCCACTGCATGCATCCGATGAAGTGAGCTGTAGTTCACGAAAGCTTATGCTCAAATAAATTTGTTAGTCTCTAAGGTGCCACAAGTACTCCTTTTCTTTTTGCAAATACAGACTAACACAGCTGCTACTCTGAAACCTGAAATAATTTACTAAATTTCATGAAGACCACAATATTCTTCCCCTATTCCGCCCCCACACATGTAGACTCCCCATCCCAAAAAGTAAAGCCTCTACACATTTATAATTCTTACGGATAAACTTACATTAAAAAGTCATTTTCAGTTGTCTAGAAACTAGAGATTCTTCTAGAAATAGATTTAGCTTTTTTAACCTGTCTCTTGCTTCGTTGATGCTCTAATTTTTGATTTAACATGTTTCCAGATTGGCAGAAGCAAGTCAGTGCAGCCAGCTGACTGATACACAATGGCCACGTTTTTCTCTCCCATCCTGCAAATCTTCCTAGATCAAGCACAGTGCAAATGTCTATGTTTTCATAAGCACAGCAAGCAAGCTTCAGACACTATACCACTACTTTCACTTCTTGACACACCTACCCAGACTCCACCTACCACATACACAGTCTGAGAAAATAATCCTGGAGGTGGTACAGCATAGAGTATATAACTCTCTCATGTCCTATCTCATGCACTAATGTTGTTTCCCTCATTGTTTGGGGGCTGTTGAGTTAGGCATCCTTGTAATACTGAATTTGAAAATGTACAGTAGCAATAGACCAGATGGTCCTTTCCTTGCCATGGAGGGAGGATGTGTGCACATATGCACACATGCATGTTTTTAAGGCACTGTTGTAACTCACAATTCAGCCACTCCAGATATGTGGACATTTTCCACATTTGATTCAAATGGGGTTTGCAGGGTGCGGTCCTCTCTGAAAAGGTCCCAATAGCCCCAGGGTGCTCAGCACCTTGCAGCATCAGGCCCAAACTGGGGCAATTACAGAAGGCCACCGGATGACAGCTCAGCCACAACACAACCTCCCTGAGCAATCAGCTAGCAAGGGCTTCTACTGCCATGGCCTGATTCCTTGGTCACATGACATGAGAGAGGCCCAGCTAATCAAATACATACCATATGATTTATTCCAACTCACCAGGCTAGAACGCAATGCAGCATGACAGTAGCATGACACTACCCAATTTTGAGGTTCTTGCAGTAAGTCTTGAAGATTTTGCAAAGCACTGAAATGCATGTGCTTTTTCCTCTTCATGTCCAGAGCTAAGCTCTATTCCATACTCCATTACTGACTGAGGATTGATGGTAAAATGGTTAACCGCCCCTATACTGTGGGCTGTTTTTTCCCTTCTTCTTCCATTTTGAACTCCCAGTAGCTGCCACGCTAAGCCATGCTTACTTTGCCCCACCTTGCATAGTAATAGCCCCAGTATCAATGTAACAGAATGGCATTGAAAAGTAACTTATTTGTATGCAAATATCAAAATTTTGGTATACTTTGATCAAGAGCAGAGTCCATTATTATTATAATTGTTATTTTTTGCTTTTATGTAAGCATAAATATACAGTAGTAATGTTTACTGATCTGATGGGAATAGAGTGATTTTGCAGAGGATGCCTGGGACCTTCAGCAGCAAGACACAGGCCTCTGTGACTTAAGCCGAACTCCACTAAACCAGTTGCCGATTATTATCCTCTGTGGACAAGCTATTAGAGGGTGACACAACCTGGAACCCAGCATGTGACATCCGCTATTTTTATTCCCTAACATCTTTAAAAGAAACTCCAGTAGAACCTCAGCGTTCCGAACACCAGAGTATGACCTGACCAGTCAACCACACGCCTCATTGGGAACTGGAAGTATGCAATGAAGCAGCAGCAGAGACAAAACAAAAAAGCAAATACAGTACAGAACTGTGTTAAATGTAAACTACTGAAACAATACATTTTTAAAAAAAGATTTGACAAGGTCAGGAAACGGTTTCTTTGCTTGTGTCATTTAAATTAAGATGGTTAAAAGCAGCATTTTTCTTTTGCATAGTAAGGTTTCAAAGCTGTATTAAGTCAATGTGCTGTTGTAAACTTTTGAAAGAACCACCATGATGTTTTGTTCAGAGTTGCAAACATTTCAGAGTTACAAACAACCTCCATTCCTGAGGTGTTCGTAACTCTGAGATTCTATTGTATAAGGCAACTACAAAAACTCAACCCATTGTAGTCAGTGATTTTAGTTTATTATCCATTTATTGTGTGATGTTATCATATATATTGATTGTATGATAAGCAGAATGAATTTGTAGGATTATAAAAGAATAAGATTGATCAGCATTTAGTGGACCCAAGTAATAGACATGAGTAGGACAAACTGAAATGCAAAAACCTGTAGGTTGATGCCCGCAAGACTTTAGCTTAGCTATTTTAGGCTTTGGAGATAAGAAATGATGACATAAGTGACTGGAAAAAAAGTAACCTGATGCTTTAAGATTATGGGAAAAGAGGTACCAAGAGGTAATATTGCACAAAAATACCCAGAAGATTAATATTAGATCATAAAAATAGTGTAAAGGCGCACCTGTCTTAGACATGTGTCTTAACCACAGGATACAGGCTGTGCATTGATGCTAGTGAGAACAAAGGGAACTTACACAGCCTACAGAAAATTGGGGTCCCTTATATTTCTAGGGGACACAGACCAATAAGAGAAAAGGGGGTTGACACTTTTATGGACATGCACAGAATGTAGGTATACACAGAATCATTTTATAAAAAGGGGATGCCCAGAACAGGAAAATTTAGCTCCTTATGGGAGAGTGCAGCAGAAACCCTCCCTCTACTGATGATCAAGCCACGGGAGACAGATCAGACCCTAACACTATTGTTAAGGATGTGAGTAAAGCTATATTTGCAACTTGTGCATAGGTCTGTATAGAACAGTGGTTCCCAAACTAGGGGCGCCATTTGTTCAGAGAAAGCCCCTGGTGGGCCAGGCTGGTTTGTTTACTTGCCATGTCTGCAGGTTCGGCCAATCGCAGCTCCCACTGGCCATGATTCGCCTCTTCAGGCCAATGGGGGCTGTGGGAAGGGCGGCCAGCATGTCCCTCGGCCCGCTCCGCTTCCTGAAGCCCCCATTGGCCGAGAATGGTGAACAGCGGCCACTGGGAGCTGCGATTGGCCAAACATGTGGACGTGGCAGGTAAGCAAACCAGCCTGGCCTGCCAGGGGCTTTCTCTGAGCAAGTGGCGCCCCTTGTTTGGGAACCACTGGTATAGAATT